TTTGCTCTGAGGCGTGAACTGTGACTGATCCGACGCTGGTCAAGGTATATGACGGTAATGAAGTTTGAGGCTTTGTGACGTCATAAAGAGAGGCGCAGACGCTGTTCACGTGACGTGTGGAAGGGGGCGGGGCCAGGAGGGCTGCTCAATTAAGTGCAAGCGTTAAGTGCGCGTGCGCAGCCAAAACGACGCAGACGCTCGGTTGTTAAAGTTACCAGTCAGTGGCGCCAAAAGTGGGTATGCAGTGTATGCGACGCATAGGGGCACCGCGCTGGAGGGTGCGCTTAAGCATTGATGGGGGGGAAGGGCTTTTTTGTGTTGCATAGCTATTGTGCATGTGTAAATTAAATAATTATTAACAGAAGCAAGCGATTGGGCGCCCCACCGCAGCCCTGCCGCCCCACACTCACACACACACACACACACACACACACACACACACACACACACACACACACACACACACACACACACACACACACACACACACACACACACACACAGAACGTGAACACTCTTGAGGAGTCCAGCGCGTGCGCCCGCGATTAAGCGCTGGGGCGCGAGTGTTTTCATTTGAATGATATCTACTGTCATCTGATCAGCTAGCTAGGTTAGCTAGAGATGGAAAGTCCGAAAAAAAGCTCTCCTGGGCACAAAAAAAACGGAAGAGGGAAAGGGAAAAATGATTTCGTAGGGATGAAAAAAAACCTTTCTAAGTGATTGAAAGACAGTAGGAGAGTCATCTCGCAAGAAGGCATTATTCCTATTAGCTCTATTAGCTGAAGCTGCTAGCCTGCCTCTAGTAAAATGACAGGTTACGGGTGTTCTGTATGGATCACAAGATCAGGGTTTTAATCTCACACAGGCTTCTGGGAGTAGTCGGATCTCCGTGAGAGCAGCGGGGGTGGTGGTGGTGAGGGGGAGGGGGGTGGGGGGGTTGATTCAGCTAGATCTAATAAAAAATACGTAATAGATAATCACAAGAAAAATAAAGGAACCAGGGGTGGTTATTTAGTTTTTCTGACAGTAATCCTTTGTTTAATTGGATGTTGAGTGATAATACTGATAAATTATTGAATTGGGTGATGCACTTCAGATTTGCTCTTAAATTCCTGCAATTTTAAACTAAAACATAATGTTTTTATATGTAGTTTGAGTCTTGTATTTTTTTAATATTTCTAAATTCAAATTTCTTATTATTCAGATGTGCGGATGGAGAGAAAGAAGAAAAAAGAGATATAAAGAATCAGAACAGAGATAGGAAGGCAACAGGTTGGTCTAATACTAGGTGGAAGTGAACACTCACTTAATACCAAGTGATCAATTTTTAAATATTATTTATAATGATCAAGTGCATTTTCAAGAGTGGTAATTTATAGCTGTTAAATAATGCTTGAGACCATGACAGATACATATACTAGAATGGCCATTAAAAACCTGGAATTCTAGTATGATTAGAATTTTACTGACCATCTTTTTTTCCTTTAAGAAAAATAAGTGCAGGCAGACAAGGCAAGTCAATGACTACGGAGGAGAATGTGGAGCAGAGAGGTCTACATGATGAAGAAGAGGGACAGAAACAGAGAGATCCACATGATGAAGGAGAGAGAGAACATAGAGGTCTACACAAAGAAGAGGGAGAAGAACAAAGAGGTCAACATGATAAAGAGGAAGAGGAACAGAGAAGTGCAGAGGAGAGGGCTGGTGAAAGACCTTATTTAAAAGATCCATCTGAATGGCCTTCACCACATGAAATTGGGGACACATTGAGGCAGTACATGGTTCAGAATGGCCCACCGAAATGTCCTGGTGGGCCATATCCAAGATCAGAGAAGAGTAAACGGTGTTTTTCCAAAGCACACTGTTTTCGTTTACTGTCCAATGGAGAGAAAGTGGAACGGGATTGGTTACTGTACTCCAAAAGTACTAAAAGTCTATTGTTTTGCTTGTAAGCTTTTTGGTGAAGCTAGAGTTGCTGACACACACCTTGTGACGGGTTATAACAACTGGCAGTGTCTTTCAAAAACCCTGATGCACCATGAAACTAGTGGTTATCACATAAATGCTTATCTGTGTCACGATCTGCTCCTGCCTCCCTCTGACTGTGACTCTCCCCTGCCTCCTGTTTAGTTTTTTGGTCTCACCTGCCTTTTGTTAACCTGCCCATGTGTTCCTGATTGTTTCCCTGTGTATTTATACCTCCCGTCTTGTATGTGTCAGTGTCGGATCATTGTTGTTTGTCGTGTTGTTCTTGTTGTATCCTGCCGTATCCTGCTATTAAATCCATTTTTATGTTATCCATGCCTGCATTCCTGCCTCCTGATCAGCTCCACCACACATGGTCCGACGCCACCCACACCACATCATGACAATCTGATGTGGAAAGAATTGGCATCTCGCTTACGCATAGGTAAAACTATTGATTGTGAATTACAGAGAGCCACGCCCGCTGAAAAGACACACTGGAGAAGTATTTTGACTCGAGTGATTGACTGCATACTCTTCCTTGCTGAAAGAAACTGCCGCTGAGGGGAAAAAATGCGCAGCTAGGAAATCCTAAAAATGGAAATTTTCTAGGTATCCATGAGCTCATCGCAAGGTATGATGTCACACTGGCAGAGCATCTTAGAAAAACTTGCCTCCAAAAAAAAAACAAAAAAACACCGGATATCTGTCTTGGTGCACTCAGAATGAATTTTTGGATTCAATATCAGAATGTGTTTTAAGTAAAATTTGTGCCCAGATTAAAGCCTCCAAGTACTTTGCAGTGGAACTGGACTGCACTCCTGATATTTCAAAGCAAGAGCAGGCCTCAGTTATCATACGGTATATTCATACTGATGAGAAGAAGAATGTCAGTATTAATGAGTCTTTTGTGGGGTTCACGGCTGTGAAGGACACAACTGGGAAAGGCCTTGCAGACACACTGACAGGAGTGCTGGATAGTCTGGGGTTGGACTTGGCTAATTGTAGGGGCCAAAGCTATGACAATGGCTCTAATATGAGAGGGATAAACAAGGGTGTCCAAGCTTTGATACAACAGAGATGTCCAGAGGCTCTGTTCAGTCCCTGCTGTAGCCACAGCCTGAACCTTTTGATGTGTGATGCAGCTTCATCTAATAGAGAGTATCTGACCTTCTTTGGCACTCTTCAAAGATTGTACACTATGTGTTCCTCTTCAGTGAAGAGGTGGCCATTCTCACAGAATTTGTTGACATCACACTGAAACCTCTGAGTGATACCAGGTGGGAAGCAAAGCTAGACTCAGTCAAAGCTGTATGTTTCCAGTTGGGGGGGATTCTAGATGCTCTATAAACTTGCAGAAGTGGCAGGAGACAGCAAAATTGTCTCAGAGGCAAAGTCACTGTCTGATGAGATTGTAAGGAGGGAGTTTCTTGTGTGCCTCCTCATTTGGTATGACTTATTGTCAGAGATGAACTTTGCAAGCAAGGCCCTACAGGCAGCAGATGTCTCAATTGACACAGCTATTAGCCTAATTGATTCTCTGAAAACGTTCTTACTCAATTATAGAGAAGAGGGCTACCAAAAGTCACTTGTAATTGCAAGCAGGATAGCAGTTGAAATGGATGCTTCTCCAGAATTCAAACAGAGATGTTTTAGGAAGCAAAAGAGTTTCCAAGATGACAATTCCAGCAATGCTCATCACGGAGAAGAACCCGAAATACACTTTAGGTGCACGGTTTTCAATGTCATTGTTGACACCATCCTGCAAGAGTTATCAGACAGGTTTTCCAATCTTTGGCTTGTGTCTGAGAAATTTAAATTCATCACTAAAATGGATCAGATGACAAAAACTGAGCTGGAAGAATCAGGATTTTTTGTTGTTGAAATTTAACGTTTCTACCAAGCACACTATGCTTTTTATATTTTACAATTGTCTTTAAAATAACATATAGTAAAACTAAATGTTTTAAATTCTCACATTTTCGGGGTGCTTCGGCACCCCCCAAAAAATGGCCTAAAAACGCTCATGCTAGTCAACCTTTTAGCCATTTACCGCCCCAGTCGGTGCGTCTGAAAAAGAGCAAATACACATGTCCAAGATGGATGGCTGAATGAACATGATCATGTTTTTTTTAAGCTTCAAATGTTTATTTGTTTGTTATTCTGCCAACGTTTATAAGAGATGTTATTCGGGTTAGAGGTCTGAAGGATTCTGGTTTGGACCAGAGAACCCAGGACTAGAAGATTTCTGTAGGTTCTGTTTTTCTGAAGGCGTACCTGAGCAGCAGACGAGCGCCCCATAGTGGTGATAACAGAATTCTGCTTCAACAATAATAATGCAGTCAACACGTTTCACATAACTTACAGTTCTTATTACGCCGTTTTATAAAACCAACTGGTTGCTTCATAATGAACTTTATATCAACATTCTCGAAATGAAACGACTAAATCCTTCAGCCTCAGAATAAAGATCATCTGGGTGTTTTTGCTGTAAGACTGAAGACATATGTTGATTCAGAACCAGCTGATGATGTTCAAACCTTCATCATCAGCTGAAAACTTTGGTCTGAATCATTTCATGTCTTTGACCTTTGACTCTTAAGTAAATATGTGATGAAGCGCGACTCCTACTTTAGCTGAAAGAAGTTAAACATACTTACACCGGAAACAAGGCCTGTGACCACCAAAATAAAAGCACACATTCAACTCATCAGTCTTCATTTGATAAATTCAGTTACAATTATATTTATTTTGGTTAACGTATCACATTGAGCTTCACTTTTCTGAGTCAAAATTCATTCTACGTAAGTTCATTCTGGGTGATTCTGTCAGATCAATAATAAACCAATTTATTTTAGATGTATTTTATTAATTGAACTGAGATGTGTTCGACTTTTTAATTGAACACGAAATAAATTTTTCTGGCGCGTGCATGTGTGTCACAAAGTTTCAAAAGGCATCTGCAGGTAATATTCATTTGCTGAAAAAAACAAAATTTGGAAAAGCTTTTAGTTTGAAGACAGGAAGTGCGTGGTGTTGTGGCTCGCGTGACAGCTGGCGGGATCAGCTGATGGGAACTGAATCAGAACTTCCCGGACAAACTCCCAGTAACGGGAAGAGGACTCACCGGGACGCGGCTGGAGCAGGTAGGCCACGTGTCTGGTCCTTCTCACCTGGCAAGTCTCGCCTCAGGTCCAACGTCGGGTCTCAGGGGCCTCGTGTCTTATCGATTCGCTTGATGTTTGTCGGAGGAGTTTCCAGATTAAAAGATCCCCTGGTTCTGATTCTGGGCGTAAAGTGGATCAATCGGTCCTCGTTGAAGCGTTTTTGTTTGAAACTTCTGGGTTTACTGGATGGAACTGGTTCTGCTGCTCTTTGTATTTGGGTCCAGGTGCAGATTCTGGGTCAGATCTAGAGGTTCTTCTGGTTTCTCTGACAGAATGTAGATAGTTCCCGTTAACATCCATCTGATCCATTCCACAGATCTTGTCCTGGTCCGGGTTCTCCTCCAGAGATGCTCTGATGACGAGAACACCTGTCTGCCCAACAAAGTCAGGGATCAGAGGTCATGGCGGACAAGTTTAAACATGTTCCCTGATCCTTTAAATAACTAAGCTTTTCCAGATTTCAGTTCCTGATGTTCTCTCTAGAGGAAGAACCTGTGAATCCTTGAACTGGATCCTCAGAGGCTCAGACTGGATTTACTGTAAAATTTCAGAAAGCAAATCTTTTTGGGGGATATGTAAAAAAATGTCTCTTGCAGGGTGGGCCTCCAGCATGTTAACCAACATTATGTACCATTACATAAACAAAGATAAAGTAGTACTACAGTACTACAACATCTATGTAAACGTTTCACAATAAAGAGAGAGAACATCATCTAAAAATAAAGTCACATGATGTGGAAGCATTTAAAGAAAACATAATTTTTCTATGAAAATATTAATATTAAATATGAAAGTTATCTGGCTAATCGAACCATCCTGAGGTGACTATAAATGAAATCTGTTGATTTAGCTGTGATCGGACCTGAACCAGGATGGAGATCTGTCACTTAAAACTAACTTCAGCATGGTTTCCTTTTTGCTTTTCACAGTGCTGATGTGGAGGTTCTAAGAAAAGCAACAATTTTTGTGTTTTTTTTAATGTTCCTCATACATATGACATATGTATATATGTCGATGGTTCCTCAGCAATTCACTTTTCTGCTCACCTTAAGGGGTGGTCACAATCTTTCAACAATTAAAGAGATATTGTTTGGATGTGGATCGTTTGTGCTCTGCTTTGATTGGGCAATACTATGTCATTGAATATATATGTGTTGTTTACCGTGATTATTGGGGAGACATCTGTATGGTTAATGGGTGCGTCCCCTTGGGATCTCTGCCTATGTGTTTCATGTTTCTCCTGACAGATTGTGATCTTGTCTGGACCAATGTTTTAAGCCTGTCTGACTGAGGGGGTCCGGAGAAGCTGAATGATGCTGGCGGCAGGTGGAAGCTCCTCCTCAGCCCTCCAGTTCCGCGGGGGAGCAGTGGCACTGCCGGTAAACCCAGCTGATGTTCCGGCTCTGGAGATAAAACTGGGAGCTCTGGTGGTTCTGCTGTCCATCACTCTGGTGTTTGGATTTGCTCCACTCTGCATCGTCCGAGGGACGGGGCGCTGCAGCATCAACTCAGGTGGGTCCAAGTACCAGTGGGGGGAGGGGCTCTGATCTCATATCAGTTTCTGACCTGGTCTTAGACCTGTTTCTGACCTGATCACAGATTTGTTTCTGACCTGTATTTGACATGGTCTCAGACCTGTTTCTGATCTGATCTAAGACCTGTATCTGACCTGGTCTCAGACCTGTTTCTGACCTGGTCTCAGGCCTGTTTCTGACCTGTATTTGACATGGTCTCAGACCTGTTTCTGATCTGATCTCAGACCTGTATCTGACCTGGTCTCAGACCTGTTTCTGATCTGATCTCAGACCTGTATCTGACCTGGTCTCAGACCTGTTTCTGACCTGGTCTCAGGCCTGTTTCTGACCTGTATTTGACATGGTCTCAGACCTGTTTCTGATCTGATCTCAGACCTGTATCTGACCTGGTCTCAGACCTGTTTCTGACCTGGTCTCAGGCCTGTTTCTGACCTGTATCTGACCTGGTCTCAGACCTGTTTCTGATCTGATCTCAGACCTGTATCTGACCTGGTCTCAGACCTGTTTCTGACCTGGTCTCAGACCTGTTTCTGACCTGATCTCAGACCTGTTTCTGATCTGATCTCAGACCTGTTTCCGACCTGATCTCACATCTGTTTCTGACCTGGTCTCAGACCTCTTTCTGAGCTGTATTTGACCTGGTCTCAGACCTGTCTCTGACCTGATCTCAGACGTGTTTCTGATCTGATCTCAGACCTGTATCTGACCTGGTCTCAGACCTGTTTCTGACCTGATCTCAGACCTGTTTCTGATCTGATCTCAGACCTGTATCTGACCTGGTCTCAGACCTGTTTCTGACCTGGTCTCAGACCTGTTTCTGACCTGATCTCAGACCTGTTTCTGATCTGATCTCAGACCTGTTTCCGACCTGATCTCACATCTGTTTCTGACTTGGTCTCAGACCTGTTTCTGAGCTGTATTTGACCTGGTCTCAGACCTGTTTCTGACCTAGTCTCAGAGCTATCTCTGACCTGATCTCAGACCTGTTTCTGACCTGATCACAGACCTGTTCTTAGAGCTGTTTCTGACCTGATCTCACATCTGTTTCTGACCTGGTCTCAGACCTGTTTCTGAGCTGTATTTGACCTGGTCCCAGACCTGTTTCTGACCTGGTCTCAGAGCTGTCTCTGACCTGATCTCAGACCTGTTTCTGACCTGATCACAGACCTGTTCTTAGAGCTGTTTCTGACCTGATCTCACATCTGTTTCTGACCTGGTCTCAGACCTGTTTCTGACCTGATCTCAGACCTGTTTCTGACCTGGTCTCAGACCTGTTTCTGACCTGGTCTCAGAGCTGTTTCTGACCTGATCTCAGACCTGTTTCTGACCTGATCGCAGACCTGTTCTCAGAGCTGTTTCTGACCTGATCTTAGACCTGTTTCTGACCTAGTCTCAGACCTGGATCTGACCTGATCTCAGACCTGTTTCTGACCTGATCTCACATCTATTTCTGACCTGATCTCAGACCTGTTTCTGATCTGATCTCAGACCTGTTTCTGACCTGATCGCAGAACTGTTCTCAGAGCTGTTTCTGACCTGATCTCACATCTGTTTCTGACCTGGTCTTAGACCTGTTTCTGACCTAGTCTCAGACCTGTATCTGACCTGATCTCAGACCTGTTTCTGACCTGATCTCACATCTGTTTCTAACTTGGTCTCAAACCTGTTTCTGACCTGGTCTCAGATCTATCTCTGACCTGATCTCAGACCTGTTTCTGACCTGATCACAGACCTGTTCTTAGAGCTGTTTCTGACCTGATCTCACATCTGTTTCTGATCTGATCTCAGACCTGTTTCTGATCTGATCTCAGACCTGTTTCTGACCTGATCGCAGACCTGTTTCTGACCTGATCGCAGACCTGGTCTCAGAGTTGTCTCTGACCTGATCACAGATCTGTTCTTAGACCTGTTTCTGACCTAGTCTCAGACCTGTATCTGACCTGATCTCAGACCTGTTTCTGACCTGATCTCACATCTGTTTCTGACTTGGTCTCAAACCTGTTTCTGAGCTGTATTTATCCAGGTCTCAGACCTGTTTCTGACCTGGTCTCAGAGCTGTCTCTGACCTGATCTCAGACCTGTTTCTGACCTGATCACAGACCTGTTCTTAGAGCTGTTTCTGACCTGATCTCACATCTGTTTCTGACCTGGTCTCAGACCTGTTTCTGATCTGATCTCAGACTTGTTTCTGACCTGATCGCAGACCTGGTCTCAGAGTTGTCTCTGACCTGATCTCAGACCTGTTTCTGATCTGATCTCAGACCTGTTTCTGACCTGATCTCACATCTGTTTCTGACTTGGTCTCAGACCTGTTTCTGAGCTGTATTTGACCTGGTCTCAGACCTGTTCCTGACCTGATCGCAGACCTGTTCTCAGACCTGTATCCTACCTGTTCTCAGACCTGTATCTGACCTGATCTCAGGCCTGTATCTGACCTGATCACAGACCTATATCTGAATTCTGCTCTTATCTCAGATCAGTTTTCTGCTCACCTGTTGCAGATGTCCGCCGCAGGCTGCTCAGCCTGATCAGCTGTTTTGCCGGAGGCGTCTTCTTGGCCACCTGCCTGTTGGACCTCCTGCCAGACTTCCTGCAAGGAATCAGGGAAGCCTTCATTAGTGCTGGGATCAAAGTAGGGCTTTTCTTCTCACCTCTTTTGGGGCTTGGACACTTAGGGAACTTGGACTTTAACAGCCTCTCTTCCTTTTGCAGCTCCAGTTCCCTCTGCCAGAGTTCATCGTAGCTATGGGTTTCTTCCTGGTTCTGGTTCTGGAGCAGATTGTTCTGGCCTTTAAGGATCAGCCCTCCTCTCACCATGAGGAACGTCGGGCTCTTATGGCGGATTCAAGTGTCCAGGTAAATGACGGGGCAGCTCATCACCACCGCAGGGAGTCAGCGGATTCCGAAGGCCACTTCCATGCAGATCTGGGCTCTCAGTCGGTGTTGCGAGCCTTCATCCTGGTCTTTTCATTGTCTCTGCATTCGGTGTTTGAGGGTTTGGCAGTGGGGCTGCTGGAGGATGGCGAGGAGGTTCTGGAAATCTGTCTGGCCCTAATGATCCACAAGAGCATCATTGCCTTCAGCCTGAGCTTCAAGCTGACTCAGGGCCGGTTGCGACGCTCTGCCGTGTTTGGCTGCCTCCTGCTGTTTGCCATCATGTCGCCGTTGGGCATCGCTCTAGGCATCGGCCTCACCGAGACCAAGACTTCACCGCAGCATCAGCTGGCCCGCTGCTCACTGGAGGGGATGGCCACCGGAACATTCATCTACATCACCTTCATGGAGATCCTGCCGCACGAGCTCGCGTCCTCCAGCAACCGCATCCTGAAGGTGGCCATGATGCTGCTTGGATTTGCCTTGGTCACTGGAGTCCTCTTCATCAAGCTGTAACCATGGCAACGTAGATGGGACCGCTCACATTCCAGCTTAAACTGTTCCTTTAATTCTTATTTAAACTGATCTGATATTATTATTGGTTCATGAGGCAGACACACTCACATTAGAATTGCCATCAATCAACTGCTTCACTGTTTATAAAAGGTCTAAACAGCTGATGAACCCTTTTCCACACCTGGAACCCCTTAGGCCCAGCATCGCCACCTGCTCGAAGCGAGAAGTCACTCAGAAAACATCCTAAAAAAGATCAAAATATTAAATCAATTAAGAGAACACAAAAAAAATAGAGACAGAAAGAAAATGTTCATTTTTAATATTTATCTTTCCATCTTTTGGTTTCTACCTGATCCTACTGAAACTGAATGGTTTGCATCACTGTAGAAAAGCTTTAAGTGAAATTAGTTCACAGTTTGTTTTTGCTTTTGATTTATAGAAATATTCCACTTGAACCTTTTTGGTTAATCTAGTTATGTGTTTGTCATCTTATCAGTGAGAACTCCATTTTGTAAATGCTAACTACATTTGTGTTTATAACTGTATCGTTGATACCTTTATTGATTTATTAACAAGTGAAACTATCAAATATAATTTTAAAGAACTCTTTCTTATATTTATTCGATCGAGCAGGTGTTGATAAAACTTTCAATTCAACTACATTTCTTGATTTATTTAATTTAAATTGTTATTAACCATAACTCCAAAGCCGGACCGAAACAGTCACCATCTGGATTTAACTAAGCAAAAAGGTAGGAGCCTAATTAACTCAACTAATGCAACGAGCTGAAACAACCATGTCATACACACGCCCTGTGGACTGTCTGTCTATCCATTGATCCAGAGAAACCAGTGAAAACCCACACAACTGCCCACAGAAAGGCCTGCTTCACTTTAAAGAAAAGACAAACACTCGAGATCTGGCTGCATATATGCTGTTGTGAGTTGTTTTGTTCATAACAAGTTACTTGCCGGGTTGGAGACTCCTCACTGAGTTTCTACAGTATGTCTATCAGAGGAGGGAACGTTTCTACTGAGCTTCTGTCTGATTTCTGCTGCTGGGCTCGACACCAGATTCTGAATTATTTCTGCAGTGGCTGGACGCCGCCGCCAGAGGGCGTGCGGTATCGACTCCAAGCAACCAAAGCTCGTTTAATAACATGATGCTTCACTTTGAGTCGCTTATTAATCCATAAAACAACAAAACCTGTTACCATAGAAACCATCTGGCACTTTAATTGAATGTTTATCAAATAAAACCTGAAATTATAAAGACATAAAAAATTTTTGATCATTTGTTTTATTTTCAAACCAGCGATAAAACCACACACACAAAAAAAGATTTAACCATTCATATTTCATTAACCCATTACCAAACATGTCAGCCACAGAAGGTACAAACAACTGAGATTTTATCACAAACTGATTAAATGTAAAAATAAAATGCAGCTAAAGTGACACAAAACCGAGAATTTTACAAAAATAGCTGAAAGTAACATAAAGATAACAGGGACAAGAATTGAGATGCTGTCATTGTGTCCTTGGTTGGGCAAGACACCATCGCTTCTGTCAGTGATCCTTAAGGACTATGGTGATCCCCTTCAACCACACGGTCACCATATCTGCTACATTGTAGCTAGCTCTTCGCCACCAGGGTGTGACTGTGTGCGCTGTTAAATGACTGATTGATTGCGTAAGGCGCCTTGGGGGGTTCTAGAACTGTAGAAGGCGCTATATCAAATACAGACCCTTACCTCGTTTCAGTTAAAATATGACCTGGTCTCTCACCAACAACACATCTATCTGTGGGTGGTTGAAACCACATGGAGAAACTTGTGATTGTTGTCCAGAGGAAACCTGCAGAGTGAGACCTCGTCACTTCCAGACCCTCTTAGCTACAAATCGTTCTACTACGTCAAGTCGTCCGGTCCGCTCGGTGAAGATGTCTGCGACGGGCTCAGGCGGACCGGGGCCGGGGACCGGGCCCAGCTCAGGTTCTGGGTCCGGGGCCTCAAACCCCCGAAAGTTCAGCGAGAAGATAGCGCTTCATACCCAGCGGCAGGCCGAGGAGACCGCCGCCTTCCAGGAGGTGATGATGGACATCACGTCGACCAGAGTGAGTGTCAAACGGAGGCGGAGAGCTCCCCGGAGCAAGAGAGGCCTCTCAGAGGGATCCTACGGAGTTGGATCTACTCTGTCTCATTTGTGTTCTGCTTTGAGTTTCATTATTTAAACAAATAACAACTTTTTCACATAATAGAGCTACGGTCATGTCGCATTTAGTCTCGCAGAGTCTCGCTTGTTTTCCGTTTCCGTCGTTAGTTAGCCGCCGTTAGCTCCGAGGCTAACTCGGTTTGTTTACTGTGACAAGAGCGGCGCTACCAGGCTACTGGAGCCGGGAACCAATCACGAAACCCCGGGCAACAACCTGCCCCTTCAGTGCGCAGGCAGTTCAACCACACGGTAACTTTAAACACATTAACATGTCTGAGTTTAGCTTCTTGTTAACCAGAAACCTCCACGCTTTCAGATGATGGTGTAAATCAGCGCTGTTCCAATTTACTGACCTGAGATCAGTCAGGGTTCACCTGCAGGTCCAGTACGAACAACCCTAGCCGATCCGGGCACTGCCTAATATTAGTGTAAATTTCCTGTCAGCCGAACTGGATTTAAGCCATGACCCAACCCCTGACCCCGTTTTTCTTTGGTTATGGTTTTACGAGGTCACCTTTTTGCTTGGACAATAGAACAAAAAGGACATTTAAGTAAAATTGAAAAAAAAATAAAATCTAAATTATTGATGCAACTGTTAAGGGCTGAACACCAGCCTCCTTTGTAGACTCATGGCCCCAGATGGATGACCCCAGTAGTTTGGCCTTCTAGAACCTTCCAGATCAACAGTTTATCTACATTTTAATCTTCGTTTTATTATATTTATGTTTTAACATGCTCAATGATAAGAACATTAGAAAAGGTTAGTGTAGTAACACGACTGTAGTTTATTAAATGACCCGCACTTGTATAGCGCCTCTCAGAGTAAGGACTCCAAAGCGCTTTACACTACAGTGTATCATTCATCCATTCACACACACACTCATACACTGGTGGGGATGAGAGGCGAGGCTGCCGAGCACAGGCGCCACCGGACCCTCCAACCACCACCAGCAGGCAAGGTGGGTAAGTGTCTTGCCCAAGGACACAACAGCAGAGCTGGGATCGAACCTGCAACCTTCCGATTACTGGACAACCCGCTCAACCTGTTGAGCTACTGCTCAACATCGTGGTTATCAACGAGACAACGGACCTGTTAGTCCGCTAAGCCTTGGGCTAGCTGGTGTCCTCTGATTGTGTTCTTCACCACATCCAAGGATGCAAAGCATACCTGGCTGCAGGAAAGCATTTGGCTCAAACCTGCAGTAAACACCTGGTAGCTGAATTGATTCTGGTACTGGTCTTGGTTCTGTGCAGCTCCTAGTAAAATGTAGTGTAGAAAAATAATTTACCAGAAACTTTCCCTAGCACCATTAACTGTCAATGCAAACCACCCATCTTCTGCTCTCTCTCTCACACTCACACAGAGCAGCCGGAGTGTGTGGGTGGTCCAATCACCTAACAGCATCAGGGTGTGTGTTTTGCTGTTGATATGTCCACTTTCTATCTCCTAACGTCTTAAGACGGCTTCTTATTTTCAGCTTTTAAAGGTGAATCTGGCAAACAGCCGTCCTTTTGTGATTGCAGCCCCAGAAACGTGTCTTTAAATGATCATTACTCTGTAACTTCAGCATTTATTCATTTTTATCGGCACAATGAACAAATTCTGACCCGTTTCCTGGAGCCCGTCTTTGATTACAGCATCACATGGAGAGCTGACCATGGCCTTTCTGCTTTCCGAAAGAAAGTCTAAATATGTTTCTTCTAGGACTGGCCGTTTGTAAACAAGCTAAAAAAATTTAAACATTTCTTAACAAGACACAAACAACGTTTCAACAACCAGTGTGATTCTAGAGTTAGAACCGCTAGCTTTCTGCTTCTCCATCTTTCATCTCATCTTTTCTTATGTGTCCAGTCAGTCGGGCTCCGACAATTTGCAGAAAAGTTGTTCTCTAGACTCGTAAAAGTCTCTGGGTTCATGTTTTGCGCTAAACGTTACACTCCGCTTAGCAGTTCTTAATTTTGGGGAGATGTTTGTTTTGTGTTTCAATTAGCCTTTTTACCATGACTACCTGTGTTGTTTGGTCTTGTTTTGTGGAGAGACACGCCAACCCCCCCTTCTAACCAAATAACAGGTGCAGGGGCCAAAATTCCTTAGAAATGTATCTTTCTCTACTCTCTGATATAAGTGAATACTGCAAGATTTCAGCCGTACTTGCCTTCATAATAGGGTTAGCCAGATATGTCGGTTCGATGTTTATTTACCATTTGTTCTATACTGGCCATATACCTCTGTTGTAAAGAAGCTTTTAAATTTGGGCACCTCTCCGGGCAGCCCGGTGCTGCATCCGAAGTTTTGGCAACTGATGTTATTGGTGACATTGTAGCGTGTGAATAAGATACAAAATATCCGGATATTGACCATGAAAATCGGCAGCACATATCAATCTTCAGCTGACCTCTACATACAGCATTGGTATCGGCGATAGAAAAACCAATGTTGGTCGACCTCTACTTCTTAACTTTAATTGCTCCACTCTTCATCAGCCACATGAGCATAAACCACAGTGTAGTAGATTAATTTATGGCATGAATTATTTATACTTTTTCCTGGGAAAAAAACTACATTATAATGAATTATTATGGTATGACTACGCCTAGTTATCACATTAGGAATTGAAATAATTTTACATAGATAAATGTTTGTGTGACATGTAGCTTTGACTCTTTTAACTGTTTTTTTGGGAGGAGGACATGTTAACATTGTCGAAGCAACCCTAACCAGTTGTCAACTGTTAAACGTTTTTTGTCTTTTACTCAAAACAGGCAAATAGGCACATCTATTTAAGGTATTTTAAAAGTTTTACACTTCATTATTCTTTAAATTCTTAAACTTGGAAGGTATATGCAGAAATCAATTCATGTAAAAATAATCATGAAATTGTGATTATTTCTAAAACTAAAATCATACGACCAAAAATTCTAATCATTGCATTGGCAGTGGTTTAGTGTTGGTTTGGCTATATATATATATATATATATATATATATATATATATATATATATATATATATATCAATTTATTTATTTATTTATTTTTGGTTTGGTGACAATTTGGTGTCTGTTTGGCGATGGTTTGATAATGGCCTAGGGTTGGTTTGGTGATGTTAGATATGTTTTGGAGATAATCTAGTTTAGCTGAGAGTCTCCAAATCCAAAGGACATAATATTTCATCATCTCCATCCAGACTTGCATAACTTTCATCTCTGAGTTTGAGCTTTCAGCTACATGTTTAGATATTTCCAACTGATCCCACTCATCCTTGAACCTTGACTTTTAATCTCTGGTGTCGTTCACACGTAAAGATTAAACTGCCTTCTGTCATCTTTGGACATTTATTAATCTGCAGATAAAAGAAGGCTGCTGACATGTTTCTGTAGTTGTTGCAGACTGGAGGACAGTCTTGTTCTGGTGGAGTCCTTGAGGCTAGTCTCTGTATCACATCAGTGGTTTCTTGGGGCAACCTGGCTAGTCCCTGCACACTAGGGATGGACAATATATTGGCATCAATACTGGTATCGGCCAATGTTAGTCATTTTTTAACATATCGGTTCGATAAATAAAACCGGGCTGATATTAACAACTGATATTTTTTCCATCCCGTCTCCATTTGTTTGTCTGTTTCAGAGGGTGAGGGGGTGATGTGTAATTGTTTTAGTCATGTGAACAGTGATTGTAATCATCTCAGAACCGTAAAGGTGTGTAATGTGTGTACATAATAATGAAAATTCAGCTTTAATAGTTTTCATTCTATACAAATTTTGTTGATTTTAGAAGCATTAATGTCAGTATATCAATATCGGCAAATATCAGTTATCGGCAATAACATTGATCTTGATATCGGATATTGGTATCGGCCCAAAAATTTCATATCGGTGCATCACTACTGCACGCCTTTATTGTGGGTTCAGAACAGAATCGGCATCACAAAATATCGGCATCAATATCAGTATCAACCGATGTTACTAATTTTTAACGTATTGTTATCGGTCTGATAAATAAAACTGGGCCGATATTAACAACTGATACTTTTTCCATCATATTTCCATTTGTTTATCTGTTTCAGAGGGTGGGGGTGGGGGGGGGGGGGGGTGATGTGTATTTGTTTAGTCATGTGACCGTGATTGTAATCATCTCAGAATCGTAAATGTTTGTGGTGTGTGTGTGTGTGTGTGTGTGTATAATAACGTAAATTCAGCTTTAATAATTTTCCTTTTATGTAGAATCTGCTGATTTTAGAAACATTAATGTCAGTATATCGTATCGGCAAATATCGGTTATTGGCCATAACAGTCATATTAACATTGGTATCGGCCCAAAAATTTCATATGGTGCATCCCTAGCTGGAGGTCATTAGAGAGGTCTGTGTTGCTCTGTGTGAGGCTGCCTTAGCTTTCCTTTGTTAAACTGTAAAACTCTGGAACTGCAGATAGTGAGACCTTTTTGTAAAAAAAGAGAAGCTCTGAACCCCTGAAGAAATATTCAACGGAAACATCCAGGTGTTCCTGTGATTGAATGTTTGCGCAGAACTGCTGAGCAGCTGTTTTGATCATTTGGTCCATTTTACACTTTTTGTTCTGTGTCTCTTTGTTCTAAAAGATTTTCTATTTGTTGTTTTAATGGGAATCTCCTTGCTTGTTGTCCTGGTAGCTGCAGGCTCAGAAGCTCCGTCTTAACCGGACCCAGGGGCCGTACTACAGCGGGTCGTTACCCAACGTCAACCAGATCGGCAGGAACCCTCAGGACTTCCAGGTGACCCAAAAGCACCTTGATGATGTCACTTCCTGTTTGATAAATGATAATAACTGACCCGCACTTTTATAGCGCTTCTCAGAATAGGGACTCCAAAGCGCTTTGCACTACAGTGTATCATTTATCCATTCACACTAGGGTTGTAACGGTAACTGGTGTAGCGGTAAACCCCGGTAAAAAAGTTGACAATAATAATAACAGACTTGTTTTTAAAAAAAATATATTATCTCGGTGGATTACCGTGGCTGCGGTGTAGGCGCGGTGACCCTTACAAGCCACCGTATCATCTGCAGAATTTGCCGGCGGTACATGCGCGCTTTGTTGTTTACAACCAAAACTTTCTTGAAGCTAAAGCTGAAATAATGGCCAAAGGAGGAAACGGCAGCGCTCAGGACATTTATTATCCCTCAAAGAAGACAAAGTGGGAAGTACGGGCATTTTTTGGATATTTGAAGAATGCCGAGGGACAGTTGATAGAAGACGGCTATCCTGTTTGCCGCACGTGCAGAAAAAGTGTCTGTGAAAGGCAGCAACGCTTCAAATCTCATGACACATCTGCGTGACCATCACCCACAACTCTACAGTCAACACAAGGCAAGCTAACGTTAGCGTTTTAGCTAAAATGTGTGATCCGAGGATTTGGGTTGAGGGAGAACGCAACGAGTCGCTATATAAAGCAGCCGCAGCGCCCGTGTTGCGGACACCCCCATATTGAAATGACGCTATGCATTACGGGGCTCCCAGGGGCAGATAAGAGTTGGTCTCTCTCCGAGAATAATTATGAATTTAACAATGATTACTGCCTGATGGCATTTTCCCACATCTGCAAAACTCACAGGAAGGACACAAACCGAGGATGATATTTTCCTGATATAGGGTTTATTACTCAAGTAAGGGTAAAAATGTATCTGATTAGAAAGCTACTTGAGTACTGAGTATCATCTGAACTAATATTTTCAAAATTATGACATCAAACAGAAAAAAAAGAAGTTATGGGCAAATATTGGTATTTTAAAGACTAAAGGGGAAAAATGTAAACAAATAAACAACATAATTACAAAATAACACATTTTAGGCAAAATTCAGACACAAACTGAGGACAATATTTTCCTGATATACAGGGTTTATTTAGTTGTCTGAAAATGTAGCACGTTTAAAAAAAATACAGCGATAATACCGAAAACCGTGATAATTTTGGTCACAATAACCGTGAGGTTAAATTTTCACACCGTGACAACCCTAATTCTCACACACACACATTCACACACTGATGGTGATGAGCTACGATGTAGCCACAGCTGCCCTGGGGTGCACTAACAGAGGCGAGGCTGCCGAGCACTGGTGCCGCCGGTCCCTCCGACCACCACCAGCAGGCAAGGTGGGGTTAAGTGTCTTGCCCAAGGACACGACAGCAGAATTCTCTGTCCGGAGCAGAGATCGAACCTGATAACAGTCTGTCTGTAGATCACAAGCGACTCATTCCAGTTTTAAAATCATTAACTGAGCTGTTAGACCTTTTTAATCTGTGGAATAAATTTTATTTTGTATTCATAGAGAACATGGTTATTTAAACATCATAATTAAGAGCTTCTTTATAAATGGCTGCATGGTGAGATCATTCAGTTGTTTTCAAGCTAAACAAACAAAACCGTCGGACTCTGTCCAGTTCTGTAGATCAGTTCTGTCTGTACCAGGTTACTGAAGTTGAGTCAAGACCACACACCAAGACATCATGAAGTCTAGGTTTGGTTCTGGTTCATCTTCAGAAACTTTCACTTGTAGTAAACAGATGTTAATACAGCTGTTGTCCCGTTTGTCTTTTAGGGGTCCTTCCAGTCCAATCTGGAGTCCAATCGCTTGACTCGACATCACGGTCTCGTGGAGCGGGTCCAGAGAGACCGCCGCTTCATCTCTCCTGGTCGACCGTATCGAAGTCGCCAAGTATCCTTCCATCCTCTATTGGTTCTGTCATTTGTTAACATATCGGTATCGGTCTGATCAATAAAACTGGGTCAGTATTAACAACCAATATTTTTTCCATCTTGTTTCCATTTGTTTATCTGTTTCAGAGGGTGAGGGGGTGATGTGTATTTGTTTAGTCGTGTGACAGTGATTGTAATCATCTCAGAAGTGTAAATGTGTGTGGTTTGCGTACATAACGTAAATGCAGCTTTAATCATTTTCATTCTATAAAATATTTGCTGATTTTAGAAGCATTAATGGATAAAAGCATCTGCCAAATAAATAAACATGAACATAGTTTATCGGTTATCGGACATGACGGTGATGGCGCATCAGAACCACTGATCCACTTCTGAGATTGACATGTTCCTGGTTCCAAAGGAAGAGCTTCAAAGCCAGAGGGTAGTTTTAGGATCTGCAGAGGGAGGAGAATGTCCTCAGGGGGGTGAGAAGATGTAAAGGCAGGGATTGGGTCCCTGGGGTTGGGGGTGGTTTGGATTTATCAGTTTGAGGAGAACAGAGACACACATGTTGTTGTTTCCTTAACACTTGTCCCCCAGGTGGACAACTCTCTGTACAACCCAGCCTACCTGTCCCCACCGCCTGACGCTACCTGGAGAAGGTGTTGTCTGCTAACCCCTCCCCCCCACCACCAGTGTCTCTGTGGAGACGTGTTGTCCTCAGAGATGCCTGTTTGCTCATTTTCAAAACATCTCTGCTGCTCTAAAGTCTCTCTGAAACCTTAGTGACCTCAGGTGGTTTCAGTCTGGCCCAGAACCCCCACTTAGCACCAGAACTCTCCATCTATATCTGTTTCCCAGCACAAACATTTCCTCCAATCCTTTAAACTGGTTCCGGATCCAGACTTCCTAAAGGTCTGCAGGAGTTTTTTTTGTGACCGTTTCTAATATCTTACCTTCCAGAGATCCGTTTGGATAGTTTGGTTCACCTCAAACTGCCTGAGTCCCAGAAGAAACCTCTGCCTTCTGACTGGACCGTTTGATTTTTAACCTCATCAAGTACCAGAGGGTCAAAGTTCTCACTTGTAGTTTGTCACTTGTGAAGTTCCACTGACTCTACATTACAGCAGAGCTTTTCTTCTTGTCTCACCTCATTCTACTGGCTGTGATTTACAGAAACAAACTCTGGAATCATCTACAAACACATTTCCTTCCTGAATGACATCAAAGCTCGTTACGCTGTAATTGGTCCACTTCTCCTCGGCATCCGTTTCTGGATAAACCTTCTAAACGCATCTGAAACTTCTGTTGGTGTTCCTGAACACCTTGTGAAACATCTGAAGCTCCGACCTGAATCTTGGCTGAGAGGTTCAGGTTAGCATGGTCGGGTTTCCGTCACTCTTGATGAGCATTAGTTATCGGAGAAAGATTTGACCAATCACAGTCATAGAGACGGCACGCATTTGGACACCGCGGGAGCGCTGCACACACAGTCGGTTAAATCAAACAATCTCACCATCAGATCAAACGGTTTTCTGTCAAGGACTTCAGCAGGTTTCCTTTCAGCCTTTACAGATGTTTCTCAAGGCTCATTGTGGTTTTATTTTTATTTAAGTTGAATTTAGTGTTCAGAGTATAACATAAATACGACCATATTTAACTCCGTTACAACGTAATGTTGGCAACATACATTTTTTTTTTGGTAAGAAATGGCCACCGGCATGCCACAGCCTTACTCCTAATTTGAACGACATCCCAGTGTTTTGATCTGCACACTGAAAGATTTAAGGATGCTGGAGCACAAATGTGAAATGAGATCATTTCTTTATTTTGTAACATTTCTGCAGCACTAAAGCGCTGACAGAACCACGTTTTGCCCTTCAGTATTGGTTTATAAAGTGTTCAAGCAAACCGCTGAGATGAAGCTGGAGCCCAAACATTTAACTCATTAGTGGTCACCTTTCTCATATCTTCCGAGTTTGCAGGTGTGGAGTTTTTTCATGAAACGGCTCAGAATCCCAGGCTGTTCTTGAATGCAGCATCAACGGGGTTCCCCTGTTAACGTGCTTTTTAGCAAGGCATCAAACCCCTACCAGCTGAGTAACCACACTGAGGCAACACAAAGGTTTCACTGATCCTTCTGTTTGGCTTCACTAACACGAACCCGCTCCAACTCTGACCTTCGGGGTTCTGTTGGCTCAGACCTGCTCTGTCTGGTTTCTAACACGCACCCTAACTGACACATGACCTTCAAACTCCTGCAGCAGTTCTGCTAAATGTTGCTGGAAGAGGACTTTTAACGAGGAGCAGAACTGATTCTTCTCTTTGTTCTAGTCCGGTGTTTGCTTTTGCTGCGGGGTGGAGGTGGTTCAGTCAGAGTTCTTCTGTGATGCTTATTACAGTTGAAGGCTATTATTTAGTTTTGTCTTGACTAGAAACAAACTGATGATTCACCTGAGTTATAAAGCAGATCAGTGGAAGGAGCTTTCTCTGACCTGCAGAACCTAGCAGGAAGTAAACACAAGGTGGTGGTGGTGAGAGCAGACTCATAATTTAGAACTTCCACCCAGAGAGAGAGTGCGGTTGTGAATCTGTGATCGACTCACAGCTTCTTAGGTTTTCTGTAGCTCAGCAAGAACAGAAATAGATCAGCTGATTGTCTTTAATCTAGTTAAAGAGATCCGATGATTGACGGACCTGCTCCTGCTCTTCGCTCGCTGCTTCCATCTCTCTCCTCCCTCAGTTTGCCTTTGCTTTATATCATTTTCTCTTCCTCCTTCCTGGTGTTTCTCACTCGTTGGAGGAAAATAACATTCTGTTCTTGTTGATCACAAAAGGAATTGGTCTGGAAACTTCCCTGGAGATAAAAGCCAGTTGTTTCGTCTCCCCACCACTGCACTGAACAGGTGAATCCTCCTCATCCTCTTCTTTCCTCCCCACTCCTCCACCTGCTGATGGTGATCAATAAAGACTTGTTCATCTTGTTCTTTCCATCTTCCTGCGTCAGTGCTTGAGTCTATATTCTCAGACTCTGTTCTCTGCTCTGAGCTCCACCTCCTCAAGTAGATCTTTTAGGCCCGGAGCTTCCAGCTCTTGTAGGTAAAGCCTGGAGAGTGTAGAGAAGCTGCCTTCTGATTGGCTAAAGGTGTTCTGATCGCTTTTGTAGGTGTGTGTGTGTGTGTGTGTGTGTGTGTGTGTGTGTGTGTGTGTGTGTGTGTGTGTGTGTGTGTGTGTGTGTGTGTGTGTGTGTGTGTGTGTGTGTGTGTGTGTGTGTGTGTGTGTGTGTGTGTGTGTGTGTGTGTGTGTGTGTGTGTGTGTGTGTGTGTGTGTGTGTGTGTGTGAGAGAGAGACAGATGGAGAGGGAAAGGAGAAGTGAACCTTTTGTTACAGAAATTGAAGGAACTTACTACCATCATTTGTCCTTTTGTCTCCCTCAGAACAAACTCTGACTCTGCCCTCCACACCAGCGTTATGAACCCCCCCATGGGAGACCCCTTCACCATGGGAGGACCCACCCTCACTCCCCAGAACAGCAGGCTCAGTGGTGAGTAGAGACGCTCTAACATTGTAGCCATCATGAAAAGGTCAGATCTGAAGATGGAGGCAAAGAGGAAGTTGGCAATAATCGTTGATGCCATCCAAGACGGCACCATTCTGGCGCTCAGGGATCGCGGAGATATTCTAGATCTAAGGGGACAATTTTATTGAACCCAAACGGGCTTTAGGCAGGAAATCCTAGATATTTTAAGGACTGGCTACATATGTATTAAATGATCAATAAGATGTGATATTTCATATAAATATGAAATATCTATCTGATTGATCTTTGAATGTTTAATCGGAAGACTTTAGTTTCTTTTACTTATTCAGGGAACACACACTTGACATTAAGTCAGACAGAGTCAAGAATATAGTTATAAAAATGACTTTAATTCTATTTTCCTAACTAATGATTATACAGAACAAAGTATGAATGAAATGATGGAATGTAAGCTAGAGGTTATAGCAAAACCCAAGTATCTGAGAGACCTTGTGATGTCTGGGTCATGAAATTAATTTGGCTGTATGGTTTAATAAGCTAGAGATTCTTATTAAAAACCATCCAACACCATTTGTGCTGAGTCTACACACCCTTGTGTGGAAGTCCCCGGGCGATCCAGGGGGTCAAGAGGGTGTCCGGATGGACACAGCCGGTAGAGTGGACCTCTGGCAACGGAACTCGTAGACAGCTTCGATACGACCTGTGTAGTCTGAGATACCTCCAGGTGACGGCAGAAAGCTGGAATGCTTATTTTGCGTCTGATGCTGTTTGGTGGCTCTTAAAAGAGCCGTTGTCTCTCATATCACCCGCAAACGTTGCAGAGCAATGTTTTAACCTGAGGTCAAAAGAGAGGATGGTCTCAAATGCGTGCCTCACCGGTTTGGCTGAACCAGGAGGCAGCTGGAGAACTGCTTGGATCAGGAAGTGATCGAGCTTATATAAATTCTTGTTTACAACTTTAGACAAGTTAGAATTTGACACGTTTTAAAGGGCAGTAACAAAGACCTCAGAGAGATCACTTCTTCTCTGTCAGATACATAGAGGTTAACTCTTTGTAGTGATGCAGTGAGAGTGTTATTTCATGTTTATGTGGAGCAAAAACGTTAAAACGTTAATTCATCAATCATGGTTATATGAATATACTGAGATTTAACATTAAATCAACAAATACTCATTTGGTGTAATTTAAGATCGGAAATGAATCATTACAGGATATTTATTCATTTTAACACATCAATGATTAATGCACACAACACATATTTATACACTTTGGACACATTGTTCATTCAACAATAGATGATTACATGAAGTTTTAAAAGAGAGTCATTTATGGCTCAAGGAGGTCTCGTCTTCTGCATGAGGCCTTGAGCAAAGATATTATGGTTTCCTTGTTCGGTAACAAGGCCTTGTGCAGTGCTTTCTTGATGGGGTGTTTGTGTCTGCAAATTAAAAAGTTAATTTCTGGTCATTAGTGATGTAAATACTGGCCTTTGAGTACGCTACATAGACAGTTAGATCCCATAGGACTACTACTAAAAGGGCTCCACACTAGCATCGGCTCTACTGTGCCTGGACTAGGTTTAGTGTTCCCACCTGGGTAGTCTTGAATTTTACTTCGCTCAATCAGTATTTTTTCCAGCCCTCCTCCCAAGGTGGTCTGCTTCGGGCTGAACTGGTCCAACACACCCACTCCCACCTGGTTGACCGGCTCGAGTTCACGCTTCCCACATGCACAATTCGTTAATCTGGCTACTGTAGAGGAAACATGCGTTTGGCTTAAGCTGTCTGTCTGAGGAGCACGCACGCACGCACGCACGCACACACACACACACACACACACACACACACACACACACACACACACACACACACACACACACACACACACCTCTCTTTCATAGTGAGGACCCTCCATTGATTTCCATTCATTTTTGTGATTTCACCATGCCTAACCCATACCCCAACCCTAACCAACGCTGATCTATTCCTAACCTTAACTAAAACTTAATTCACACTATATCTCTAACTGGTATTGTAAGCTTCTGGTAAGCTTCTAAAAAAAGCGAGGACCAAAAAAATGTCCTCACTTTGTAGGGAAAATGGTCAAAATGGTCCTCAGTATGTAGTATGTACAAGAACACACACCCACACACACACACACACACACAGCTCCTTTTTTTTCTCTCTCGCTCTCTCTTTCCCCCCTCCCCCTCTCTACCCGTGCGTCTTTTGCCCCACCCACGTGCTCGGAGATGCGCTCATGACATCACTGATATCAGCTTCAATTTTGGTGATCGCCTACATGCTCAGTCACGTCCACATTCCTAAGGATGTGTGGGTAATCAACCCGGCTGGGTGGAGTGGAGCCGATGCTAGTGTGGAAGCCCTATAAATCAGCTGGTCAGCTAGCCATCATCATGGACCAGGAAATCTTTGCTGTGTCTATGTTCTCACTGCAGGTAAAAGCGCTTCTCGGTTAATTAACTTAATACGGGAAGAGGGTGAAATAAGAAGTAAAGTTTAGTTTTTAAAATGGCAAATGGCCTGTATTAAAAATGATGCATTCTAGAGTCCCAGAACTGGCAAAAAAACTACATGGAAAATATTGAACTAGCTCCTCTTAAGATAACCGGCTAGCAGAGCTTCTGACTGACAGTTTATGTGCAGCAGCAAATCAACTATCCTGATTAACAAGGTTATAAAAGCTCATAAATGAAAAATCACTTTGATGTGTGGGGGAACTTTTCCAGGCCCTCTTTAGCAGGGTGGGACTGGGAGGAGAGTGCTGTAGCCTTTTAGCTGGAAGCTAACCGGAGCCTGGGGCTGACGTCACCACCCGGTGGAACACTAGCGACATGGATGTAGGTGGGTTGGTTCACCGGCACGTATTGGAGTCAGCCCAGTTATTATCAGCTGCTTAACGACACCGAGCGGACACACGTTCCCGTTTGAAAGCAGCGCTGATTCCAGAAACCTCAGCACAAAGTGCGTTCATTAATCTGAGCCAGCATGACGAACAAGGGAAGCAAGCGGCAGCGGGAAAACGGGGGCGGAGCGGAGCAGAGATAGTGGAATTTTGGGGTAAGGGTCTACGTAGGGGGCGGGCGTATTACGTGAACGGACCCATCTGATTGGCCGCATATCAGAAGGGCTACATTTGATTGGTCAAATAATACTTCCGCGTAAAAAACAGAGCTGGTTTACAAAAAGTTGATGTATGACACGGATGGAAATGTTTGAACCAAACATTTATCACAGTTTTTTACGTGCTTTGCGATGGGCCTATTGCACGTCCTGTTATCGCAATAACGATAATTTTTCGATATATTGTGCAGCCCTAATTCATATATTTATATTTTAAAGACTTAATTGTCCATGAGAAAGGTCACCAACATATATCAACCGAGGTACGTCCTTAAACGCTCAAACGCGCTCTGTGATTAACGTCTATACGTAAGCGGTAGTCTAACGCTGTTGATTAGTGCTGACCGGCGCTCGGTTCATGTTGCATTAAGCTCTATAGGACGGGGTGGGCTTAGTAATTAAAGGCTTTTTCTTACAATACATCACAGAACATAAGACAATCACTTTTATGGATTTCTGAAAAATCATACGTAATTCCTGAAAAGGGAAAACAACAAATAGCAGCTTTAAGACCTGCATTGTGAATGTAGCCTAAAAGCTCTCTCCATCCGGATCCTGCTGTTGTTGGGATCTTCAAGGAATGTTGGAGCATCGTAAGTGAAGCTTTAGGCATGAGTATCACTGCCATGTTTGCATATCTACTCGGTAATCACACCAACACCTTCTGACAAGTAATGAACCTACAAATGCAACTGCTGTATAAACAGAACTGTTTGGATGAGCACACTGTAATGTTGCTGTTTGGATGTTTAATCGTGCTGCAGCAGCTGATGAGTCTAACTCCCGTCTGTTTGATGTTGCAGGTCAGAGCGACGGGGAGAGTCGAAGAAGTAAGTAAAACTCAGATGTCAGAAACTGAATCTGCTGTTTTTTTTTTGTTACTCAGCATCAGCATGAAGTTCATTCTCTTGTGCATCAGACAGAGACCAATTATTCATCTGCTATGAGGTCATGACCTCAGCACAAACGACTATTTTATTAGTCGACTAATCGTGTGTCGTGCGTTCAATCATACACACACGGATACTCACCTTTTCGAAGGTCGTCTCGTATTTCCTTTCCATCATGGTGGTGAAATGTGATTGGCCTGGTAAATAGTTGTCATAGTATTCTGGGTTGAACTTCTTGACCATGATCGCCGGCCGTTGACGGGGCCTCATGCCCTTTACCAGCATGTTCAAAATGGCCTCGGTCAGGATTTTTGCGGTGTGCACGTGTTTGGCCTTGTAAGAAACTTGTCCATTGTATAACAAGAGTGCTCTCTTTTAGCACTGTAACGTGGCGGGATAAAATAAATCCTTAGCATTTGCAACATTAGAGCAAATACGTGACATACATACGTGTTCTACACATGTAATCGCCATCACTATAGTTGTTGCTACACCTACGATGTTAGCGGCTAAGAGGTAAACTTACAGAGGCGACTCTACGTTCTACACCGTCATGTGCTTCCTTTTAAGATGCTTGTGCATCGCCAATGTGCTCCCGTGAAACAAGAGTTTCACATTACAAAGTTTGAACTCTACTTGCTTCTCGATTGTTTTAATACAATGCTCCCAAACCTTTGAGCTCTGTTGCCGACTCGCCATGATGCGTTATTTCTCTGGTGATTCTAGGGATGGGTACCTTTGACATTTGAATCGATCCGGTACTAATTCCCGGTACCTACGAGTCGATACCGGTACTTAACGGTACCAATTTTCGATACTTTTGAGTGTTTATTATTTTAATTCTCTTTTATAATTAAATATATATTTTTCTCAATATATAACCATATTTGATAAATGTCACGATAAATAACATACAAGTTTGTATTTTAACATCGTCCTTGTAGTTTTATAAGCTGATAATTAAACTGAAGCAAACATCTTTACTGTGAACTAAATTTACTGTGTATCTTCATTCCTTTTGCCGTCCTTTTTCATTTGATTTTTCCTACTGGGAAGTTAGAATTTCCGAGGAGAAAGCGAACGCACCATTAGCTGATAACAACGGTGGCAATGGCAGCTAACATATCAAGCTAACGTTATCTTAAACAGTTTATTTAGCTGCTGGAGCAGATTAAAACGATGATGCCTCAAACTTAGATCGTTGTCACTGGTTTTACCTTCACCCAATCACCCGTCGCATTTAGTAAAGTAAAGCCAAACTTTAGAGCGCGTTCATGTTCTTCTAGTCGGAAATTCGGAGTTCCGAGGAGAAAGCGAACGCACCATTAGCGAAACGGAAGCTAACAAATCAAGGTAACGTTATCTTAAACATTTTATTTACCTACTGGAGCAGATTAAGATGAGGATGTCTCACTTAGATCGTTGTCTGTCGCTAGTTTCATCACCCAGTTACCCATCACATTTAGTGAAGTGGACCCAAGCTTTAGCGTGCGTTCTTTCTACCATGCTTGCTCTGTTTACAACGGGCTCGCAGGGACCGGCGACATAACGCTCTTGCGCATGCGCAACTGTCTTGGCAGTACCGAAACGAGGCACCGTTTGAAATGACGTGAATCGGTGTTCGGTCGGTACTATGGAATTCGGTCGGTACCTTAAAAAGTACCGAATTCGGTACTCATCCCTAGGTGATTCTGATCCAAATGCTGAGCTTGAGTGGCACTATTGCACATGTAACTCGACTTATGTAAGCAGCGGCTGACACGGATGGCGACTAGTGCACATGTGCGTTGCGCAGACAGGCAGCAAACGCCGATTTGTGCCGTAGCAGGCGAGACTTTAAAAATGCTTATACAATGAACGAGGCGTCGACTATTTTTTGGTCAACGTCGTCGTGACTAATCGTGGCAGCCCTAGACCTCAGCAACAACTTTTTCACAAAGGTTCAAATATAACATTTAACTTCATCAGCTCTAAATCAGATCTGTCAAGACATCAGGATGATCCTAAACCTCCCAGCTGATTTCATTTTATCCACAATATTACCAGTAATCATTTCTTGTCCAGAGAAAAAAATCTGTCTCGTTAAGCTAAATTCATGATGCATCCTCAACTCAGGATTAGACTTCCTCTTTTTGGGCCTCACAGCTCTCTGTAGCTGTTTCCTAACTATGCTGGGGAACAGATGGGATAAACAAAGCTCCAGTCGGCAGCCATGGTGAGAAGGCTCGCCAAAACACAAACAAACATCACCAAATAATTAAAGCCACAAAGCCAAAAGCAAAGTTTAGAGCAGAACATTGACCCAGAGGTTTCCTGATCGAGCAGACGCGTGAGAATACAAGTAATGACCGCTTAAGAGACAGAACAAGATAGTGGGTAGTGCTAGTGGCTAACTACTAGCGCTATAATCAGTTATGGTGTGCTTCTTCAAAAATTCATAATTGTTTGTTTGCATGTTAATGCAGGTATTATTAGATTATTTTCCTCAGCTCTACTGAGCACCCCAGCTAAACAAACCAACACACTGCCCACAACTTGCTCTGATTGGTTCATCAGTGTGTCTGTCATGCCAACAGAAGCAGACTAGCAAATGGAGTGACTCGGCTGAATAGAAAAAAAACATGTGAGGCCGTAGACATTTCCAGAAATAATGGCACAGACGGGTGATGGAATGCGAAGAGACGATTATACGATCTCCGAGCTTTGGTAGATCGTTATCACTCTATAATCCTTATGTTGTCAGATCGCACGCCCCTAACCTATGTAATCACTGTCCATCCTCTCCTAACCAACTTGGTCTGGCCACTCTAAATTAATCTCTAAAACAATAAACTTGGGCTGTCCCTCTGATGGACTCAATTCTGAGCCTATCCATCCTCATCATTCCCAAAGGGAATCTCAACATCTTGATTTCTACAACCTCTAGTTCTCCTCCTGTATTTTCCTCATTGCTTCTGTTTCCTTCTAAATAACTCTATTTAGCCCCTACTAGCCACTAGCTCTGACTAGCCACTAACTCAGACTAGTCATTTGCTCTAACTAGCTCTTAGCTTCAAACTGCCATTAGTTGACTGATTAGTCATTAGCTCTCTGACTAGCCATTAGCCCTTACTGGCCATTAGCTTCAAATTGCCATTAGTTAACTGTCTAGTTATTAGCTCTCTGACTAGTCATTAGCTCTGAACAGCCGTTATCACTTACTAGCCATTAGCCCTGACTAGCACATTTGTCTAGATAGATGTAAAACTAGAGGTGTTTCTCAATGTAAAGGAACCTTGCCTTGATGTCTTGGCCCTGCCCCAATCGCCTAGGAGATACGTCATCGGGAGCCGCCAAGACGTGTTCCAATGTTCATGTTCTACCGAGGCATGTGTTCTCCGTTTGTTAGCCGTTTAGCTAGCTGAGCAAGGATACACAGGAGGTGTCTTGTAGCCTAGCCTTGGTCAAAAATTACCCAGAATACACCGCAGTATTTTCAAAAAGGACAGCGGATCAGAAGCCAGCAGCTACTTCGGGGGCAATTTTCACGTTTTAAAGTAAGTCAACTAATTTTAAATGTTTTTAGATCCAAAGAAGTTATCTATTGTTGGTTACTTGCTAAGTAGTTGCAGCTTTGGTGGCTAGCGGGTAGTAACTCACTTATATTTTTAATTTAATAAACATATACCGTACACAGTTTAAAAAGTAAAAGGCTTGTTATATATTTATATTGAAACTAATACATATAAAATATAACGTTATCTCCCGTGTCACGTGACGTTACGTGACCGTCGTGGAAGCCGCGGTCACGTGATGCAAGTCTGTTCCATTTAACCATTTTCTTTGACCAAGGAAGGACAGTGTCCTCGTAAGTAAGGCACCTGACCTCACAAGACATCGCCTCGCAAGGCTAGGAGCCTTGACATTGAGAAACAACCTAGGTCTCTGAACTGAAGCTGTTCAGAAACCTAGCACGAACCAAGCAAGCACAAAGGGTCGGATTTGGGTCGATTAATAATTTGAGCATGAGAAGAAGTCGAGAGTGGGAGTGGAGGTGGGGGGTTGTCACGGACTTGGAGTAGATGAAAGCTCTAAACAAGAGAACACTCAGAGAGAAATAAGAACAACATATTGGGAGCTTGGGAGAAAGCTTTTGTTTACCTTTTAAGTTAATGGTTTTTCTTGTTTGCTTCATTTATCTGCTCCTCCCCAGAGACACAGTGGACATAAGGAGATAACAAAAGTCAAAATGTCGTCAAAGGACAATTAGTGGAAGGATTAGTTAGCTGGTTAGTGAAGGAGATTCATCAGCTAGGTACAGTCAGGTCCATAAATATTGGGACATCGACACAATGCTAACATTTTGGGCTCTATACACCACCACAATGGATATCAAGTGAAACGAACAAGATGTGCTTCAACTGCAGACTGTCAGCTTTTATTTGAGGGTATTTACATCCAAATCAGGTGAACGGTGTAGGAATTACAACAGTTTGCATATGTGCCTCCCACTTGTTAAGGGACCAAAAGTAATGGGACAATTGGCTTCTCAGCTGTTCCATGGCCAGGTGTGCGTTGTTTCCTCATTATCCCAATTACAATGAGCAGATAAAAGGTCCAGAGTTCATTTCAAGTGTGCTATTTGCATTTGGAATCTGTTGCTGTCAACTGTCAAGATGAGATCCAAAGAGCTGTCACTATCAGTGAAGCAAGCCATCATTAGGCTGAAAAAACAAAAGAAACCTATCAGAAAGATAGCAAAAACATTAGGTGTGGCCAAAACAACAGTTTGGAACATTCTCAAAAAGAAGGAACGCACCGGTGAGCTCAGCAACACCAAAAGACCCAGAAGACCACGGAAAACAACTGTGGTGGATGACCAAAGAATCCTTTCCCTGGTGTAGAAAACACCCTTCACAACAGTTGGCCAGATCAAGAACACTCTCCAGGAGGTAGGTGTATCTGTGTCAAAGTCAACAATCAAGAGAAGACTCCACCAGTGTGAATACAGAGGGTTCACCACAAGATGTAAACCATTGGTGAGCCTCAAAAACAGCAAGGCCAGATTAGAGTTTGCCAAACAACATCTAAAAAAGCCTTCACAGTTCTGGAACAACATCCTATGGGCAGATGAGACCAAGATCAACTTATACCAGAGTGATGGGAAGAGAAGTGTATGGAGACGGAAAGGAATTGTTCATGATCCTAAACATACCACCTCATCAGTGAACTTGGTGCTGGAAGTGTCATGGCGTGGGCATGTATGGCTGCCAGTGGAACTGGTTCTCTTGTATTTATTGATGATGTGACTGCTGACAAAAGCAGCACGATGAATTCTGAAGTGTTTCGGGCAATATTATCTGCTCATATTCAGCCAAATGCCACAGAACTCATTGGATGGCGCTTCACAGTGCAGATGGACAATGACCCAAAGCATACTGCAAAAGCAACCAAAGAGTTTTTGAAGGGAAAGAAGTGGACTGTTTTGCAATGGCCAAGTCAATCACCTGACCTGAATCCGATTGAGCATGCATTTCACTTGCTGAAGACAAAACTGAGGGGCAAATGTCTCAGGAACAAGTAGGAACTGAAGACTGTTGCAGTAGAGGCCTGGCAGAGCATCACCAGGGATGAAACCCAACATCTGGTGATGTCTATGTGTTCCAGACTTCAGGCTGTAATTGACTGCAAGGATTTGCAACCAAGTATTGAAATGTATAAGTTTGATTTATGGTTCTTATTCTGTCCCATTACTTTTGGTCCCTTAACAAGTGGGAGGCACATATGCAAACTGTTGTAATTCCTACACCGTTCACCTGATTTGGATGTAAATACCTCAAATAAAAGCTGACAGTCTGCAGTTAAAGCACATCTTGTTCGTTTCACTTGATATCTATTGTGGTGGTGTATAGAGCCAAAAATGTTAGCATTGTATCGATGTCCCAATATTTATGGACCTGACTGCAGCTATCATTAAATCCTAATTCAGCCCACAGCCTTCTGTTGGAGTTATTATTATCAGTAAATATAAAATAAATATCCAACCTTTTTATTGGAAGTTTGTGTTTCATCACACTTCTGAAATGAGACCCTTGGGTTCTAACAAAATAACAAACCAGGCCAGACATGTTGTTTCATGTTATTTTTTACATTGATCTTATTTCATTGATTTTAGACTTAGTTTGTAAAGCTTAACTTGTTTAAGTTGTTGATTTAAAAACAATAATTTTAATATAAATAAACAACCTGTTAAAAAGCAGTAAAATGTAGGAAATTACATCTACTTACTAAAATATTTCTGTGGGAGACACCCAAATCCCACTTTTGCCTTCAGAGCTGCCTTAACCCTTCGTGGCGTAGATTCAACAAGGTACTGGAAACATTCCTCAGAGACTTTGGTCCATATTGACTTGATAAAGAGCTCACGTCACCCCTCTGTTCATTGAGCTCCACTGGCTACCGCTAGCAGCACGCATCAAATTCAAATTGCTAACACTAGCATACAAAGTCCGAGATGGTACGGCTCCCATCTACCTGAATCCTCTTGCAAAGGCTTACGTCTCGGCCCGGCCGCTCCGGTCATCACAGGATCGTCGGCTAGCAGTGCCTACACCACACTCAGGACAATCCAGACTCTTTTCATGCATCGTTCCACAAATGTGGAATGACCTACCAAGCACTACCAGAACAGAGGCTTCCTTTTCAATTTTCAAGAAACTCCTGAAGACCCTGCTCTTCAGAGAGCATCTTCTAAACTAGCACCCGTCCCCCCTCTCTACTGTCCACTCCTTGTTCCCTCCTCTCCACGATTGATGTCAAGTTGTTGTTGTTATTGTTGTTGTTAGCCTCAAGGGCAACATGTCGATTATCACTTGTAAGTCGCTTTGGACAAAAGTGTCTGCTAAATACATAAACATAAACCACCAGCCTGAACCGTTGATGCAAGGCATGATAGATCCATGCTTTCATGTTCTGACCCTACCATCTGGATGTTGCAGCAGAAATCGAGACTCATCAGACCACGGAACATTTTTTCAATCTTCTATTGTCCAATTTTGGTGAGCCTGTGTGAATCATAGCCTCAGTTTCCTGTTCTTGGCTGACAGGAGTGGTACTCGGTGTGGCCTTCTGCTGCTGTAGACCATCTACCTCAAGGTTCTACATGCTGTGAATTCAGAGATGCTCTTCAGCATACCTTGGTTGTAACGAGAGGTTATTTGAGTTACTGTTGCTTTTCCATCAGCCTAAACCAGTCTGGCCATTCTCCTCTGACCTCTAGCATCAACAAGGCATTTTCGCCCACAGAACTGTTGCTCACTGGATGTTTTCCCTTTTTCTGACCATTCTCTGTAGACCCTAGAGATGGTTGTGTGTGACAATCTCAGGAGGTCTGAAGTTCTTGAAATACTCAGACCAGCCCGTCTGGCACCAACAACCATGCCACGTTCAAGGTCACTTAAATCACCTTTGTTTTCCGTTCCGAAGCTGTTTGAACTGCAGAAGATTGTCTTGACCATGTCAACATGCCTAAATGCATTGAGTTGCCACCATGTGATTGGCTGATTAGTCATTTGTGTTAATGTTTATGTTTAAGTTTATGTATTTAGCAGACGCTTTTGTCCAAAGCGACTTACAAGTGATTATCGGTATGATGCCCTTGAGGCTAACAACAACAATAACAACAACTTGACCTCAATCATGGAGAGGAGGGAACAAAGGAGTGGACGGTAGAGGGGGGGGGGGGGGGGGACGGGTGCAGGGAGGGTGCTAGTTTAGAAAATGCTCTCTGAAGAGCAGGGTCTTCAGGAGTTTCTTGAAAATTGAAAAGGAAGCCGCTGGTAACGAGCAGTTGGACAGGTGTTCCCAATAAAGTGGCCAGTGAGTGTATTTGGAATGGTTTGCCAGGCTAGCTCTGGAGCATACAGGTGTGTGTTAACATTAGGAAAGACAGTGACTCGAGAGAACCCTTTCAGGTGAACTTCCATATTTACAGATCATTCCTTATTTTGTCCCTCAGTGTTCCCATACCCAGTTCCTCCCATTGAAGAGAATGTTCTGGATGAAGGCAAGCTGCTGAAGCCCTGGGATTCCACCAAGGTAAAGTTACTAAGGTTATGGTTACCTGCCCGTTAGGCTCTCTCTCTTTGTCTTGAACAAACCGAATCGTTTTTGTCCTCAGCTGCCTCTGTTGTCGTCCAGACCGAGGTCGTGTGAAGTTCCAGGCATCAAGTGAGTCATTGTTTGAACACACGGTGTTATGACTGAACCTGTTGTTCATGGGCTCAATGTCACGTGACCTTCTATTACTGGTTTTTGAAATTAAACATTGTCTTCAGATGTCTACAGCAGCACGTGACTTAAATTTGGCTTTATTGCAGTGTTTTTACGCCCCCGGAGCAGCCGTCTACACCTGTCCAAGGCGCACCCCCTGTCCCCAACACTGGTGGCTCGCTGCCCGACCTGTCCAGCCTCCACTTTCCCTCCCCACTGCCAACGCCGCTGGACAGGGATGAGCCTGGTTACCCAGGATCCTCTGCTGTGAGTGGTGGCAGCAGCACAGGGAACCTGGCCTCCACTCTGACCCAGCTGGGCATCAACGCACCTGGAAGCAGCAGCAGCTTCCACCAGCCATCAGCAGGTACACGTCAGCCTGAGCTGCCTCCTGTCAGTTGTTTTCTAAATTATCAGATAGAAATGTACTGCATAATAATGACCAGCTCATACCTGTTACCCGTGGTTTCTGCAAGCAGAACCGTCTCTAAATTTTTCTCTTAAATTAACTTTGTCGTTGTTAAACGCTGTTAATCATCAGTGACCAAAAGAGTCAAAACATTTAGTCCAAAGAAACTCAGAGGAGAGAAAACCAAACTTATAAGGAGGTCTGTGATTAAATGCCACAGCGGCTCCAGCTGCACAGCAATTAAAGGTGTGGTTGACTGATCAGATTATAGTCACAATCGGTCATTCTGAGTTTTTCAATCAGGATGACCATGAAAATAGTCTCCTACACCTATCTCCTGCATTAGCTCCTAATAGAAAATAGATGGTGAAAATCCTCACAGATCCACGTCACACTGTGAAATAACATTCATGGACTCACTGATCTTGACTCACAAAGTGTAATGCTGTTGTTTCAACATCCAGGAATCGGCAACGTATGTCTCAGCTAGTTTAAGCTAACTGTTAGCATTAGCAACTTAACATCATGACAGAACTCCTCCAGGCTTGTGTTATGTGTGGAGATAAAACATCCATGTTACAAGTCAGTGGTAGAGTCGCGTTTCTGTTATCCAGTCTAGGGCGAGATTTCCAAACATCAGGAAATAAGACTCAAAATTCAGTCGTCAGAAGCTCAGGTGTGATGTCGCAGACGTGGCCTGTTGAGACAATGGTTTGTTTGCTTTTTTGTGCCCCGAGTTCTGCCTGCAAGGCAGTCATTCCTTCTGGAGACCACTGCAAATGTATTGATTAAATGAGCAATCCACACCTTTTAAAGAAAACACAACTTCTAAAGAAACTATTCACAACCATCAGAGCTTCATTTTCTGGTTCCTTCAATCAAACAAGTTTGGTTGTCCATCTTAGGGACTGGAAGCTTCTAACAGCCTGGGCTTGGATGTCAGTCCAATGCCTTTTTAACCTGGCCATCCAGACCCATTGCTCCCCATAAGGAAGCATTGGGTCTGGGAACTCTCCCATTCAAATAACCCCACCGCCTGAAAATTCTAAACTAGCCAATCTGGGCTAAGCAGCATACGTCGCACACCGCGACGCTCGGTTTCTCATAAACGGTGAAGAGATCATCTGAAGTTCACTGAGGCTCTTTCTTCTGTTCTAAATGACTTGGACGTGTCTTTAAAACTACAACAATAAAAAGCCTTTCTTCCAGACGCCATTTTCGACTACAGCTAAAAAACTACATCGTAGCGCGGTACAGTCGGCATTATCACCTTTTCTGAGCTGGCTAGTCCCGCTCCTCATGTGCCTCTCTACCTGTGAGTAACCAGACTAGTTCTCTGTGTAGAAATAAGTAGAGGATGAGTCTGGCATGCAAGGCTAATGCCTTTTCAACCCCCCACACACTTTTTTTTTCTTCTTTTAAAGAAAAATTTCTTAAAGAGGGTGTGTGTGTGTATGTGTGTTGTAGATGGTTTGACTGGATCCTGAATAAAGTCTGAATTTTGTAGAGGAAGTGTGTGGGTGTGTGCTCTATACCTCAGCCGTCACTTTGGAGGATGTTGTGTGTGATCGGTTAAAGCACATCATCATGTTTAATCACTTGTGAGGTGACTGAAGCAACCACAGACAGGAAGCTGTTGTCAGCTCAGCATCAGACTGCAGGAGCATCCGAGGCTGATCCCGGATCAGTTTCAGGTTGAAGCACATGTGGTGATAAAGAGCGAGGGGCAGACCCAGCTGAAACAGCCACTCTTACTTTTAATATTCCACTGTTGTTTTTATTCCTGTTTAAGCTTGTGAAACCTTCTGGTCCATCTGTGCACCGTCTGGTTTTAGATCTTGTTTCTGTTTGTGGACCTGCTCAGTTGATTCAAATGTAACCTTTTCTAACCCTAACCCTTTTCCAACAATTCCTATCTGGAGGCTCTGGAGGATCCTTCTCCTTGACGTTGGTGGGACTCCACCAGCAGCTTCAAACACCTGCTTACCGCTTTAAGGCATTTCAGGGAAATATGAAAGGTTCTCATTAGGGATGCACCAAAATCAAAATAGTTGACCAAAACTGAAAATCAATGAACCAAGGCCGAAAATCGAAACACCAAAATAAATCATTTCAGTAATTAGAACCATAGAATTTGTGGCTATGATGTGTACTAACCTCACTAAAATAAATCAATTACAAAACTATGAAAATGTTCATTTAGCACTGGCATAACAACAATGCACAATATAAAATAAAACTAAATAAAATGTTTCACTTGACCGCATTTTGTGTACATTAAATAATATCCATCCATCCATTTTCGGTCATTTATCCGAGGTCGGATTGCGGGGGCAGCTCCTCTGGGGGAATCCTAAGACGTTCCCTGGCCAGCCGAAATGCATAAGTCCCTCCAGCGTGTCCTGGGTCTTCTTTTAGGTCTTCTCCCGGTTGGACGTGCCTGGAAAACCTCACCGGGAAGCGTCCAGGAGGCATCCTGACCAGATGCCCAAGCCACCTAAACCGGCTCCTCTTAATGTGGAGGAGCAGCGGGTCTACTCATAACCCCTCCCAGATGACCAAGCTTCTCACCCTACCTCTAAGGGAGAACCCAGCCACCCTGTGGAGAACGCTCATTTCAGCCACTTGTATCTGCAATCTCGTTCTTTCGGTCTCTACCCAAAGCTCATGACCCTAGGTGAGCGTTGGAACGGAGATGACCGGTAAATCTAGAGCTTTGCCTTCAGGCTCAGCTCTTACTTCACGGTACAACACCCGTATCACTGCAGACGCAGTGTTATTAGATGTGTAAATTCAATCTGAGCAACACTTTTGGGTGTTTCTATTGAGATTTTCAGAGTTTATAGAGTTTGAAAACTGCCTCTCGTCTGGACGAATATTATTATTTATTAGAGAGGAGAAACTTGCAATGCTGACAAGTCTGCTCTTTGCCTAGTAATGGCTGACTCTGATTCTGATTTTGAAGAGTAATATTCATCCTCTGATGATGATATTCACTCATCCACTGAGGAAGAAGGTGGCATTGCTGCTACGCGCATCAACAGTCTGTGGGCTTCATGTGGATCACACATGATCCAAAGCTTATTTCACCATGTTCAGGACATGGTGATGTAGAAAGGATGCTAAAAACATTGCTAACAAATGTAGTGGGAATGTAAAAGAAGGGAAAATGGCCAGGCAGATGTGGTAGATGTGAAACTGAAAGTAAAAAGTCTGTTACGTAATTGATATGAACATGCCAGCGATCGTAATAAAACAGCATTACTAAATGGGGGGGAAACTTTACTTTAGGAATCGGCACAAATTGACAATTTTTATGAAGCAGAAAGAAACTAAAACAGGGTTCGCCTGACAGCCTCTTTTGGCTTTGTTGTTTCGACGATGTAGGTGTTTTGGCCAAAAATTGAAAATGCTCTTTTGGGTCATTTTCGGTCGATAATTTTCGGGGCATCTCTAGTTTTTATCTCAACGGAGATCCTTTGTCTTTCACACGTTGTTTGAACATGTACGTCTGTTTAAGGATGTGGAACAACCTTTCAACAATTTCCTTTAATTGGACTCACCTGAAAAACTAATGATCACAGGTGTCTAAGGTTGTTTTCAGTGATCCAAAGAGCCCTGAGCTGTAGTAAGAGTTTAAATGAGAAACAAAAAATCATGCCATCAAAAGAAATTTTAAAAATTAATCATTTGGAACGCAGCATTTTTTAGTTCAGGCTCTGAATTTGTTGACTACATCCCCACTGGGAATGTTTGTGAGACACGTCACGGAGAATGGAGGGTCACGCTAGAAAGCTGCGCCCCTCTGAGCAGGAAGTGCGACAAATAAATCAAAAGTTGATTGTTTTTAAGGTGTGAGGGTTTTCTGTGGTTTTATGATGATGTGTCTGGACTCAGTCTCTCCTCTTGTCTTCCTCCTAAGGACTCCTGGCGTCTCTACAGAGCACCCTCAGCAACCCCAACCTGCAGTCGTCACTAAGCAACCCCAACATCCAATCGTCACTCAGCAGTCATTCTTTTTCCAACTCTCTAAGCTCCGCCTCCCTGCAGTCGTCGCTAAGCAACCCATCACTGCAGTCATCACTCAGCTCCTCCCCCTCCCTGCCGTCCTCCCTCAGCAGCCAATCACTGCACTCGTCCCTCAGTAACTCCTCCCTCCAGTCTGGCAATAGCTATAGCGGAGTGGGCGGGGTAGGTTCAGGCTCCTACACACCAATGCTCACCGGTCAGGGCCAGCCATCACTCAGCACGTCGCCACGGAGACGAGCCCAGCTGTTACCCCTCATCCTGCCTGTGGGAGGAGAGTCACGGAGGCATCACTCCAAACAGTTCTCCCCCACCATCTCCCCCACTCTGTCCTCCATATCTCAGGTAAGAACACACCTGCAGTTTGGTTTAAATCTCAGCTCAGAGCTGGAATTTTTATTGAATTTAATGTTCTGGTTTCCATAGAAACCATGTAATGCCACCGGTCACTTTGAGTTGCACGTGTATTTTCTTCAACCCTATCACCTGCTTTAGCCACAGGAAGGAAAAAGACGGGAAAAGAATGGGGTCAGAAAAAGCCCGTCTCTTCTACGTCACATGGACTATTAGCTTCCATGGCCCCGCCCACCTGGGCTTCTACCTGGTACAGGAGGCACTACAGGACAGCAGATTAATTTCTAACTGTTTATTGCAACTTCAAGCATTATGTTCATCACCATGAATGTTTTGCTATTTTAGGAGAAAGTGAAAGTTTACATTCAGATGTTGCCAACGATCAGGAAGCAGTAGTTGTTCTATTTCCTCTTCGTTCTCTGAGTCAGGATCACATAAATGAGCTTATCAGTAAAGACATTAGCGTCTAAGATTACCAGTGATGGGCAAGTTACTTCTAAACTGTAATGCATTATTTATTACTTGTTACCCTCATTTTAAAGTAATTCATTACATTACAGTATTACTGATTTTAAAATGTACGGCATTACACTACTTTTGCATTACTTTAAGTTACTTTCACCAAAACAGCTTCAATATGAATCTGGTAATCTGACGCTCAGTGAGCTCATGACATACATGTGGAAAGTGATGTGGTGTCTGAGCTAGGATTGCTGTTAAAAACAGTCAGATATAATAACAGTGCTTTAAAATGATTGTTTATTAAATAAAAGCAACAACAATCTGTACTCTCAGCACGCTGCCATCTTATATTATCTGAGCAGGGAGTGAGGTGGTGGGGGCTCCAAGCCTATATTTACCTTGGTCCCCAAATGCCTTGATACGGCCCTGGATGTGGGACTGACTTCTGGGGTGATCTGATTCTATCACATGTATAAATATTAAATGCTTATGTATATTATTGCTTTTCACTGGTAAAAATGTGTATTGGGGATAAATCTGCCTACTTTTTTCTTTTCAAGCACTTTGTTTTGTTTTCTTTATTTCATTTGAATAATTTCCGGCCCTTTCTCTCTAACCTTCCTGCATGCTGCATGTTTTCACCGTCTTCCAGAAAAACTGTTTCTTAGATTTCCTACTTTCTACCTGATCAGCCAAAGGGATCTACCAAACTAAAAAAAAAAAAGCTCAATATGCGCTGCACTCCAGCAGCAATGAGTTGAAATCACCGGGGCACAGATTATGAACTCAGCTGAAAAGTACATGAAGTACCAGAGAATATGGGCTGATATAAACGATCGCAAACGAATTACTTTGTTGTGGTGGAGCGATTTTGTGAATATAACAGCGGCCGCGCGCAGGACGAAGCTGGAGTATTTGAGCCATTACCGCTGCATCCTCTCTGCTCATAGAATGCCCACAAAGCTGAGTCCATAAATGATGTCATATATGTGGATACAGGATCTTTTTTCAGGCTTCCTGCAAATTGAATTTTTAGGAAACCCGCATCTTGATTCTGGGTTTTAAAATGCATTGTAATTACTGCGTTACTGACAATTGTACCGAGTAAATATTACCATTTTCTTTCCCTGTAATGCCTTACATTACCACATTACAGCAAAAAGCAATGCATTATGGTAATTAATTACTTTTATACCGCATTACTCCCAACACTGAAGATTACAGTATTCTGAGTTTTGTTTACAAAGGCAGTGGAAGAGTTACATTGCTGTTAGCCAATCAGAGGCCGTATATAAATATATGCACATCACAAATATTAATGCGTAAGTGTCCTGTCATTTTCCTACCACCCTCCATTCTTCTGACTAACTTCTAATTCCAGAAATGGGAGCACCAGAGCTTTGTTTTCCACAGAAAACGACTCACAAGGCATTTATTTAGAAACTGGAGACCAAAGTGGATTTTTAAAGAAATGAGTGAATGAAAGCTCTTGTGTTTTGCTGTTGTGGAGCGTTCTCGGCTAGACGCCATCAGCTGGTTTGGTCTCGGATCGGAAGCCATCTTCTGTTTTGAGAGCGCTATTTAAAAACACTGGATTTGCTTAAAAATTCAGCCATGAAAACGACATGCCATTTGCCTTTTCACTTTACCCTTTAACTTTAAGAATTTAAAGGGTAAAGAATTTGACCGGGTGTAATCTGAACCTTTGTTTTTCATTCTATCTGTACCCCACCCTACAGGGCATCCCGCTGGACACCAGTAAGCTGCCTCTGGACCAGCGTCTCCCCCCTTACCCACTTAGCCAGTCCCACCAGCACCAGCCACTCCCCAGCCTCGCTGGTTCTCAGCCTGGTCAGCAGCTGTCTCCTCTGGGTCAGCAGCACCACCATCATCACCAGCAACAGCCGCTCCACCTGCAGCAGCCTCGATCCACCACCCAACAGCAGCAGCTTCACCTGCAGAACCTGCGGAACCAGAACCTGCAGCAGCACTTTGGAACAGTATGTTGTGGTTGGATTCACATGTAACAAGCATGATTTCTGTTTTGATCACGCTGTTCTTTGCAGTCACAGAGGTCCATGGTACCACAGGTGAACTCTCCTGTGAAGGCTGAGACCAGGTTTGAACCATGTGTCCAGACGTCCTCTCTGTGTCACGTCAAACAGGAAGTGGAGCAGCAGCAACAGGCTGGCAGCCTCCACCAGCAGCAGCACATCAACCTGACCTCCGACTTTTACAATGTGAGTTAACCCAACCAACTTACATCTATCCTGTACCTGTAACCAGCATGCATCCAACCAATTAGGGGTGTAACTGTACGCAAAAATCGTTTTCGGTTTGGTTCCGTGTTTTGAAGAGCTCGGTTCATTAAATTTTTGGTATATTTTTATTTTATTTATTTATTTAATATCTGAAGCGGCTCCTATAGTGAGCAGAACCAGGTGCCATCACAGGCTGCTGATCTAGCACAATGTTTTTAATTATTTCACAGGTTATTTGCGCAGCTATAAGTTCTTCTTTAAAACTCGTAAGAAATAACGAGCTTCCTCCGCGCCGTATTTTTCTTTGTAGGATAAAAACTTTACATCAGTTGTTCCAGGGGGAAAGATCAGTTGTTCCAGGGGGAAAGTTCAGCAGACGTGTTTGTTTACATTTTTGCTGCTGTGTGCCTGCAGTGTGAGAGAAGGGAGGGAGGGGTGAAGCAACACTCTGTTCAGCTTCTCTACAGGCTCCGGTAGCAGCGACAGCCAGCTGGTTTTATCCGCCCTGAAATGTGTTGGTCAGAATTTACAGATCACATTTTTTAAACAGAGATTGGGCGCTTGCAGCCATCATGCGTCACACACGGAAACTCGCCTAGGAACTTTTATCTGCTGCATTTAAATCCTGCCAACAAAAATTCATAATTTAACGGAGAAAATAAACCGAATTGGTACACAAGTGAACCGAACTGAAACAGTTCAACACTCCCTCGTGAAACGCTACACCCCTACAACCAATACCCTCAACCTAAATGCATGCATCCAACCGGCCAGGACTCCCTATGAGGTTTTACATCTCAAGGGGACCTTCCTAGGTAAATAAAGAATAAATAAATAAAAATAAATCCGACCAAAACATCCAACCGACCTGCATCCAACCAACCTTTTATCGTGTATACTTTAAACATGTTGATTCTAAGATGCGTCGACTCGAACTCGTTAACCCCAACACATCAATTTAAACACATTCATTCTGTGCTGGTGTGAGATTTCCAGACCTAAGGCAGCTAAATTATTAAATGTTCTGTTTGGTTGCAGGATGCGCTGCTCAGCTCACTGCTGGACGACTCATATCTCAGTCTGCAGCTGTCAGAGAAATCCAACCAGCAGGTAAATGCGAGGTGTGACCCACACACCTGAACCCTCACCTGGGTGTGTAATTGGGCTGTACCAGGTCTAAATCATGTTGTGAGATGTTCTGTTACTGCAGCAGCAGGCTGTTTATAGATGAGACCAACAAAAACCTGAACTTTATTTTAAAATCAGCTTTTTGGTCAGAAATCTAAATACTGTCCGGTTGTATTTTTTATGGATCTCCCTTCTGTTGCAGTTCTTAGCTGATAACCAGGCTGATGTTCTGTCTCTGAACCACGTCGACCTGAGCAGCAGCACCACTGACAAGAACCAGTTCCCTTCGAACAACCATGGGATGCTGGATCTGCAAGGGCCCGGGAACCCGCATCTGCTCAACAGTCAGAACTACTGCTCCGAAGATGGCCGACACAACGTACCCAATATCATCCTGACAGGTACCACCTAGGACCAGAACCACTTTGCATCCATCTGAGCTCTCCTTCTGATGGCTGCTATTAGTTTATTTATTGAATTAAAGGTGTAGTATGTAAGAGTGAGAAAATCCCAAAAGAATGTTTCAGTCATTGTGGAAGGAAGGTTTTACTGAAACATATTTCATATCCAGCTGGCCGCGGGGATTATCAGGTTTCCTTCTTTCAAAACAAAGGAGGGACTGTTTACCATCAGTGAGTGAGGGGTTGCCGTGTCTCCTGCGAGCTAATACTGCAGCGCCAACAATTGTAATTTGAAGACGACCCGCAAAAAGCTTGAGTTGTTTTAAGTGGTTGCAGTTACCAAATTTTACCACAGGCTGTCATTTTTACTTAATTTCTACATAATACACCTTTAAAAATAAAGAAAGGTTCTGGTGATTTGGACCAGAAACATGTTCATTTCAGCTGAAAAACCTTCAGCCCAGTTAATGTTTTCTTAACAGGACGTGTTCAGAACCGCTAACAGAACAAACACCACTACGACTAAAACAGCTGTTTTAATCTTCACCAGTACCAAGTCACGAAAATAATCCAGACACATGGAATCTAACCCTCAGAGATCAAAGGTCAGCTGCTTTTGGCTCTCTGAGGTTCCTCTGAATATCTTTAGGAGGAATATTTACATTTTAGACAAATAAATTGGAGGATCCAGCTGATCTCCCATCCCAGCAGGTGTGGAGAAGAAGTCCAGCCAACAAGTCCAAAGTGTCCCTTAATGTGGACTAGATCTTCAGTTCTGGCCAGTGACCGAACCCTCCCCTCTGGAGGATCTAACCGGAGGCGTGTATTATAACCAGGACTAGTTCTGCTGTGGTTCTAACATGTCCCTGTCCTGTCCCTTCAGGTGACTCTCCCACAGGTCTGTCCAAAGAGATTGCCAGCGCTCTGTCCCACGTCCCTGGCTTTGAGATGGACCCTTTCTCTCTGGATGAGCAGCTCAGGATGGACCCGCTGTCCCTAGACATGTTGGAGGGCGACCTTATGCTGGCTGACCCAGCTGTGGAGGACTCGTTCCGGTCCGACCGGCTCAAGTGACCCTGGTGAACAAATCGTGACCTCGTGTGGAGGTGGAAAGGTCATCGGCCCCCAAACCCCACCCCAACCAGCCAATGTGCAGAGTGGGGTGTGTGAGCAGCTCTTCGTCAGTGATGATGATGAGGATGAAGAAATCTCTGACAGGAGGGGATGGGGATGGGGGCGGGGCCTATCAGAGGCTCTGCTAGCGCTTGTTTCTTGGCATTAGCTTGTTTGTGTCTTATCTGCATGCTGACCAACATGCAGGAGTGCCGGTCAAAGGTCATGTGGGCTTTATGTAAAAACCAGCAGCGCTTGAGCAGCATTATGCATGTTGATGTGCACGGAGTGTGTCCTAAGTTCAAAGGTCGCTCTGCTGCATCAGCCAACTTACAGGAACTCAGCCATTACTTAAGAGAAGTTTTGCCACGGTTCTGTTTGGACCTGGCGGTTCTGTTCAGGTATGAATGGTCAAGTGATCTCTGGGCATGTAAGCGGCAAGCCTTTCTAGCCTGATTTGGGTCTGTAAATGTTCTGCATGTTAACTTGTTTGGTTCTGATCCAGAGAGAGGTCAACTCGGTTCAGAAACTAGAATGGTTCTGTACCTGATGTCAGAACAGATCCAAGATCAGTCCAGATCGAGAAACCAGTCCTGCAGCATTTCCATGTGGAGCTGGAATTCAGCTTCTAAAGGCTCCCCTAATCCAGGTTCACTCCAAACTGGTCCAGCAGAACCAGAACCAGATATAAGATTGGAACTGATCTGGCCATCAGGGTTTCAACCTAGATCTGAATTTTACTGATGTTTATGAGGTGTTCCTGAATGCACCAATGCTGTAAGCTTAGAGAGTTGTGGAGTTTACAGATCAACACGTGGTTCCTTAAACGCATCGCAAAGTTTCTCATTTACAGGAACAGAACCACAGGTTCTGGGTCCAGAACAGAACAGAGCTGCAGAGAAAACTCAGCCAAAGTCAGAATGACGCTCCGGGTCGGATCAGAGCTTCTGGCCCAGATTGGGTGTTCTGGACAAATCCGTGTGGTACTACACCCAGCCATTGTTGGACTTTTAAGTTCTGTTGTGATCAGTTTCGATGTTCAGATTTTTCCTGACCAGACTCAGACCTCGTCTGTTTATTTTTATGAACGGGTCAGAGGAAATATTTTGGCACTTTTAAGATTTGAATCAGAGAATTGTTCAGACGAAGGCGCTGAGTCATGAAACCTTGCCCTTTAGCTCCGCCCACCCACTGTGATTAACCGCTCGCTGCCCTTCCTGCCATATTTTTGTGTAGGACTCAATATTCTGATGATAAAATAGTTTTTATTTCTAACAAGAGATTTTAAACCTGTAAATAGTTTTTGATACAAGAGTCTAACAAAACAAATTGTTTGCTGCTCCGTGTCGGAATTTACATGTGTTCTAACAAGTACACATGCTAGAGTGTGGCTTTACAACAAACATTGATTCTGTAAATAAGTTCATTGATTCCCATCCCCCCAGTTGTATTTTCACTGAATGGCCATAAGATGGAGACAAACAGCTATTTCCTAAATAGATTTTATTGTTTATCTGTGATTCTATCACGTTATCTTCTCAAACCATTTATTTCCTAGTGTTTTCCCTCACTAGACAGCCCTTTACTACCTTTATAGAACTGTTTTTAAATGGCCACAAGAGGGCGACAGTTATCCAGCAGAAGCCAAAGAGCAAAAGCCAGTCACTGCTTACTGAATTCTCACTTCTTCACTTTGATATAAAATTATTATATTTAAACATTTATCATGTGATGGGTGTTTTCCACTGATGGTAACGTCTCTGAGTAAAACTTCTGCTCATCAATGAACCACAGGGGGGAGGCCTCAAGAGGTGGCTGAAGCCTTAGACATGAAAACATAGATGCCCCATTGCTGTGGTACTCGCCCCGGTCCTGGAGAGCCAGCATGTTTTCATTTATCTGCTCCAACACACCTAATTTAGTGGTTGACTCACCTGTGCTGCAACTCGTATGGCTCTTCAGAAGCTTGTTAATCACCTGCTGATTGACATCAGGTGTGTTGAAGCAAAGTTAAAACTAAAACCTGCTGAATACCGGCTCTCCAGGACCAGGACTGAGTACCGTGCTGGAGCGTTACAGCGTCACCGCCATATTGGATGGGTTCCTCACTCCAAACCTAACTGAAGTCAACACAGTGTGACCTACAGTTGCAACAACCAGCATGCTATTGAAAACAGGATTACTATTGGCTTTTCTGGCTTACCTGATGGGATTTAATGTTTTTAATTAAAAAGCATAATAGTGTTTTTTTAGTTGCGGAAATGCATTCGTCAGTAGAAATAAATGCACAGGGGTGAATGGAGACCCATCCAAGATGGCGGCCTGCTACTAAGGTTGCTCCAGTAGGCAGCGGCAATCCACGAGGTGTGTCTACATCCATCTGTCTGGCTGAAGCATAGACTGTAAATACTGAAGCTGGGTGCTTGTGTAGAGAGGAAGGTGATGTTCAGAGTCGCCCCCTGCAGGTCAGGGTTACTTTAAATTGTCACTAATTTGCTTCGAACTGGACGAACCAATCAGGATCCAGACAGGATGAAAACATCTCTGTTTCAGGTTTTCTTCGTCGCTCACGTTGTGTTTCTAAGAACATACAAATACTCCAAACATTTAGTTTCTGTTTCTTTGTGTATTTGCGTAAGCAAACCTGTAACAGGAAGTCATGTTAGATTATTATTTAGTTTTATTGATCAAATCAGCCTGAAGTTTAGAATCAGTCTGATGGAAAAAAGTCTTTTTATTTTTAGGCTTTTCCAATGATTGGCTGTCCATCAGGTCAAACAAAAATAAATCCCATAATGCAACTGTCTCAGGTGTGTGTGCGTGTGCACTGACTAGGGATCAATTAAAGGCCATATTTCATATTTTTGTTAATATTTTGTACATTAATTTGTCTTGTTCATATTGTTTTTTTGTTTTGTTTCCAGAGAAATACATGAACATATTTGAAAAGGTGGATTCCGTTTTTATTCAGATTTTTATTGGAGCTGTGTGACAACCAGGGAATGTCACCTGTTGTAAAAATGAGTTTGTTTTTAAACCAGAGATGCTCCTGAAGCTAACAGGAGAGATTTTATAATAAACTGTAACATGACTTTATTTTACAGAAAATAAACAAAATGTTGCCGTTGATCTATTTGTTTTTAATGGTTCAGCTAAAAACTTACTTATTCATCCATCATTTACCTAGAGCCAGGTTAGGGGGTGACAGCTGTTCCTCCTCATCAGAAGGAGCTTGTTGATGAGGTTCAGGCTTTCTGAAGAGGTCTCCCCTTCCACATGAGTGATTTCAGACATGTCCCAGCTAGGACTCTTGACTGGTTTTGGGACTTCTCTGAGTCCACTCCCACCAGGTTCTGGATAATCGTTGACTCATGAATTAAATGGACCTTTGGTTCAGAAACATTGAGACAAATCAGTCGACTGTACCTTGTCAAACTTCTAATGGCCATCCCTAGGAAATCCCCCCCCCCCCCCCCAAAAAGCCAGTGTTAATAAATCATAGCAATGTTCACTCAAACCATAGCTTGATCTTGTTTAACCAAGACATATTTGTAAAAATAAAAATAATACACTAAATGAGTAAAGAAATAACCAGAATGCAAAATAAATGTTTCTGCTAATCACCTTTAAAAAATGTTTTATCTCCATGTTTTTGTGAACACAGCAACAGATTAATTGAACTAAAAAAAATACATTTTTAAATAGTTTGAAATAACATTTTAAATAACTGAAGTGTATTTTTCTGAAATGTTTGTAAAATGTAAGTTAAATGTTTTGGATACATGCTATTTCTTAAATAAAAACTAATGAAGGATCAATGCAATATATCGCCACAGGCTAAACTCTCCCAACATTAGCACATGGACCAGTTTGGTGTTCCACTCCAAATATTTCTTTTGCCACATCTGGCCACCCCTATCAAAATTTTCTGGAGGTGCCCCTGAAAACTAACTCCAAAGCTGCAAAATCGTTCTTCAGACCAGAGGGCCTGGATGATCCTGGTCCTGTAGGATTTGTCATTCACCACCAGGTGGCAGCAGAATAACACAAACCCTGGACAGGCCGTCGGCTGAAATGTTTCCAGCTTTTACGTTAAATTGAGTAATTTATTTAAAGGAACTGATTCGTTTGTAAGTTAATTAGCTTTTTGCTATCTGAGAATCAGAAGATTTGGTTTTAGAATAAGTTCTGATTTTGTATTTTTCATAACATGAACATTTTAAAAAGGGTGTAAACTCGTGAAGAGCTGCCGAATCAGTGATAACATCCATGATGATGATGGCAATAATTTTAATGTTCTACTCTTGAATACATTTTAGCTGCTGTATTAAAATGTGACTGGATTATTTTCTGAAATGATTTTAGTTAAGTTTGAAGCAATAAAATCGCTGTTTTGATTTTATTTTTTTAATCCCTCAAACTCTAAACTTTTTGTTTCTGTTTATCATCAAGAAGAGCAGCCCTCAGGGTTCTGGTACTTATTGACAGTTGCAGTTACACCAAGTTAGCTGTATTGATACCGGAAACAAAGGTGCAAGATTTCAAAATAAAAGACACATTTTTGAAAAAGGACTATTGAACGTTAAATAGGAAAGTTTTGTGTATAGTCCCTTTCAAGATGAAAAAAATTCAAAGCGCATCACAAGCGCAATAAGAAATTAAAGTTGAAAAGTAAAACTTCATGTACCGTTAAAACATTGAGGGAGAACAAAAAATACAAAAAAGATGCAAAGGAGCAGTTTACAGAAACGCCAGCATTAAATTTACAGAAACGCCAGCCTGAAAAGAAAAGATATGTTTCAAGTAGAGATGCACCGATATGAAATGTTTGAGCCAATGCCAATATCCGATATTAAGATCACTGTTATGGCTGATAACCGATATTTGCCGATACCAATATACTGACATTAATGCTTATAAAATCAGCAGATTTTGTATAGAATGAATTTATGTTATTATGTACACACCACACATATTTACGGTTCTGAGAAGATTTCATTCGCTGTTCACATGACTAAACAATTACATGTCACCCACCTCACCCTCTGAAACAGGCAAACAAATGGAGACAAGATGGAAAAAATATTGGTTGTTAATATCGCCCCGGTTTTATTTTATCGAACCGATACAATATGTTAAAAAATTACTAACATCGGCCGATACTGATATTGATGGCGATGTATTGTCCATCCCTAGTTTCGAGTTTTGGAGTCCACTAATCTCAGACACACTTTAAATGATCACTGGAAGATCTGGGAAACATAAAGAGACTGGAATTCCTGGACTGGATTTATATTCTATAATCCAAGAAAATCCAGTCTAGTCGATGCTAGATACCTATACAAGGGCTGGATCAGGAGCTGTAGGCCTTGGACTACTTTTATTTTGAAGGTTCAACCCAGAAACTGTCGCTGGCTAGCTTGTTCGCGCGCTGCGCCCCTACGAACAAGCAGCTATCATGGACATTAACGCGCGGCGGCGACCGGACCATCAGTAAACTGCTCTGGACCATGATACTTCTAGTCCCCATCGGGACAAACCAGCTCAGACAACCAGGTAGGACCTTTCGGTCCGCTCACTGGACCCGGTGGAGTTGGCAGAGAGGCCAGGCTAGCCGTGCCGCTAGTACACGGTGAAAGGCACGGGGGTTTAACGGACACCACGGTACGCTCATTATCGGACACGCCTCCGTTGCTTTTGACCGCAGCGGTTAAAAAAAGCACCGGAGTCCGTTCGGTTTCACCCGGTTAAAATCGTATATCTCCGCGTGCAGCGTTATTTCCTTGCTGACTTTGACGCAGTCGGAAAATAAAAGATTTAATATTCCGTGCTCATTTAGACGGAAGAACTCCCGTTTGCTGTCGTTTCTTAAATACTTTATTTTAACTGGTGAAATCCGGTCCCATGTTGAGTTTAAGCTCCCTTTAAACCCGGTTAAGGGACAAGGCTGAAGGATGGATGCTTGTCCGTAAATGGAACCATCACAGTCCGGGGATCATCCGCGGTTCGGCGGCTGCGGCCGTCACTCAGTCGCCGGGAATCTGCCGCTGTCAGAGGGTCTCTGGTATCGACCCAGCAGCTCCGGTACCGTTAAGGTTACCGGAGAGTCGGAACGTTGAATGTTTAGATTGTGTATAACTGAGTCACGAATTTGCACTTGTCCGATAATGGAAGCAGTTTTTTTTCTTTTTGTGCAGCCGCCGAGGCCTGCTGATGTCAGATCAGTGAGACTGCAAAGAAACAGTGTTGATGGAGTTCAGTCTAAATGCATCTGGGGAGGAACCAAACCGCGACACGTGATTTGATGTATTTTCATATGTTTGGGATCCAGATGAGAGACTTGTTTCAGATTCTCTGGAGCTGCTGACCTTTGACCCTTCTGGTGTAGGGCTTTGGAGTTTGGACTGCCGCCAGACTATGTTTTCCCTATAGACTAGTCCAGCTCGTCTCTATTAGATTTCCAACATTTATCCAGTTAGTGGACCTGTGGAGTGGAGACCAGTGGGTTCGGTGGGGAAATCCTGTTGCTGCTGGATCCAGATCTGATCCAGAGTCTGTGACGTTCACAAAAGCCGAGTGGGATCTAGTATCCTCCCAGTAGGTCCAGTATGGAGCAAAATCCTACTGGTTTTCTGTTTGTAATTGAAGAATCATCAGATTTTTTTCACCTGTACCTGAAATGTAAACAGAACCAACCCAAATCAGAACCAATCCAACAAAGGGTGTTTTATTTCTGGCATCTGATTTCAGGGGAAAACAAAAACTACATCAAATTGATTCAGTGACTCAACGGAACTAAAAGAAACAAGAAACACATCGTGTATGGTTTCTGTGTGTGCGACCTGCCTCTGGGCAGGTCATGTGACCTGCTTGGGTGTGGCTTTCAGCTCAGGTGTGTGTTTATGTTGGCAGAGAGCAGCAGATACCAGATCTGTGATGGTAGAACGTGTCGTCTCATGTTTGTCGCTGCAGAATGGAAATGTCATGCAGGGCCACTTTGGTTCCAAATAAGCTTCCCTTTGAACTGTCCAGGTGTCGGCTGGGCTGAGACCAGGGTACGTAAATGCGCCGGGTGTCATTGGGTCAAGTTCTAATGATCGAAATAGCTGCAAACCTTCCGTTTTATCCCCTGCTACACTGGTATGGAAGCTGACTTAAGGACCCAGGAGGAAGCCTAAGGCTGCATGAAAGATGCCACAAGGAAAAGTGATGTTTCTGAGTGGAACAAGAGCAGCATGGTTCTGCCTTCATTGGATTTGGGGAAACGTTTTGAAATACAAAAGTTATGTGAAATCTGAGTAGAATTATTGTTATTAAACAAAATAATGTCAAGTCTGAAACTCCTCATTCTGAATCAGAAGGGTTTTATTGCCTTTTGTGCAAGAAATCACAACATTAGGAAATTACTGCAGTACTTGGTGCAAAGAAGAAAGATAAAATAAGAGATAATCAAATATAGGAAGTAAGAATATAATTATGATAAAATAATATAAAGTGGCAATAATTAGTGAAACAGCTACTATATACAACACAGTGTAGGTGCTGATGTCTATGGAAACCCATTGTCCATATATGTATGTCGATGGTTCAGGTACAAACACAACACAAGGTCATGAAATTGAAACCAAGCGACTGGAGTGGGCAGACTAGGATTGTCATTCATGAGTCCAACTGCAGAGGGGAAAACCTGTTCTTGTGGTGAGAGGTTCTTTGTTCATAAAGTATCAGGCATTAGAGCAGCTATTGTGGTAACTCTATTGACCCTGTTCCAGTTCCTCCATCACCACCCACCCTGAGCTCCCTCAATACTGTCTCTTATTCTGAGCTGAGTAAGCTTGTTGCAAGGCAGAAGCCTTCTGGCTCTCCACTTGAGGTTCTGCCGCCTCGTCTCTGGAAGCTGCCTTTCCGTGTCTTGGCCCATCACTTGGTCAGATTATCAATGGGAGCCTCAGCACAGGTGTGGTCCCAGCTGCTTTGAAAGCAGCGGTTGTTCGGCCGACTCTTTAAGCACCTCGTGATTTTTATCTTGAGAGGAGCTGATATTTTCTTCTTCTTTCTTCCCTGAAGAAACCTGGTGCTGATGTCTCTGTGATAGAAAATTACAGGCTTATTTCTACCCTGCCTTTTACATCAAAACTGCTTGAGAAAGTCGTTTTTCAGCAGCTGGTCTCACATTTAGCTGACTCTGATCTATTTGAGGTTTTCCAATCAGGGTTCAAGTCTGGCCATAGTACAGAGTCAGCTCTACTGAGGGTCTTAAATGATATCTATCACTAGTTCAGGGTACATCTGTGGTGCTTCTGTTGTTTGATCTGACAGCAGCTTTTGACACAGTTGACCACGCGATTCTACTTGATCGCTTGGAACGATGGGTTGGGATCAAAGGGTCTGCTGTAGACTGGTTTAGATCGTATCTCCACAACAGGACATTCTGTGTTGGGTGATGTTTTTTCTTCTTGGAAGGGGCTCCGCTGGGGGGTCAATCCTTCGTAAACATGGCCTAGTGTTCCATCTCTGTGCTGACGATTGCCAGACACTCTCCATTGTGTCAGGAGAAAGGTCTCTCTATCCAGTCCTTTGTGTCCTGTCTTAAAGAGGTAAAGTCTTGGCTAATGGCCAGCTATCTGCATCTGAATGAGGGAAAGACAGAGCTCATTGTTTTTCACCCCAACAGCAGGAATGTGGGTCGTTATGTTGATCTTGGCCCTCTTTCTCCCTACTCAAAACCAGTTGTCACCAGTCTGGGGGTGAAAATTGATGCAGGACTTAAATTTGATGCTCACATCAACTCTGTGATCTGGTCCAGTTTCTTTCATCTGAGACGCCTTGCAAAAATCAAGCCTTTGCTGTCGAGAGCCCACCTGGAGCGGGTACTCAATGCTTTTGTAATTTCTAGACTTGATTACTGCAACTCTCTATGTGCAGGGTTGTGTCAGTCATCACTGCGCCGCCTACAGGTTGTGCAGAACAGCGCAACCAGGTTCCTGACTGGGAGCAGGAAACGGGACCACATCAGTCCAGTTCTGGCCTCCCTGCACTGGCTTCCGGTCTGTTATCGTTCACACTTTAAACTCCTCGTCTTTGTTTACAATTCCCCCCCCCCCCCCCCCCCCCATCTAGCCACACTCCTGAACAGACATTTCCCATCACGCGCTCCTCTGACCAAGGCCTGCTCGCTGTCCCTCGTTCTAGATGTCGTACTCGCGGGGACCGGGCTTTCTCAGTCCTAGCACCGTCACTCTGGAACCAGTTGCCACCCTCAGTTAGGCTGTCCCCATCTCTGCCAGTCTTTACGAGTCTCCTAAAAACCCACCTCCTCTGCTTGGCGTTTCGTGAACGTGTTTGAATTTGGCCCTCTTTTATGTTGATTTTATTTCCCTGTTTTCATTGGTCTCTTTATCCCTTGTTTTACCCATTTGTCTTCTACTTTAATGTTTTACCTTTTTTTTTTGCACTATTTGAATTGCTTTTATTTTCGATTTATTCATCATGTTTCACATTTCTCATGTACCGTGTTCAGCGCCTTGGGCTTTCCGACAGGGTCGTGGAAGGCGCTTTATAAATAAAGCTTTGATTGATTGATTGATTGTTTGAATGGATCAGAGCCTCCTGCCAGATGGGAGTGAGTCAAAAAGACCCTTTCTGGACAGTACTGAAACTGTCAAGGATTAAACTGCTGAAATCGTTTAATGTGAGACCAGATAGCTGTTATAACTAGAATATGTCTCCTTTAAATCAACTAGATTTCAGTTCCAAGGATTTAAAAAATCTTGGTAGTATCTTTCAGCATATATGACACTTCAACACTCATTCTGGACTGTGTGTAGAGCAGCTTTTCCCAGCATGCACTGAAGCAGAAGTAACAGGAAACACAAAGTGTAATCAGCTGATTGTTCCTGCATCACTGCATTCGCTACGTGTTTGTGTGCGCGTGCACGCACGCACGCGCGCATGTGTGTGACTCATACTCAATGTGTTTCATGTCCTTTCAGCTCATTATCTGATACATAAAGCGATGAGCTGCAAGTCTGCGCCACCTGGACTCATCCATCCATTACCTGCACCACTTCATCCTCACTAGGGTCTCTGAGAGCAGGGGCCTATCTCCAGCAGTCGCCAGGTGAGACATGGGGGGACAACCTGGACAGGTCTCCAGTCCATCACAGGGACACACGGAGACAAACAACCAGTAATGCACTCACACCTGGGAACAGTTTAGAGTCTTCAGTTAACCTGATATATGTTTATCGAATACGGGAGGAAACCCACACATGCACGGGGAGAACATGCCAAGTCCATACATGCATGAGGAGAACATGCTAACTTCATACGTGCATGAGGAGAACATGCTAACTACATAATGTGGAGAACATGCTAACTCCATACATGCATGAGGAGAACATGCTAACTTCATACATGCATGTGGAGAACATGCTAACTACATACATGCATGAGAACATGCTAATTCCACACATGCATGAGGAGAACACGCTAACTCCACACATGCATGAGGAGAACACGCTAACGCCACACATGCATGAGGAGAACATGCTAACTTCACAAATGCATCAGGAGAACATGCTAACTCCAAACATGCATGAGGAGAACACACTAACTCCACACCATGTGGTGAACATGCTAAATTCACACATGCATGATGAGAACATGCTAACTTCACACATGCATGAGGAGAACATGCTAACTTCACACATGCATGAGGAGAACGTGCTAATTCCACACATGCATGAGGAGAACATGCTAACTCCAAACATGCATGAGGAGAACACCGTAACTCCACACATGCATGAGGAGAACATGCTAACTCCAAACATGCATGAGGAGAACATGCTAACTCCAAACATGCATGAGGAGAACATGCTAACTCCAAACATGCATGAGGAGAACATGCTAACTCCAAACATGCATGAGGAGAACATGCTAACATTTAGTAACCTGCAACCTGTGAGGAATCTTTACTACCAGCAGCTCAATCATGCAGCTGAATCTGGACTCTGTTTATTCGTTGTTGTGGTCCACGTGATAAACGCTGAGTCATGCTGTGAGTTAATTTGAGAGCAGCCTGCGTCTCCTAGTCCTCCTGACCCTCTGTGGTCCATCTAAGTTTAGACCTAAGGTATTTATATCAACTGCATGCAGCTGTGCTTTCAGCTCAGCAGAAGACCAGTCCTCCCAGTCCTCTGTCTCCTATTTGTTTACCCACCATTTGGTAGAAACTAGTGTCAGTAAACCTGTAGGACCCACTTGAACTTTTTATCTGACTGTATCCCGTTCTCATGGAGACAGCACAAGAGACACATGATGCTAACTGTAGGACGATGCTTCCAAAATCATTCAAGGAACGATCACCTGTTGGTGGTCAGGATTAGTCGGATGGTCATAATGTTATGGTTGGTGCACAGACTTGTAAAAGTCAATGTCAATGTGAATTTTATTTTTTATAGCACATTTCCAACAATCAGAGATTGCACAAAGTGCTGTACACAGACAAGCAGTAAAAATAAAATGATAAAACACTGAGAAACATCCAGTAGACCCTAGGTAAAATAAATTAACAATAATATCAGTTAAAAGCAAGGGTAAAAAGGTAGGTTTTTAAAAGAGACTTAAAAGGCTGTTAGCAGACCTAATCTGTAGGGAAAGGCTGTTCCAGAGCTTGGGAGCGGCCACAGAAAAAGCTCTGTCGCCTCTGGACTTCAGGCTAGACTGGGGAACAGATAAAAGATGGAGAGAGGATGATCGCAAGTTTCTTTTGGGGACATGAGTGTTTAAGAGTTCCGACAGATAAGGAGGGGCCAAATTGTGTAGTGCCTTAAAACAGAGCAGTAGCATTTTAAATTGAATCCTGTAAGTGATTGGGAGCCAGTGAAGAGCTTTTGAAACCAGAGTTATGGGATCCCTGCGTCTCCTACCTGTCAGCAAGCGAGCTGCTGCATTCTGATCCACCTGCAAGTGGTGAATTGACGACTGCTCCAGTCCATGATATAGAGAGTTGCAGTAGTCGAGTCTCGACATGATTAGCAAGTGTATAACCTTTTCAAAGTCTTTAATTGGTAAATAGGGTTTGACTTTACTAAGAACACTCAAATGAAAGAACACACTCTGGACCACAGAACTTATCTGTTTATCAAGCTTAAAATGGTCATCAATGAAAAAACCCAGATTTCTTGCATGAGACACACAAAAGGATTCTAAAGGGCCAAGAACACTGTTTACCCCGTGCAACAGGCCAGGGTCCCCAAAAATGACAATTTCAGTTTTTTGTCATTTAAAGTGAGATGGTTCAATTGTAGCCAGTTTTTTAACATCTTTTAGACAATTCAGTAATTTATCAAACAATGGCCTTCGAGAATGTAGTGGGACATATATCTGCGCGTCGTCCGCAAAGAAGTGGTATGAGATGCCATGCTTATGAAAGATGGCGCAAAGGGGCCCACATATACAGTGAGAACAAAAGCGGGCCCAATACTGAACCTTGAGGGACACCACAACTAAGTTTCGCTGGAGACGAAAAAGCTCTGTCGCCTCTTCATAGTCAGTTCTTAGTTTTATTGTGTCCTTATTTCCTTCATAGCATAGTTTCAGTTTTACAGGTGAACAAAACCTCAGAATCATAAAGCCTGGAACAGAGCCTGGGCTCAGGGTGAATTACCTGATTCAGGTGTGATTATTCTGGCTAGGTTTCCCCTCACACCTGTTTGTCTTGCTTTTGGACAGAAGCAACTCATAGAACAAAAGAAAGCATCTGCAACAGGTTCGGTCTGATCTGACGTCATAGACGAGCTGCAGTTGAACAGGAAGTGGGCTCACATCAAACAGATCACTTTGGGCTCCGGAAGAACTCAGACGAGCTGAAGAGATCATCATCGACAGGAACCCAAACAGACCTGCTGAGACCCGTCAGACCGAAAGAGACGCATACAAATATTAGATTAGGTTTGATAAAATTAGAAACTTTTAACACCCCACCACCACTACCACCACCTCCACCTCCCCCCTTCAACACACACATAACAGGAAGTGAAATGTGTTTCCTTCATCTGTAGCATCGTTTTTACTCTCAAGTGAAGTTTCTGACCAGACAGCTGTTTGGACAGCTTGTAGGAAAACAGCTGGGACAGTTTTAGGGCAGCTGGTAGGAAGGCCATGCCCCCAGACCGAATGAAGGGGATCAGAACCTGTGGGTTCTGGTATTGGAGTTTTATGTTAAACTAAAGGTTATAAAGATGAACTAATTTTCTTGTGTGTTAGTCATCATGAATCCAGGTATCATGAATAATGTCTGTTTTGTTCAAGAGACCTGGACATTTCCTGGTTTGAACATGCGTGATCACCAAGGCTGTGTTCCTGGCTGACCCAGGATCTGTCACACCCAGGGTTTTAAAAGTGGTAGCGGCACAGGATCTCAGGAGCCAGATGTTTGAGCTGCTGTAGCGGTGTTTCAGCAGCAACCGTGTAAGGACCTGTTACATTTCAAACTTAGACAAAATGTATTAATCCCCCAGGATTGTTCCTGGGATATTCTGTTCTCAGGTGTGTGTGTGTGTGTGTGTGTGTATGTGCGTGTGTGTGTGTGTGGACATAATCTTGTCTGACCCAAAGTGACCTGCTCTATATGGTGGAAGCCTGCTGCAGCCCTCAGGAGTTTCCAGGCTGTTTTTAGGGTGTGAAATAGGAAGTAACTCTGATGAAATCAGCTGTTTGTGCTGAAACAGCTGCTGCACACAGGCGTGGACTGAGGTTTGGAGAAGTAGTAGTTTTAGAAACATCTAGGAGTCGAGTATGGCTTTTTACGGAGGTGATGTGGACAGGATGCTTCAGGTACCTGCTCTGTCAGGTTCTCACGCAGAAGAAAGCTGAAACTGTTGGGTGTTTATGCAGTTTGTCTTTCTGTGTCTCCACTAATTTCCAGTTAAAACATGATGTCACTGAGTCATTATCATCTGTCAGTGTGTTGGAACACAATTCACTTCTTGTTTCATTAATCAGGTTCATCCAGTTTTTGATGGTGAAACCACCATTTTTAAATAGTCCCTGCAATGAGCTCCCGCACAGCAGGGGGTGCTGCTGTTAATTAAAACAGCAGGACTCTAAAGTCCATAGGTGTCAAAACCATCAGCATCCTGGTCGGCAGCTACCAGTCCATGCGTTGTGCTGGTTTAAGACTGGCTTTTGGCTGAGGTGAGATTGGTCTTCTGTCATGTAAAACTGATCAGAGATCAGTTAACTAATCCATCACCTGGGTGAGCTTGCGCTGTAGTCACACAGGAAGTCATCCATTAAGAGGAAGCAGGTTTCTTCCTGTTTGCCCACTGACCTTTGACACACCTATCACACTACTTCCTCCTCTGTCACTTTCTCCTCCTGATGACGGGACAGAGGAAGGAAATGGGAAACCTGCTGACTCGGTAAAACTCAGCAGAAATCATCATAATCATCAGAAGAGTGCAGATTCAGGGATTACATTTTGGTCATCTTTGTCCCTTCATTCTGTCATTCATTCATCAATTCCTTCATCCATTCATCTGTACTGATAACTGGTTGAATTCCCCCCCCGCCTCCCCCCCCCCCACACACACACACCCTCCACACCCAAATCTGTAGATTCTAAGTTCTTCTGAGCATTCCTCACAGATCCATCTTCGGCCCACATTACGGATCATAAGAACCTTCTGCGATCCACTGTTTGGGTTTATCAGTTCTGGTTGTTAGCTAGAGGTCTCTGATTGTGACTGTCTCGTCTGTCTTTGTCCCTGCAGCGGTGACCAGACCAGAGGCATGACAGAAGAGAAATGTCCTCAGCTGGTGGACTACTTCGTGGTAGCAGGTCTCCCCCCTGTAGTGCCCTGGAGGCCCCTGGGTGAGGATGGCAAGACCTCCTCTCCCTCCTCCTCGTCAACGCGGGCGGTGGAGCCGGTGACGGACCTGGTAGTGATTGCTCGAGGTCTCGGGGAGGAAGTACCACAAGGCTTTACCTGCATCGAGAAGACCCTCGGGGGTCATTCAGCTGAGCTGAGCGCCGGTCTCATCAACAACCCACACCTGCACCTGTGCTACCGCAGAGGACGGGACAAACCGCCTATCCTAGATCTGGGGTGAGACACTTTTATGTTGTGGTTCTGTGTGGCACAACATCTCCAGGTGAGACCCGACTGAGCAATCACCAGAACGGATCAGCGGTTCTCCCTCTCAGATGCAGTTGGTGCATCTTCTCAGGTGTCACAGGGTTTCTGGGTGGCTTTAGATGCTTTAGCTTCTCTGAGATTCCAGAGCAGGTGGGTTCTGATGACCCAGGGCACAACATGGATCTCCTGGTTCCATGTCAGCTCTGGAATGTCCACTTGCAGTTACAGCAACACTTTGAGATGCATTAAAGCTTCTGATTATATAATCTGAGAATTATGTAACACATCTCTGACTGTCCCTCCTCCAACCTCTTTGTCTCCAGCTGGTTCACTCCTCTGGGTCAGACTCGTGCTTCAGATGTGGAGCTAAACCAGCAAGCATAGATGCTGACCCGGTCCTAACTGGACTGGGTCCAGAACCAGGTCAGCTGATTTTATGTGGAGGACTGAGTCCTTGTGTTTAGTTTGGAGCTGGTTTGGAGTCATAAAAAACACCTTATAAAAAAGCATTTTCCTCATCTGCAGACCTTTGGTTCTGATGCAGGAACCAAAGTGTTCCTGCACGATGTTTCCATTCTGATCCATCCTTGAAGTGGTACTTCACTGAAAAAGCATTTTTAAATATAATTTCTGATTATCGATCTCTCTGAGTTTGTCCTGCATTAGCTTCTGATAAAAAATAGACTGTGAACCTCTAGGATTAGAAAATCCTGACAGATCTACGTCACACTGTCACTTAACATTCATAGACTCACCCATCTTGACTTTTTAAAGAGAATTGGAATGTGGGACTTTGATTTGGTACAGAAGAGGGCCGTGGAAAAGAAGAAAAAAAATTCTGTTTTTGAATTGAAGGAAAAAAAAAACGTGTCTGAGATTAACTCGTTCACTGCCAACCGTTTCCTGATCAGTAAAGCCGTTCGCTGCCAGCGTTTCTCAGTGTTTTTGCTGTTTTTTTAAGAGTCACAGAACGTTGCACGCTAGGATGATGTCGACGCCAAAACTACCAAAACAACCAAAACAAAGAGCAGACTCACCTCTCACATTAGGAACAATCCGCGCGTTTCGAGCTTTATCCGTTCTTTCATAATCCGTTGTCGAATTGTGATCGGCAGAAGCTTTTCCGGTTCGCTCCTCACTTTTTTTACAGCAACGGCCCAAAACAATCTCCTATCACATGGGTTTTCTGCTTCCTGATCACATGACGTGTGACGTATGCGGATAAAGATCAGCTTTAGAGCTGGGATGTTTGTTCTCACGGTGCAGGGGCTCGTTCCGATGCCCACACAGTAAAAAAATGCAAATGACGACTTAAGTGTTTTTTCTTTTTATTAATTTTAAGTGACTCTATTCTCTTTATGTACATTTGGAGATAAAATAAATGCAGAATTTCTGGTTGCGATAAACACTGGACCTCAGGGACCTGCTGAGGGTGTAGGGACTGAGACTCACCAATGTCAGATGGTGCTGTAGTGTTAAACTACTAGTTAATTGTGACCAATAAGATGTGATATTCCATATAAATATGAAATATCAACCTGATTGATCTTTGATGTTTAATCAGAAGATTTTTGTTACTTTTACCATGTAAACCCAAAAGTTCAAAATAATCAAATATATTGAGTAAATGTTTTTAGAACTCAAATGTGTTGAGCTTGTTCAACCTTTTCCTTGTTTTAAGTACATGGAACTCAAATGTTTTTTTAAGTAAGCATAACTTAAATTAATCAATAAAGGACAACTTAACTTTAATGAGTAATGTTAACCAAAAATGATTGTTTTATTATTTTATATTTCTATATTATTCCATTCATCTTTACGTCAACCCTAAAGTGTGTCTGATAAACCGACTTGTATATTTTTTAAATATTTGTGGATTTACAAGAAAAACAACCACTAGCAATTTTGTTGGATTTCAGGAACAATAAACAACTGGTGGGGGAGGTGCATTGTGGGTAGTCATGTTTTCAGTTATTTTGCTCTATTTTGGGGTGTTTATGCATGTTTATTGTGGAGGATTATTGTTCTCAGTTATTATTTCATTCAGTGTTGCAAATGTGGTGTTACTTTTTGTATCATGTTGGCACCATAAGTGAGGAGGTTGGTCAAAGTAATGCTGAATGGCTGTGCTGTCCCATTGTCAATAATACTGTGGTTGTTCACACCAGATGCTCTTGACTTGACTTTGAGTGTTCCACTTTCATTGGCTGTTAGCATTTATGTGTGTGTGAGTCATGATCTGGTGCTAGTTACTGCCTTCACCAGCCTGCCACATTGTCATTTCTAAGTAAATTCAACTTATTTGGTTAGGGATTAATAGGTCCATTTAGAGCTCATATAAGTTATAATATTTAAGTTAATAAAAAACATGTAATAAGGTTCAATAAAATAAAATATGCAAGTTTAGTGAAATTAAACTTTGTAAGTTGCTTAAGTACCAAGTTATTGGTTGGAGGTAGTTAAATGCTTTGATTTTATTCAGGTCATATTTTTTAAGTTATGGTAAACTTATAGTTTTTAGATAAGTTAACTTAAAAATTATTAGGTAATCAGTTTCCTCATAAATTTTGAGTTCAGTGAACTTATTCGGGGCTACAGTGTACTTGTTCAGGGACCATAAACACACTTCGTATTAATTCAGACAGAGTCAGGTATATAGTTTATAAAATGAATTTAATTCTTTTTACTAAATTAATAATTTATACATGACAAGATATAAATAATGAGATGTGATGTGGTGGATGTGAGGTGATGTGATGTGTGAGGTGGTGTGATGGAATCTAGATGTTTTAGCCGAACCTTCTTTGTATCTGAGAGAACTGGTGGAATCTGGGTCTAAAAGAATTTGTTGTTTGGTTATAAACTAGAGAGATGTTATTGATAAAAGCCATCAGACGCAATCTGTCATGCCTACGATACCGTTGTGGATACCCCCAGTGTAAATCCAGACTGTTGGATGTCGGTTGAACCTTGACCTCAAGGTACTCGAAGCTTGTAGGTTAGCTCCGATACGAGCCGTCCGGTCTTAAGATGTCTCCAAGTCACAACAGGAAGCTGGAATGCTTGTCAGCATCCAAGGTGGATGTTTGGCTCTTAAAAGAGCCGTCTGGCTGTGTCAGCTTACAGTGTGCAAAGACGCTTTTAGTCAAGAGATGTCTCGAAGATGCTTGTTCCCGAATTGACCGGTTCGACAGTCAGCTAGAAACTGAATTAATCGGGAAGTAATTCTTGTTTTAATAAACCACAGTGTTATGAGTTCTGGCCAAGTTTGGCAAATTAAAATTTGACAAGTTTCTGAGGATTTACCAACATCCCTCAGAAAGTCGGGCCTTCTTCAGATATGTAACGGAATCAAAGTGATGTAATTAACCAAAGTTGTATTTTAATACACTGTTAGTAGTTCACTTTTATAAACAGAAGAATAGGCTGTTTTTATCATCAGGGAGTTTAATTAAACACTCTGTATTGACTTTGAGACAATAAAAGAGAGAGAGATGGGATCGTTTGAGAATCTTTAATTTCTGAATTATAAATTCTAAACAATCTACCAGGACTACTCTGTGATGGATGAGAATGGATTCGGATGTTGTGTTGGTGCGTGTGTGTGTGTGTGTGGGTCTGGTTCAGATTCTCTAGGATGACGTAATCGAATCTGGTCGTCTTTGTTATGACTAGATATCACGAGGCTTATAAAGTGATGACATGAGCCGCTATTTTGCCGTGTACGTACCCAGTGGGGTCTCCCAAGTAGATCAGGAATTGCCAGGTCTGGAAACCTCGGATGTACGATGGAGCTGTCGGTGCAGCGGTCACAACGTTTCAAAACCCGTCTGGAGGGTCGGCCCGGTACGATTCAGCAGCGTCAGCAGTTGCTCTTATTTTGAAAGGACGTCGTCTTGTTGTTAAACGACGAAAATCTCCCGTTTCACAGTTCTTAGTTTAAAGAAAACGCATCCGGCCAGGCTGCGCTTGTCTTTAGGATGATGGTGAATAGAACTGAAGTCAAAATGGAACAGACTTAAAATGGCGTTGCCTTGTTTTATATCTCTGAATTGTTGATAAGTTTCAGTAAAGTAGATTGGACACTTGAAGTCAACACCAGATTCTCCTGCGGCAGCCGAAAGCTCTGATTGGTTGGAACAATGTGTCATGCATTTCTATGGAGATGAGGATCAGTATGTCTGCACCGTAGTCCTGGTTTCATTAAACATAATTCATGACATATTTATTTCACAGATCATTCACTTGATTATTGTTGATCAACATCTGTTTTGCTTAATAATTTTAATCACAAATAAAGTACTTTGATTAGGTAAAGCTTCTTCTTCTCCTTCGGACTCTTCTCCTGGAATGTAAACAGTCTGAGGAACAACCCGACCTTGGTTTTTCTACACGGTGTTATTGTGCCCAGGGGCCAGCTGTATGGAGTTGAAAACCATGAACTTCATAACCTTACAGATACAAAAATGTTTTTAACACTTTGTGAATGAGAATCTTTAAACTTATGTGAGGTGAATATTAACCTTAATGAGTATCTAATTGTAATGTGTATGAGTGTAAACATTGATTAACTTGTTCAATCAAACACATACTGATTTGTGAAACAAATGGATCATTGTAAGAACAATATTCGTTTTAAATTCATTGATTTAAGCACAGGTTATTCAAACATTTGATTTAAACATCTTGTTCATTCATCACATATGATCATTTAAGCTCATGGTTGTAAAATCATGGCGTCTTCACATCTTCAGAGTGAAGAATATTGACATCTGGCTTTCAGGCAGAGATGGCAGGAACCTTGAGGGAAACTGTTACGTCTCCAGTGAGGAACAATAAGTTGGCAAAGGATTGTTTTGGGCATCTGGCCCCGACAGATGGTGCAGCCTTGAATGTGTATGAAAGGTTGAGTTGTGTTAATTAGATGGTGAAGAATTGACCACTTTCATACGTAAGAGTGCCTTTCTATGTAAAGCCCAAAAAACCACAACCAGGATCTTGAAATGAGCTGTAAAGTTGGCCAACAGCCAGTGAAGCTGGAAAAGAAGCGGGGTGACATGGGTTTGCTTGGAGGACTTGTCCAGAAGCTGAGCACCTGTAGACGGTTCAGGGAGGTTTTGCTCAGACAAGTGAAAATAGACTTGCAGTAGTCTAATCATGAGGAGATGAAGGTGTGGATAACAGTCTCAAGTTCAGAGCGGGACATGAGAATCCAGGGTGAGAGCTGGGTCAAAGGTCACACCAAGATTCTTGACAGAGTGTTTGGTCTGAGAAGAAAGCAGACAAAGAGAGTCTCTGACTTTGTGAACCAGGTTGTCTGGGCCACAGATGAGGATCTCATTCTTATCATCATTCAGCTGTAGAAAGCTCCCAGCCATCCAGGTTTTAAAAGTCTTAGCAGGTGTGTAACAGCTGCAGCTTAGACATCTCATGGGGCTTAAAGGAGACAGTTGGATGTCATCTGCAAGGTGGTAGGAGTTTCCTTTAAAAAGCTCAGGATGTTCTGAAGAGGAAGTAGATACAAGAGGAACAGTAGAGGCCCCAGCACAGAACCTTGTGGGACACCCTGTGTGAGGGAGGAGGGGGAGGACCAAAACTTGAAGATGGCCATAGAGGAAGAACGCTCAGACAGTTAAGCGTCATTAGAGACCCTAAGAAGAGCTGTGAATGAGAGCAAATATCAGATTTGACTTCTGACCTCCACTGGGCAGTGAATGTTGCACAAGCTATAAAAAAAGGTTCTGCTCCAGACTAGAGACGTGATTCTCTTGAGACTTGAACAGCATGTCAAACAGAATATTTTATTTCTGCTGACGTTTGAGGAAAAAGAAGGTATACATTTTTTTCTAAAAATCTTGTCAGTTGTTTAGAAAGACCAAATAGTAAAACAAACTCTAATTGTCCTCTAATGCTGGCTCGTTGTGTCACGCTGCGTCTGGTCCCTGCAGGGTTCTGTATGAGGGGAAGGAGCCTCTGAAACAAGGCTGGTACGTCATCGAGACCACTCCCTACAGCCACTCGGCCAGCCTCAGCTCTGGGGGCGCTCCCACAGCTCACCGCGTCTTCCTGACATACCGCCGAGCTCTGGACTCACAGGGCCTCCACACGCTGGGTGTCATCACCGACATTGCCCTGCTGCTGCCAAGCAAGGGGGAGGTGGCGCCTCACACCTTTTGTCGGGTCGACAAGAATCTCAACACGGGCGTGGTGAGACCCGGCAGCAAGCATAGACATAAAACCTGGTTGATCTGTGGAGCAGTGCTCAATTTGACATGAAACTGTCCAGATTTAGTCAACTAAAAGAAAAGTTTTATTTGACAATAACACACCCTGACAGTTTGAAATTGTGTCTTTCAATATTAAACCAATTTAGACACCCAGGCTGAACAGAAGCTGATTCAGGTGTGCTTGTGTCATTCTAGTGGGGTCCTGCCCTGTACCTGTGTTACAAGAGAGCTGTGGCTAAAGCTAACGCCCTGGTATTTGAAGCTGGTGAGCAGCTTGGTCTCTCTCACACATACACACACACACACACACACACACACACACACACACACACACACACGCAATAATAATAAAAATAGGATCAGGAGTATTCTCAGAAACTTGTTTGGAACCAGGTAACTTTGTAAAACTCAGAAGCTGACCCAGGATCAATGTGTCACCTGGTGTGTTCTGAAGCTCTGTTTGTTGCAGGTCTGATCACCCGATACCCAGAGGATGACCTGGAGGCATTCCCGCTTCCCGAGTCGGTGCCGGTCTTCTGTCTGCCGATGGGCGTCACCGTGGAGAGCTGGCCGCTGAACTCCAAGTACCAGCTTCCTGTCTTCTCCACCTTCGTCCTCACGTCTGCCTCTGGGGACAAGGTAGGCACTTCAAACATCTGTCTTAGATGTTGTGATTTAATTTAAGACATGACAGTGGACATCACTGAGAGCAGGTGATGATTCAAGCAGCCAGTCCAAGTGTTGGAGCTGATTTGTTGTTGAGATGTTCTGGTTCCACATCAGAAAATATTTCTTCTCAACCAAAATGACAGGATGATGTAGACTCTGTTGGATGAGTAGAACATCTTATGAACATGGTGGTGTAGATCAGGGCCTTCATCAGGGCCTTCATCAGGACCATCCTGAGAGTTAGGGCTCCTCACTTCCATTAGGATTCTTCAGCTCTGATCCTGGGTCAGGCGGTCAGGTTTTCTAAGTTGTTATAGGTTGTTAAGGCCAGGTGAGTCATGTACCTGCCCTTCCATCAGGTGACCCGTTGGGTCTTCTTCACCTCATGAATTGTCCTTAATGATGCCAAAATGTGAGAAAAAAGAAAAAACTAGAGAAAAGGTCTAATTTCATTTTGGGATTTTTATTCTTATAATAATAAAGAAAATTTGTCAAATTTAGTCTGTTTTTATATTACTACTCATTTTTATGTCCTCATGAGCTTTCCACATATTTGGGCAGGTGGGTTGAAGCAGGGAAACAACTAAAACATGCTGGATAGAGGCCCTCCAAGATGACCCGTCATAACCTTTTGATCCATAAAAAAGGTTAAATCAGCTTATTGATCTTTGCTGGTTTTGCCACATTTAATGATTTATAATCTGATTCTACATTACCAGTCTGGGTTCTCTTTTATGTTTTTATGGATCCAAACAAAGAACCAGAACCAGACTGTCTCTGGGGCTTGCTGCTGGTACCAAAGAGACAGAAGATCCAGTTTAAACTGGTTCTGTTTTGTGTCAACTCAAATCTGGCTAATCCTTTGAGTTGAGTTTAGAGCAGGGCTTAATTTGAGCCGGATCTTGCCGAAACAAGATCCGGGAACTTTCTTATTTTGAAAGGACCGTTCCGGCAACTGTCTGCTAGATTCCAGCAACTCACGCGACCGACTCGTGTGATAGGCAGGGTCTGAATTACGGGTGAGCTAAAGGGAGCCCGGCTCACCCCAAAGGATGACAGGCTCCCTTGGAAGCCCTCAGCTTCCACTCCCAGGGGGAGCCCGAAAAAGATCCTGGTTCTACTAATATTACATTATTCATGTGGGATCTCCGGAGATTATTTTGAGCAGAAAGACGCAGAGCTCTGATCGATGATGCGCTCCAGACAGATGCGTCCTGAGCACGGCCACAGTAACATTAACAAAGTGTCGCCACCTCAAAAACAAATTTAATACACGATTGTTTAAGTCGGCTCATATCCTTTCATGCTTTCTGTCTTGTATTTGTGCCTGATGTGTTTCGCTGCTGCGGAGCACATCACCTGTTTGTCCTCCGGCGACTATTTCACTGGTGCAGCTGGCGCGTAGCACGCACTCCGCTATTTTTGCAGTCGGTAGATATTTTTGAACTGCAGTTCAAAGGTAATTCATGAGGTGAAAAATATGAAGCCAGGTAGCAGTTTTTCTTTAGGATTGAGAGGAGATGCAGGAAGATAATAAGCAAAGACAGGACAGAAAAATAGTCAAATAAAAAAGAAGTTAGTTTTTGTACCTGGTGGTTGCAACAAACAGACACCATTGAAGGTAATCAGAAGTGAGGAACAGAAAATGAAATTATTCTTTCAATATTTAGATCAGCAGGAACTCTGAGAGGCTGCAGGCGCATCAGTGAGTTGGGGGAGAGGGCTGAAGCAGGGGAACAGTAAAGATGCAAAAACTACTATTGTTGAAAGAAATATGTGTTAACTTCATAAATGTGGGTGCAATTTTTAATCGGCAAGACTCCAGCGAACCAACCCGGACCCCCCCCCCCCCCGGGTCCGGCATCTGATTTGCCTTTAGTGAGCTTCGGTTTGACGTCAGTATTTGCATTCCGGGAACGTTTGATTTATAAATTAAGCCCTTTTTTCTGAATGATTCGGAGGTCAAAGGTCTGACATTTAATAAAAACATCTAGTTGTGCAGAATCAGGACTGAAAGTGGACCAGAAACTGGTCCAGAACATTCTTCCAGCTGATGAAAGCTGCTTCCCTTCTGCAGGTCTATGGAGCTGCCATCCAGTTCTATGAGTCATTTTCCAAGGATCTGCTGTCTGAGCGTCAGAACGTTCGGCTCGGCCTGCTCAGCGTGGTCGACCGGCGCCCCATCACCAGCCGTAGTCTTCATGTGAAGAAGAGCATCTGCGTCCTCTCCCACTGGCCCTTTTTCACCGTCTTCCAGAAGTTCCTCACCTTTATCTACAGATACTCCATCTCTGGGCCGCACGTCCTGCCTCTTGAAAAGTCAGCTTAACTTTTTATTTCGAAGTCTTGATTTAACTGGATGCTTCATTTTTTTCATTTATCTTTGCAGACATGTCTCCAGCTTCATGCACAATGTCCCGTTTCCTTCTCCTCAGCGTCCTCGCATCCTGGTTCAGGTATCGGCTCCATCGACTCGCTCACATTCAGTCAGCTGACTCGCCATCTCTGTCATCAAACCACGCTCTCATTTGCTGAGTCACAAAGAAATTATCATTTCAGCATAATCCAACTGAAGTGGGAGGTGTTAGAACTTCCTCCTGTAACATAATAAAACACAGATGTGTTCTTCTAAATATAGCAAGTAAACTTTATACACGCACACACACACACACACACACCCCACAGAGATATTAGAATTAAATTTACCTGATTTGTCATATTGTTAAAGCTTTATGTGTGTGTGTGTTTGTGTGTTTTACAGCTCTCACCCTACGACAACTTGTTGCTATGCCAACCAGTCTCATCCCCCCTCCCAATCAGGTTAGGAACACACACACAGGAAGGGCTTTTAAACACATTCAGGTCAGATGGAAACAGAAACAATGTCAAGTTCAAGTGATTTGTAGTGCCACATTATCAGGCTCTTGCTATAGTTGTGACCTCTGACCTCTAATACACGGGTGGTAAAGCTTGTAAATGAACTCTGCACATGCATTTTTGTGTGCGTGTGTGTGCACGCCCCAGCGGTGCAAGCTTCCTGAAGCTGCTGCAGAACCTCGGACCAGAGAACGCCTGCACGCTGTTGTTTGCTGTCCTCACAGAACACAAGCTGCTGCTGCACTCGCTTCGACCGGACGTCCTCACCTCCGTCAGCGAGGCCCTTGTCTCTGTAAGACACACATGCAAACACGCATGCACACATGGTTAATGTGAGAAGTGATAACTGGGGTTTGTGTGAGACCCGAAGACTCAATGATTTGTTAAGACTTGGTGACTCGGCGTGAGATGAGGTTTGGCGATGGAACGAATTTATCAACCACTGAAAAAGGATGATGATTTACTTAAGATCAATATTTTTTATGGCTATGAATTTGTTTTGTAGATGTGTGATTACATACTTACAGTTCAAATCAGCAGCATTGTTTCTTTGTACATGTTCATTTAATACGTCATTAGAACGCTAGGATTCTGGATTCCATTCTGTGGGCGGTGCTAGAATTTCTACTGTGGCACCACACCTGAGTCTATGTAGGGAAAACACTGCCAATAAATAGTTAGTCCACAACAAGTCTTACGTTCATCTAACAAAATATGTTGCTGAAAACATTATACATTTTCTACAGATGCATCTCTTTCTCACATTTTTCTCCTCTGTTAGCATCTTCATTTTGTCTTCAGACTATTGATTGACATCTTAATTGAGAAGTTAACCTCTTCTGATGCAAAATCGTCAGATATTGGCCACCCCCTATTCTCACATACAGTACAGGCCAAAAGTTTGGACACACTCATTCAATGCGTTTTCTTTATTTTCATGACCATTTTACATTGGCAGATTCTCACTGAAGGCATCAAAACTATGAATGAACCCGTGTGGAGTTATGTACTTAACCAAAAATGGTGAAATAACTGAAAACATGTTTTATATTCCATTTTCTTCAAAATGGCCACCCTTTGCTCTGATTACTGTTTAGCACACTTGGCATTCTCTTGATGAGCTTCAAGAGGGAGTCACCAGAAATGGTTTTCCAACAATTTTGAAGGAGTTCCCAAAGGTGTTTAGCACTTGTTGGCCCCTTAAATGGTCATGAAAATAAAGAAAACACATTGAATGAGAAGGTGTGTCCAAACCTTTGGCCTGTTCTGTATGTAGCTGAAAGCAGTTGAGGTGCAGTATATTGTTGATTGACCAAATAAATGGCAGATGAAACTCAGAAAACAACATGAGGACCCCTCATTGTGTGCATTCACAAACTTATTAAGAATGATTGTGACAAGTGAGTCGCTGCATGTCAGGACCACAAAGTCTAAACTTCACGCATGTGAATACATCGTCATTTGTTGGACTGATGAAAATCAACAGGAAAACGTTTACTTATCGTCCAACCATAGTGGCAGACCTGATGACTCCGTGGTTTGTGTGAGACCTGATAACTTGGGGCTTTGTTTGGGACTTGGTGACTTGATACTTTCTGTTGGACGTGATGACTCGGACTTTGTGTGGGACTCGATGACTTTTAGCTTTGCGTGGGACCTGATGACTCGGCAGTTAGTGTGGGACCTGACGACACAATGCTTTTTGTGGGACCTGATGACTTGGTTTGTTTTGGGCACCTGATGACTCGTTGCTTTTTGGGGACTCAATTTCTTGGTGGGTTGTGTGGGACCTTTTGTCTCAGTTCTTTTTGAGGACCTGATGATTTGGCAGTTTGCGTGGGAACTGATGACTGTTAATGACCTCTCCCTACAGATGACCTTTCCCCTGCGCTGGCTGTGTCCGTACATCCCCCTGTGTCCACTGCAGATGGCTGACGTGCTGCTGGCGCCCATGCCTTTTATTGTCGGGGTTCACTCCAGCTACTTTGACCTGCACGACCCACCTGCTGAGGTGATGTGTGTTGACTTGGACACCAACACCATCTTTCAGTAAGTCCAAATCTCTCAAAGAAAACCAGCTGCTTAAACGGTCCGTTGTAAAATCTTTCATTCTGTTCATGAAATTTGTTTGTTGAACTTCTTCAAGGTCTGAGGATAAAAAGCTGTCGTGGCGATCGTTACCCAGAAAGCATGGCAAGACCCTTTTCAACACTCTGACAAACCTTCACAAAACTCTGGAGAAGAGTGAGCGACTATTAAATTATCCATGGCTTCTAGAAAAGCCAAGAATTAAAAGGGAAGTTTAAAATGTCCCCTGTGTTGCAGTTTGTAGTTCTGGCCAGGAGGACGCGACACTCGAGTTCCTGCTCACCGACTACGATCAGATCTACAGGCGTCAGAAGCAGCTGGAGCTAGAGATCCAGGAAGCATTCCTGCGCTTCATGAGCTGCCTACTGCGTGGATACAGAACCTTCCTGTTACCCATCACGCAGGCGCCATCAGACAGAACCACCGACGTCAGCTCCCTGTTCAACTTGCAGGGTGAGCTGTTCCTCCTGGTGCTGAAACGTAATGTGTAGGGTCCAGCTAAAGGGTCCACTGCAGACAGAACCAGTGAGACTAGGAAAACGGATCCGTCCTCTGGTGAGGAAATAAAAAGAGACCAGGAATAGATGAGGGGTTCTGGACTGGATCGGGGGTTTAAACAGAATTGGATCAGTGAGTGGTTCAGGACTGGTACTAAGTGTTTTTCTCGTGGTCCTGAAGGTTTTCTGAAGTCTCGCGATCGGACACAGCAGAAGTTTTACATCCAGCTGACGAGGACTCAGATGTTTACTCAGTTCATCGAGGAGTGCTCCTTTGTCAGCGATCGACATGCCTGCCTTGAGTTCTTTGATGAAAGTGTCCAAAAGGTTAGGTCAGAGGTTGTTAACGGACGCTTATCAGTGCTGTTTACCTGCCTGCCCAGTAACAAGGGTGATGATGGGTTCAGGTGGACGTGGAGAAGCCAGAGGAGGTGAGGCTGATTGACCTTGATGAGACTTCGAGTGGAGAGCACACCGTCTTCATCATGCCTCCTGAAGAGCCACAGGAAGCTGACGGCTCGGAGTGCCCCGCCCTCTACAGGTAAGGCTGTAGGATGTGAGACCAAACAGGTGGAGGAGAGCCGTGGCGCATTCTGACAAGATCTTTCATTATGTCCAGTTATGACACCTTCCCCACCCTGAAACCGGAGCTGTTTGACCGACCGCAGGACCAACTCCGTGTCCCGGCAAAGGGCGGAGCCCCTGATAGCCCCGCCCCCAGACGAACTAAACAGGTAACCCAAATCCTCCACATTGTGTTTGGGAGGAAGACCAGCGTTTACCCCAGCTCCCTCTAATGGGACCAGCTCTTAGGTTTGACCCAGTTTGGTCCCAGCAAACACAGTGTCAGCAGTTTGTGTTTCATCTTAATTTAATGAGTCGGCATCAATAATTTATCAGAATTCACAGTCCTCAGGCGTGCGGGGGGGGGGTCAGGAAGACGAGAGGATGAAGTGAGTTCATTCACCAGACTGATTCACTATCCTTAATCTATTTCTGTTGTGAGTTTGATTTTCTAATTGATCCTCATCATCATCATTTTACTTGCAAAGCGCCTTCCAGCGAACTCCAAGGCTGCTCCAAAGGGGTGAACACAACAATTATAAAAACACAATATAATCAAATCATCACTTTTTGTTCTGTTGGAGCCTGATTGTATTTGATTATAAACATTTAAAGTTTCCTCTGTGTCAGAGCCGGCATTGGAATCCATATTTTTCTCTGGGTTAAGCTAACAGGACTCCCTTTGCTGACGCCACATGGTTTGGCAAAAATAAATAAATGAATAATACGTTTTTCTCACAAAATGACTCTAAAAGTCTAAATAATTTATGTATGTGTGATTTTTTTAAGCAAGTTTCTATTATGTTTCTCTAAACATTGGTTCATGGGAGTCTCTAACTTGCAATTAGCTCTTTAAGATAAATAATTTCTCTGCAGGAGATCAAGTTGGCCCAGAAACGAGCTCAGAAGTACTCGGCGGTTCCGGATATGTGGTCCAAGTGTTTGCTGGGCCACTGCTACGGACTCTGGTTCATCTATCTGCCCACCTTTGTCCGGGCTGAGAGCTCCAAAGTCCGTGCCCTCCACACGGCCTACGATGTCCTCAAACACATGGAGACACGGAAGGTGATGCTGCCAGACGAGGTAAGACCAATCTCATCTGGCTTCAGGGTCCAGCTTGAGCCTGACCCACCAGAGTTCATTCCTCTGAAGCACATTCCAGCTCATGTCTTTGATTGTATTCACCTTATCCCTAGCCCCCATTGAGCCCTTGTGTGAAATATGCGATGACTTCTGGTCCACCTTTTGTTTACATGAAGACCATAGATGGATTATGCGATCCGTTTGCGCTAATCCACTTTTTAATTACTTTTTAGAGAAGCAAACTATGTGGGGACGCTGACTGCCACAGTTCAAACAGGACACCGTTACAATTAAGGATGGATCAATATTGGTATTGGCCGATGTTAGTCATTTTTTAACGTATCGGTCCGATAAATAAAACCGGGCTGATATTAACAACCGATATTTTTTCCATCTTTGCTCCATTTGTTTGCCTGTTTCAGAGGGTGGGGGGTGTATTTGTTTAGTCATGTGACAGTGATTGTAATCATCCCAGAAGAGTAAATGTGTGTGTTGTGTGTACACAATAACGTAAATTCAGCTTTAATTATTTTGATTCTACACAAAATCTGCTGATTTTAGAAGCATTATTGTCAGTATATTGGTATCGGCTATTGGCCATAACAGGGATCTTAATATTGGTATCGGCTATTGGCCATAACAGGGATCTTAATATTGGTATCGGCCCAAAACTTTTATATCGGTTGCATCACTAGTTATAATCCCTCTGCCTACTGCACTAGAGGGTTGGGAGAATGATATGACAGTTTGGCAAAAGCTAACATACAGTAGCGTTTTGGCTACTTTCTTAACTCTTTTACGCTCTACGGTGAGGCATTAAGCAATCTTAAAATCTGCTAGGCTTATTGGTATGTACATAGTAATACGGTTGGTCATAAAGGGGTAGAACTCAGTCTTATTTACTTAAAAGCACACATAGAGCTGAGTCAAAGTCTTAAAGGGATATTTCACCTCGAGTGAAATTTAGTCTGTTGCCATATTGCCCAGAGTTAGATTAGTGGGGGAAAAAATATTTTGTAACCAACCCAATCATTCTCCTTATTTGGCAGTATTCTTGTTAGCTTTAGCTTAGCACAAACGATGTAAGTGAATGGCAACAGCTAGCATGTAGTGTGAAAAAGTCTTGAAATTACCCAAATTTTTCTTGGTGACCTCAATTGACTTTTAATGAAAATAACAATTAACATGAAGGAATCAATTTTGACTTGTGACTATATTACAACAAAGCACCGCTGTAAGCCTCTGCTGCAAGGTGCAAGGACACAGTGGCCCCAAAATACATCTGTTTCAAATTTCATCTAGTCAGCCATTTTTTGTGCAACTTACTGCCCTGTTTCTTCAGGAACTGTACCAAGTATAGCCTAATGGCCACGCATTTGAGTTTACAGAGTTGGTGTCTTCTTGAGTTTGAATGATTGAAATGCTAGCTGTTACCATTCACTTACATTGTTTATGCTAAGCTGAAGCTAACAGAATACTGCCAGATCAACAGCAAGCATTTTCCATGCATTTGATAATGTCTAATGTTAAACACTGAGCTCTATTTTAATTATTTGACTGCTTGTTAAAAGCATAATTTAGTTACATTATTTTTAAGATCTCAAATTGATGTGTGTATTAAAAAAAATCCAGGTTGAGAATGCAGTCAGACAGGGAAAGACCGGATTCTCATGCACTGATGTACAGCGAAAGTGGAATGCATGCACACTCTCTCGTAGTCCGTGCTACATGATCCAAACACCACTCTTCTAGTTTAACTTTCTCTGGTTGTTCGTACAACCACGATCAGTGCAACATGTCTCTGAGCCACGTGACTCTCTACATGAGCTGACCCAGGAAAAAGGTGGATAGGAGAGCCAGTCTAAAGTGAGGTCATCTTAGTGTGTGTGTGTGTGTGTGTGGTGTGTGTGTGTGTGTGTGTGTGTGTGTGCGTGCGTGCGTGTGTGCGTGCGTGCGTGTGTGTGTGTGTCTCAGGTGTGCTATCGGATCCTAATGCAGATGTGTGGTCAGTATGGTCAGCCTGTCCTCGCTGTCCGAGTCCTGCTGGAGATGAAGAAAGCTGGAATCACACCTAACACCATCACCTACGGATACTACAACAAGGTCTCCGACACACACACACACACACACACACACACACACACACACACACACACACACACACACACACACACACACACACACACACACACACACACACACACACCTTTCCCTCCTCAAGTATGATGATGGCATCCCCTCCTGCATGAAGCCTGTTTTGAGCTTCAGGCTGTAGATTTAAGCCAATGTTTCAGAAAGGTTTTTATGTTTTTGTAATGGTTACTATAGGGTTAGATCTTCTCTCTCCTCAGGCTGTGCTGGAGAGCAAATGGCCTTCAACCAATCAGGGTGGGCGTCTCCGCTGGGCAAAGCTGCGGAATGTCGTACTGGCTGTGGCCCAGTTCAGACGACCAATCAGACGGCGGCAGAAGAGTGACTCAATGGGCTCCCGTGGAGGTCAGCAAAGTTTCAGGAAATAATTAATTAGCTCTTCCTTCGCTGTGGTTGGATTCTATCAGGGATACTTTCTACAGCGTAATGACCCCATACTGCAGGAAGATGATTCTGTTTCTTTCTGTTCAAGAAGCTGCGATGGAGCCTGACCCGAAGCTCCGCCCATACTCCACTCTGATTCGTCAGTCTAGTTGGAGCGGTCTGAGTGACAGCTCGAGTCACGAATCACTGAGCGGGTCATTGGTAAAAAGCAGCAGCCTTAGCAGCATGAAGACACCTGGGAATGGTAAGTACTGCAGGAGACGAAAGGGGACTTCAGAGTACCTCAAGGAACTACATGGTACAACAGAGTACGAAAGTACTATAGGGTACTGCAGGAGACTAGGGAGTACAGGTTGGATGATTGAATTAATTTGTTGCCCATCAGTGATAAGTGGAGCTCTTCACTGATCTTTTTTAAGACATATTTTTTTTATGTCTTGTCTTGCTGATGTATACTTTTAGGGTTAGTGTATATGTATATATATATATATATATATATATATATATATATATATATATATATATATATATATATATATATATATATGTGTGTGTATATATATATATATATATATATATATATATATATATATATATATATATATATACACACATATATATATATATATATATGAAAGTGTGTATGTGTGTGTACCTTTGTATTTACTTGTGTGCATCTCATCCTTTCTTTCCCTCAGGAACAAGAACCAGTCAGAGAACAGCTTCCTCTCACACGGGGACAAATGGGGCTTCTGCCTCTCGTCGCCCCCCCCTGGCCCGACGAGATACCTCCAGCCCATCTCCGGCAGTTCTTGGCGGGACTCTGGTCCAGCGTAGCCAGGTTTGCCTGTCCACCTTTTACACAGAGTGCGCTGAGTCGGCGGACTCTGAGCTGGACTGCAGATGTCAGCCAGAGACCAGAGGCAGCAGGTCAGTTTGTTTGTTAGTTTGTGGTACAGGTGTGTTCTCAGCTGATCTGATGAAGTTTGTTACCCAACTGCAGGTCTGAGGGAACACGAGACTCTACCAGCAGAAACAAGGTTGTGGATGAGAACTACAATAATGTGGCATCACCAAGTCGAGGAGGTCTGGCAGGGAAGCTGCAGCAGCTCCTCACACCAACCAGACACAGAGCTTCTGCACGCCGAGCCGCCAGCGTGGACAACCGACGGCCGGGGGGAGGAGGGGGACGGATTGGACGAAGAGTATCAGAGCAGAGACAAACCAAGAAATCTCATGTAGCTGAAACTCTGCTGAAGGCCAAAGATCGTTTGGTGAACGCTACATCAGAGGTGACTTCATCCTAGTGTTGATGAACAGGAACCGCATTACAGCAGATGTGTCATCAATGTCCTGTCATCTCTCCTTAGAGCTCCCTGTCTCTAGGAAGCGACCTGGACCTGACAGACACGCCCACCTCTGTCTTTCGTCCACGCAGGTCGTGGGATGCTAACCAGGAAGGGGCGGATATAGAGGTAAAGAAATTGTGACTGGGGAAGGTGGTTCTTTATTGGCCCAGATGTGTGCTGATGACCCTGGTGTCCAGGTTCTGATGTCCAGCTGCTCGCTGTGCCGCGGCTGTAACTCGCTGGTCTATGACGAGGAGATCATGGCGGGATGGACATCGGATGACTCCAACCTGAACTCGTCCTGTCCATTCTGTCGCACTTCCTTTGTGCCGTTCCTGAATGCTGAGGTCTGTGACCTCGGACCTGTCAGCAGGTAAGGACTCAGATCAGAACAGGGCTGTTGGACCTTTGTGTGCAGCTTGGTTCTGTTACAAGTCAGTAGAACCCTTTGACCCACGTGTACCGTTCCTTAGTGTGGAGCGCTGTAACCTGAACCTGGAGGATGAAGTGGAGAGCGCTGTGAGGCCCCCCAGTGGTCCAGAGGCCTCCCGGCAGCACCAGTGTAACGGGCTCAGCAACGACTCCAGCTCCGAGACCAGCAGCTACTCAGAGACCAGCAGAATCACCACGGTAACGCTCCTAACTTGCAGTCCCCACGCTTCCTGTCTATCATCTCACTAACAGGTTCTGCCCCCTCCCTCAGGTGTCGTCGGTAGGCGGGACTCCTCAGGTGACGGTGGCCTACCTGAGCCCCCTGGTTCTGAGGAAGGAGCTGGAGAGCCTGCTGGAGAACGAAGGTGATGCGGTTCTGGGCCAACCTCAGTTCCTGGACAGCCACTCCATCATCTTCTGGAACCTGGTCTGGTACTTTCAGCGACTTGGTCTACCCAGTAACCTGCTGCAGCTGGTCAGGAGCTCACCACTGGTCAGCCAGTTTTCTCAGGTGAGCCCAGCCCGGTTCTGGGACTGGTTCTACACTCGCTTTGGTTTTCACCTGCATCCAGTGACTCGTTGGGGTGGTTCTGTTTCAACTGGTCAATCTTTAGTCTGAATGTGTTGATGTTTGTCAGTCAGAGAACTCCTCTGTGAGGGTCCGGCTCCTCTGGGACACCCTGACCCCTGACACGGACCAGTGGCCCCCCCTCTATGTCCTCTGGAGGATCCACAGTGAGTAGAACTGTTAAAGTCCTGGATCTAGTATGCTAAAAGTCACTCTGAGGAACGTCGCAATTCTAGACCAGTTCAGTTGGAATGCTTACTGTTGTCGACAAGAAAACTATTTAAACATAGGAAAAGCTCATCTAGTCGAAACAAAGCTAATAAACTAAATAAAGAGTTCAGTGTAGTAGCGCTGAACAATTTATGGAAAAAACTAAATAGTGATTATTCTTGCTATTTCAGTTTGATTCAGGATTTTCTTCAAATCCAGGTTAAGCGCATTTTTCACAATTTACTTTAATATTTACCAACATGTCAGCTGAAGAGTTAGGCTAAGCTCTTGTAACCCAATGAATGATTAGACGGTAAATAAATAAATTCAAATCAAATCAAACTTTATTTATATAGCACTTAATCATACAATGAATGGAACTCAAAGTGCTTAACAAATTCAAAAGGCCCCGCATACCCACATTCCCTCCCATCCCCAGAATTTAGAAACAGTCTGACAATAAAAAGCCCTTCACAACACTCAAAACACAATGGACTGAGTTTAGATGAGCCAGTCCAGCTAAGATAAGGAAACACCATCAGGGAAGCCATCCGCCCCGACAGCAGCAGAAGCACAGCAGCAGCCAAGGCACCGAAACAGGGCGCCCAGGGCAGGGAGGGTGGAGACCCCCACCTCCACCTAGGCACACTTGGAAAGCACCCAGGCCACCACAGCTAACCACCGCCCCCGGGGCAGAGGGCTCCTACAGAGGAAACACTGGAAAAAGGTTAAATTAAGGGTAAAATATAAAATAAGAGATAAAAAGAAAATTGTAATATAAAAAGTTATATAGATATTAATATAATGTCGATCATAAATCTATGGTTTACTATATATATATATATATATATATATATATATATATATATATATATATATATATATATATATATATATAAACTCGGTTTAAAAAAGAATACATAAAATAAATAAATAAATAACCTAATTAATTAATTTATTTAAAAAGTGATAGTAATCAGTTAAAAGCTAAGCTAAAAAGATGGGTCTTGAGCCTGTTTTTAGAAACATGAATGTTCTCTGCGGCTCTGAGGTCCCCTGGCAGCTCGTTCCAGAGGCGAGGATCGTAGTACTGGAAGGACGCTTCGCCGTGAATATGAGTCCTGACTTTAGGGATGACAAGGAGACGGCTGCCAGAGGAGCGCAGAGACCGCGTGGGTTCATACGGTAAAAGCAGTTCTGAAAGATAAGAAGGCCCAAGTCCATTAAGACACTTAAATGGTAATTAAATATAAGGAGAATTGTAAAAGATAAAGAAAAAACATTAAAAAACATAAAATGCTGTAAAAATTACCATCATAGCAATAATGATGATGATGATGATGGTTATTATAGCATTATCACTACTAAGTATATAAGTATCAGAAAAAAGTAAATAGGTTGACGGGTGAATGAATACGTAAGTATAAGAACAAATTTAATTAAATTATGATTTCTGTCAACCTGTATCAGGAGAGGTGATGTAACTTCTGCAGCTGCCTTAACCTGTTCCTCCACTAGGTGGCGTCCCAATGAGGAACTACAGCTGGCGGCACCACAACCACCCGTTCACGCTGGCCTTCCTGGAGGAGGTGCTGCGCTGTGTGGGCATGAACGAGGTGCACAAGGCCGTCACGCTCCTCCTGGACACACTGGCCAAGCAGTCCGCTTCTTCCCAGATCCAGAGGTGAGCATAGGTCACCATGGTTACGCGGAGACCTAGAACCTTGCTGGAACGTCTGAGCCCAATCTTTGTTTGGGTCTTTGTTCTGATCCAGTTGTTCTGTGTTCTGTGGTTGAAAGGAGTCTGTACAGAGAGTTCCTGTTCCTCACGCTGGCGGCGATGGGAAAAGACCATGTTGGTAAGACTTGTTTTATGAAATGGTCACATGACAGGAAGTCCTCTGCAGAGGTGGCAGGAAACAGCCCCGTGTTTTTGAGCTGCACCTGAATGTAGCATGATTAATAGTTTTCAGTCCTAAAAACTCCAGGTAGGCTTCACTTAACCTTATAACGTAGAGTTATAAAGACAGCACTGATCAGTGTCAAGAACATCATGATGGGAATGTTGACCTGAACACTGTGTTTATCTGTAAACCACGCCCCCATCCCTCTGCAGTGGCCTTTGACAAGAAGTACAAGGCGGCGTACACGCGGCTCTGCAGCTCTCTGAGTCGAGACGAGCTTCACAGGAAGCGAGCTCAGCCCCCCAGCCCTAAGGCCATCGACTGCAGGCGCAGCTTCCACCCTCCTCTGGAGTGCTGAGGTTCTGGTGAACAGACTGACCTCAGATCTGCTGTGGTGCTTTTAAGGATAGAAGGAAAGTGTGGGTCAGTACCATCCAGAGGAACCAGGTTCAAAGACAATAAAGACCAACTACCTGCTGCTGTCTGGGAGTCAGAACATCTGAGGAAGGAACTTCCTCGGGTCGCATATAGACATTTTTCATGAGCAACAGTCTGATCAGAACTTCTGCTGGGTCTTAGTGTCTAGAGTTCATCGATGTGTCAGAAGCAAATCCCGTTAGTCCTCCACACCCGCAGCACACTTGGACACCCGCAGGACACCGTGATATCTGAAACCCTCAGTAACTTCTAAACTGTCACAGAACAACAGAAAAATGTTTTTATTCAGTTTTTAATCAAATGGTCAAGAAGAGAAAATGTCTCTGGGCCTCCTCCTGGTCTCTGTTTCCTTATTTCTTTGTGGCCTCCTCACCTCCTCCTGATCCCTGGGGGTGCCAAGCCCTGATAACAGCTCAGTACTTGATACCTATTATGAGGACGGGACTTTAGGATCAACAAAAACTGGACTAGAACCTGAGAGGGGTTCTTTTGCAGAATGAGAGCAGCGACTCACTCACAGTAAAAATGTAGATTCTGGTGGTTTTTTATTTTATTTTAAGTGAGAGCAGAAGAGTGAATTTAAAACAGATGTTTGTGTTTATTGTTGTAATTTATATTAATCTGATTTCAGTTGCAAATGTTGTTTTTTGTAAGAAAACACCAATAAAAGCTGAGGTGAAGCTGCTGCTGCTGCTAATCTGTCCTAAGAAGACCCAAACATTTCCTTCAGAATAAAAGTCTCCAGACTAACTAGGTTAATTAGATTGTGACTTTCAAAGTGTTAAATCAAAAACATTCTTCAAATACATTTATATTTTTAGCTTTTTTAATTTGTTAAAGTACGTTCAGTCCAGGCCCTGGGGTCCGACCCCCAACAGTCAGCTTTATGACCTGGGCTGGCTGCTTCAGCTCCTGGCTCGTGGTGTTCAACAGGGTTGATTTCTCCAGCGGTCGATGGGCAATCAGGCGGGGTACACCCTGGACAGAGAGTCAGTCCATCGCAGAGCAACACACACACACACACACCTAAGGACATTTTAGACAGACCAATTAACCTAACAGTCATGTTTTTGGACTGTGGGAGGAAGCCGGAGTACCCGGAGAGAACCCACGCATGCACAGGGAGAACATGCAGAAAGATCCCAGGCCGGGAAGCGAACCCAGGACCTTCTTGCTGCAAGGCAACAGCTCTAACCACTGCGCCACTGCGCAGCCTCACTTAGAAAATTTATTTCATTTAATTTCAAGCCAGTAGCGTGCTGTGTACAGAACAATTACAGAAATTGTAAAACTCGATATGTACCATTAAGTCTAAGTTTGACTTGCAACATGGGACACAATGAGAAAATCGCTTAAACATGAACACTCAAAACTGGGTGAAGAGAAAACAACCTCATCCCAATCTGAACAGGGGTGATTCTAGCATCAGAGGTTTAGGGGTGCTGCCCAACCAAGCAAGATCAATTTCAACATGTTGTACATTTTAACAGATTAATTCCCACATTTGTGAAAGAAATGAAAAACACAGTTTTCAAAAACCAAATTATAGTTTTACATATCCCAATATATGACTGACGGAATCTGTTATCAGTGTAGAAAAGTCTGGTCTGGGTTTGAAAAGTCTAGGTCAGTGGTTGCCTACTTTTTATCTTGAAGATCCCCTTCCCTGTGTCCAACACAAGCCCACAACAGAATGACACTAAAGTGACCAATAATAATTTTAGATTAATGTATAATTATTTTTTCTTCATTTTCCACTAAAATCGACAAGCGCAGAAGTTGACCACGCTCCTTTTGGGCCTTTGATCAGGAATTTCTTGTAAACCTAAGAAGCCATACCATCCTTCCCAAAAACTGAAGGACAACATGAAAAATAAAACAAGGACAAACATTAAAGGCTCTTCAAAGGTGGAGGAGTTTGGACCAAATTAACTTCATGGTGGATTCAGAGTTGGCAAAATTTCTCCTAATTTGCTGCAACAGTAAAGTTTACTTTTTGCGTTGATTCATTCAGAAACCAAACCTGGAACCACAGAATAAACAACAAATATGTGATAATTACAAGGATAGTCATGTGTGGACTCATATGTCTGTTTAAATTTGAATTTACACTAAATCTTTGTCCACAGACTTCACAAGAAAAAGGTTTTAGTCCTGTGTGGATGATCAAGTGACTGTTTAAAAATGTCTTATGACTAAATATTTTTCCACAGTCGTCACAACAACTGAATGATTTTGGTTCTGTCTGGACTTTCCTGCATGCGTCTACATGTTACTTCATTCCAACACATTTCTCAACCAAACAGCCTGAAGATTTTATTGCTGAATGACTTGTCACTCTCACGCGTTTCTGAAGAGACCACTTGTGGAAAAACTTGACCACATTCAGGGCAGCTAAAGCATTTGTTGACTGTCTTGACATCTGACTGAGAAGACCTGCTCTCATTCCAGTCATTGTCTCCATCTCCAGTTTCAGGCCCAGACTGATGGCTCAGAGTCTAGATTCACTTCATCATCCTCACTAACTTCTGTCTCTGAAGAATCGTGTGTCTGTTCATGAGGGTTTAGATCTGGGTTCCTGCTAGTTTCTGCTGTAATCGGGTCAGCTGTGTTACTGGTTGGAACATCTCTGTCTTCCATTTGCTGCTGATGAAGCTGTGAGAAAAGAGGTTTCTCTTCATCATCCTCACTCTTTATAGAAACTGCAGTGAATAAAATCCTTGTGGTATCAGTCACATTCAAATGGAGCTGCTCTCCCTCCAGACTGGTCCAGAGTTCCTTCTGTTCCACCTTTATGTGGGGGTGTTCTGGGTCCTGCTGATCCACACCAGGACTCTGATCTCCAGAAGCTTCTTCTTTAACCAGCACCATCTGTTGAACATCTATAGTAAACACAGAAAAGCATGATATGAGTTACTGACCGCTGTAACTTTATATTCACACACATAATAACAAGAAATGGTTGTATTATTGGTTTAAGTTGATGAGATCACAGCTAACTCTGAAAACAGGAATTAACGTTTGAATTCGGTGGCTTTTTCATGTGAGGTGAATGTACAAAACTTTAAAGAATGTAGGCTTACAAGAATGATTCTGATTTTCCTAACATGTTAACCTGAAACTTTGATTTATTTCACACAGAATGTTAAAACAATGTTTTAGTTTTTTGTCTAGTGCAGAATCCTTAGGTGCAGACAGACCTTCCCTCACTAGTTTAGACAGCTGCTCCCACAGTCAGACGGCCTAAACAAGCACACAAGGCGGAGCAAGGAAGAGGACGGGCAGTTGTGTGTGTGTGTGTGTGTGTACCGGTCTATACATCACGTTGCCTCTCTTGCTCGTTCATGCCGCTTCACGCTGTATAACATACGAAAGATCAGACTGTACCTAACACAACATGCCACCCAGCTCCTGGTGCAATCTACAGGTGCTGGCCAGTAAATTAGAATATCATCAAAAGGTTGAAAATATTTCAGTAATTCCATTCAAAACGTGAAACTTGTACATTATATTCATGCAATGCACACAGACCAATGTATTTCCGATGTTTATTACGTTTAATTTTGATATTTATAGGTGACAACCAATGAAAACATCAAATCTGGTATCTCAGAAAATTAGAATATTCTAAAGGCCAATGAAAAAATGTTTGTTTCTCTAATGTTGGCCAACTGAAAAGAATGAACATGAAAAGAATGTGCATGTATAGCACTCAATACTTAGTCGGGGCTCCTTTTGCCTCAATAACTGCAGTAATGCGGCGTGGCATGGACTCGATCAGTCTGTGGCACTGCTCAGGTGTTATGAGAGCCCAGGTTGCTCTGATAGTCGTCTTCAGCTCCTCTGCATTGTTGGGTCTAGCGTATTGCATCCTCCGCTTCACAATACCCCATAGATTTTCTATGGGGTTAAGGTCAGGCGAGTTTGCTGGCCAATCAAGGACAGGGATACCATGGTCCTTGAACCAGGTGCTGGTGGTTTTGGCACTGTGTGCAGGTGCCAAGTCCTGTTGAAAGGTGAAGTCTGCATCCCCATAAAGTTGGTCAGCAGCAGGAAGCATGAAGTGCTCTAAAACTTCCTGGTAGACGGCTGCATTGACCCTGGACCTCAGGAAACAGAGTGGGCCAACACCGGCAGATGACATGGCACCCCACACCATCACTGACGGTGGAAACTTTACACTGGACCTCATGCAACGTGGATTCTGTGCTTCTCCGCTCTTCCTCCAGACTCTGAGTCCTTGATTTCCAAAGGAAATGCAGAACTTGCTTTCATCAGAAAACATAACTTTGGACCACTCAGCATCAGTCCAGTCCTTTTTGTCCTTGGCCCAGGCGAGACGCTTCTTGCGCTGTTTCTTGTTCAAGAGTGGCTTGACACACGGAATGCGACACCTGAATCCCATGTCTTTCATGAGTCTCCTCGTGGTGGTTCTTGAAGCGCTGACTCCAGCTGCAGTCCACTCTTTGTGGATCTCCCCCACATTTTTGAATGGGTTTGTCGTCACAATTCTCTGCAGGGTGCGGTTATCCCTAGAGCTTGTACACTTTTTTCTACCACATTTTTTCCGTCCCTTCGCCTGTCTGTTAATGTGCTTGGACACAGAGCTCTGCGAACAGCCAGCTTCTTTAGCAATCACCTTTTGTGTCTTGCCCTCCTTGTGCAAGGTGTCAATGATTGTCTTTTGGACAGCTGTTAAGTCAGAAGTCTTCCCCATGATTGTGGTGCCTTCAAAACAAGACTGAGGGACCTTTTAAAGGCCTTTGCAGGTGTTTTGAGTAAATCAGCTGATTAGAGTGGCAGCAGGTGTCTTCTATATTCAGCCTTTTCAGAATATTCTAATTTTTTGAGATACCAAATTTGGAGTTTTCATTAGTTGTCACTTATGAATATCAAATTTAAATGTAATGAACATTGGAAATACATTGGTCTGTGTGCATTGCATGAATATAATGTACAAGTTTCACGTTTTGAATGGAATTACTGAAATATTTTCAACCTTTTGATGATATTCTAATTTACTGGCCAGCACCTGTACAATCATCTTTCGCCTTGACTACTGCAATGCCCTTCTAACTGGTCTTCCATCCTGAACTATGAGACCTCTTCAAAATGGTCCAGAATGCAGCGGCACATCTGGTCGTCAATCAGCCTAAAAGAGCACGTGGCACCCCTCTGTTCATTGAGCTCCAATGGCTACCGCTAGCAGCACGCATCAAATTCAAATTGCTAACGCTAGCATACAAAGTCCTGGATGGCACAGCTCCCATCTACCTGAATCTTCTTACAAAGGCTTACGTCATGGCCCGGCTGCTCCAGTCATCAAGGGATTGACGGCTAGCAGTGCCTACACCATACTCAGGACAATCTAGACTCTTAATGTGTCGTTCCACAGATGTGGAATGACCTACCAACACCTACCAGAACAGAGGCTTCCTTGTCAATTTTCAAGAAACTCCTGAAGACTCAGCTCTTCAGAGAGCATCTTCTAAACTAGGACCCTCACTGCACCCGTCCCACACTCTGCTGTCCACTCCTTGTTCACTTCCCTCTTTCATTCATTATTATTATGACTCATTATGCTGCCTCACTGCCTCCTAGGATTGATTGAATAGTGTTTGTTGTTAGCCTCAAGGGCAACCTGCTGGCTTCATTATCACCTGTAAGTCGCTTTGGACAAAAGCATCTGCTAAATACATAAACATCAAAGTGAGGACCAAAACTAGTTTTTTACCTGCAAACTGAGGACATTAGTAGCAAAGTGAGGACATTTGCTGGTCCTCACTTTAGGACAATGTTACAGAACTCCACTGGTTAGTTTTAGTTGTGTGGTGTGAATTAAGTTTTAGTTAAGGTTAGGAATAGACTGGTATGGTTGGTTGGGTTAGGCACCATCTAATTTATGAGTTAAAGACTCTAATGATAATAATGTAGATAACTAAAAGCACAAGGACCGGCATATTTTAGTGCTATTATTACATCTCAGTGTAGCATGTATCGTTTAACTAACTCTGAATTAGACCTGTTTTACACTAGTTTTCATTGGTCTAGGTTAGGAACAGACTTGCTGCACACAGCTGGGCAGAATAGTGAAGATTTGGTATTTTTCTTTTATCTTGCACCCAGGTAAGGCACATATGTGTTTAGTCTATACTCTTCTTTTATAAGAAACATTTTATAAGTTTAATTCAATTCAATTTTATTTATATAGCACCAAATCACGACGAGTCGTCTCAAGGCACTTCACATAGTAAACATTCCAATCCAGGTCAGTTCATTAAGCCAATCAGAAATAATGTTTCCTATTTAAGGAACCCAGCAAATTGCATCAAGTCTTTACAGCAATCCTCATACTAAGCAAGTATAAAGCGACAGTGGAGAGGAAAACTTCCTTTTAACAGGAAGAATCCTCCAGAGGATCCTGGCTCAGTATAAGCAGCCATCCACCATGACTCACTGGGGATCGAGAAGTCAGAGCAGACACACACACACACGCATGCGCACACACACACACACACACACACACACACACACACACACACACACACACACACACACACAAAGTAATGTGTCTATGGTTGCATTGTGATTTCTTAGTAAATATTCTATTTGGCGAGATATAAACTTTATTGTATTCATCCTAGTGGATCTATAATTAAACGGGTAAACTAGTAGTAGCACATTCAATGTCAAAGAAAGCAAAAAGTTATTATCAGGAGAGGGAGAATGTTTTAGTGGTTAGCAGCAGTGTGCTAGACGATGGCCCCCTCCATGAGGCCACCACAGCTCAGCAGAACATCATTTTAGCTTCTTCTGGGGAGAAAAACACTTAGAGAAAAAATAAAGTTAACAGCTGAAATAGCAGGAAATAATACAGTTAAAGAGCAGATTGTAGAAGGGAGTAATAGAGTGTGAAAAGTGGTCAGTGTATCCTCCAGCAGTCTAAGCCTATAGCAGCATAACTACAGAGATAACTCTGGATAACCTAGCCTTTTTAGATGGAGGCATGTTGGAGGCAGGGCAAGGGAGAGCCGTCTTTACCGACTGTACACTCCACCTCCCTCTACTCCCCCACTTGTCCAGATTTAGGCTAACATCAGATTTTAACCATAGGCCCTATAAAATAAAAATGTTTTAAGCCTAGTCTTAAAAGTAGACAAGGTGTCTGCCTCACAGACTAAAGCTGGGAGCTGGTTCCACAGGAGAGGAGCCTGAAAACTAAAAGATCTGCCTCCCATCCTAATTTTAGATATTCTGGTAACCACCAGTAAACCTGCAGTCTGAGAGCGAAGTGCTCGGTTAGGAACATATGGAACAAGCAGATCACTGATGTATGATGGTGCTTAATTATTAAGAGCTTTATATGTGAGAAGAAGGATCTTAAAATCTATTCTGAATTTAACAGGTAGCCAATGTAGGGAAGCTAAGACAGGAGAGACATGATCTCTCTTTATAATTCTCATCAGAACTCTAGCTGCAGCATTTTGGACAAGCTGAAGACTTTTAACTACATTCTGTGGACTTCCTGAGAGTAATGAATTACAGTAATCCAGTCTTAATGTAATAAATGCATGAACTAGTTTTTCAGCATCACTCCTGGAAAGGATGCTTCTAATCTTAGCAATATTCCGAAGGTGGAAAAAGGAAATCCTACAAACCTGTTTAACTTGGGATTTGAATTACATGTCCTGGTCAAAGATAACACCAAGGTTCCTTACTTTGTTCTCTGAGATTAATGTACAGCTATTCAGGTCAGTGTTTACATTTTCCTTACAAAACTCCTAAAAGCAGCTGATCTGTTGGTAACAGGAGGACAGCCTGCCCTCAGAGGGGGACGATAGTTTGCTGCTTAATGAAACAGGGAGCCTTAGTCACATCATCTGTTTGTTTATTTGATAAACACTTTTGTCCAAAGCAATATACAACTTTTAACCCATTGGGCATGTTGTGATCTACTTCCGTACCATGGGCCTTCTGCAAAAAAAGAAGAAAAAGAATGGAAGTCTATGAGAAGGTAAAAGCTATTTTCTGATTATGTTTTATATATTATGCCATGGATTTTGCATATGATGACCATGAATTTTAAAGACACAGTTTGATGCCAACAAAGTGCTTATTTTCGAACGGCTGCAAAAAGTTATTTTAGTTTTTTTTTTTTAAGACGTTTAGGACTGCAAATGCTAGTTTCACCAAATTGACATCAAACCAGATGTAGAGAAGGAGATTATTTTTGTTAGCTTTGCATTTTTCTTCAAAGATGAAAGAAGGAGAATTAAAGGTGGGGAAAGCTAGTGGGTGAGGTGAGTGTTTCCTGTGACAGGAGAGGCGCCCACCTGGCGCCAAAGGTGTTTTCTGCCGGTTTGTTGACGCATGCTGCTGTGTCAGTCTCACCATTTTAAAATTCCTTTTAAAAACAGAAAATGATTTTCATCCTGTAGTTGAGAATTTTTGTTTTTGAATCATTGTGATTAAAATAAAGTCATGAAGCATCTTTGATGCGTTTGTTTAGAGGAAATAAATCTGTAAGATTCCCGTTTTAAACAACGAGAGAAGATGGAGCTACTGCCATTAACCGTACATGTGATAAACTTTGCTGTTCGTTTATGGAGCCGTACCCTTCACCTGTCAGGGGGAGATTTCGGCACAGACATTCAATGTGATTTCGGTTACTATGGGCGGGGCTCCAGGTGGCGCTGTCCGGTCCTGTGGTGCTGAAACTCTCCGCGTCCTGCTTCAATTCACTGTCTTCCGGTTTATGCTCAGCGCTGCAGATTACCTGCGTCACCATGTGGGAGAAAACATTCCTGCTGCTGCACGTCATGGAAGGTAAAACATCCTCTAGAACTGCAACTCAATGATTTAATTTTATTTTAAAAATGTTAATTTCCCTCGAAATCATACCTGAGCAGAACCTCCTTCAGTTGTCTTGTTCACTGAAAAACCAAATACAACAGACGTGGTGTAACGTACGTACACCTGATACGTTGTTACCGTCTTCAGAAATTACAGATTCTAATCTGCAGATGTATTATTTAAAAAAAGTGTGTGTGTGTGTGTGTGTGTGTGTGTTATCTGGATGCAGATATGTGTAATCAAGTTTTTAAAAGCTTATTCATTCATTCAAGGGTTATTTGTCACGTGCTCAGGAACACAAGCTGATGGTCCTACAGGTGGGCTCAGAGAATGAGCCGCTCCTTCCAAGAAGGAATGATGTTATGATGATGCACATATGTAATTGTAAACACAGAAACTAAGTATGCAGTGTCATAATGTGGACTTCTGAAGTAATGACAGCAGATTTCTCTGCCAAAAGAGGGACAATGAAATATGAGCTGTTTCCAGAGTGGACTGAACATGCCTCTGAGTCCAGAGCAGCTTCTAAGGATGGAGTTGCTGCTGGAAAACAAATATCTGGTATGATTTTGGAGATTAAAGGTGCCTTATCATTGAAAATCCACTTTTTAAAGCTTTTTAGCACATAATATTATTTCCTCATGAAAAATACCCCCAAACCCGTTTTTGGCTGCATTCATGCATTTTCCTGTTTCAACTGCAAATTTTGAATTTTAGTTTTAAATTTCTAAAACAGCCTAATGTATAAGTGGAACATTGCTCCATCTTCCTGCTCCCTACACCAGACACTGCACCAACCCTGGAAGCTAGTCTCTGGTCTGAAACCTTTCTCCGTTGGCCAGCTCAGGTGACTAGTATCATGTCACAGACTTGGTAGTCTAGTGCTAAGTGTGCTGGGCTGGCATGCAGCTTTTTCACAGGTTTACATCCTGGTCTCTCAACAGTAGCTTTTTTCTTCTTATTTAGCTACACATGCCAGTATGATGTTTTCAGTCATTTACTGGTAAACTGTTTAAAATATAAGAACTATTCTGTTTGTTTGTTTGTTTTTGCTTTGTTTATTTAGTCAGTGTGAGTCCATGTGAGGTGACCAGAGTAAATCAACTAAAATGCTGATTGGAAATGACTAAATTCAAAGATGTTTAAACACAAAATATTTTACAGAAAATATTAAAACTAAAATATAAAAACATTAAATCTGCTTCAGCTGGCTAAATAAATTTGAACCCACATCAGCACATGACAAAACTGAGATGGAAGGCAAACACCTTTACCACTGGACTACCATAGCAATACAGCAACTAAGATGCCTAAGATGCTGTTGTAGGCACGTTTTGTCAGAGCAGGTGTGGGCGGAGTTTAATCAAAACTAAGTGTTTTATTTCCGGGTATAAATTCAGCCTGACAGAAATACCTCTAATTTAAGATTAATGACACCTCAATGGTACCAACGGTAATATTTGATCATAAACTGTGCCGACTTTTGCTCTCAAAGGTTTAAAATAGCACGATATGGAGCCTTTAAGAAAACTGCTAACGCTAAATTTAAGGTTGCTCAACAATATGGGCAAACTCGCTAGCAACAAACTCCAGAATAGTAAAGCTTCTGAGTTTTGGAAGGAGTTCAAGCTCAATGGTTCATTGTTGACTACAACTATGGCACAATTGTCTAAGCTGATGAAGTCCGTCTTGCTATTCAGAAACTGTAATTAAACCAAGTGTTTGGCCTCGACCAGTTATCAGCAGAGCACATGTTTATGTTTATGTATTTAGCAGACGCTTTTGTCCAAAGCGACTTACAAGTGATAATCGGCATGTTGCCCTTGAGGCTAACAACAACAATAACAACAACAACCAATTTCCAGTCAGTCGTAGGTGGCAGTGAGGCAGCATGATGCATCATGGAGAGGAGGGAACAAGGAGTTGACAGTAGAGAGGGGGGATGGGTGCAGGGAGGGTGCTAGGTTAGAAGATGCTCTCTGAAGGGCATGGTCTTCAGGAGTTTCGTGAAAGTCGAAAAGGAAGCCCCTGAAGTATGCTAGTCTACTGTCTTTTTGAAGCATCTTATCAGATCACGTTATCAGTTGTTTTGGTGCTTGTGGTAATAGAAAAAACATCTTTTATTGATAACTGCAGACCAGTAGTCCTGGCGAGTGTGTTATCTAAAGTGTTTGAGCATATTTTGCTGAGTGTTTAGAGACAGCTGATAATCGGTTTGGTTTTAAAAGTACGATCAGTGCTGACTTATGTATCTCTGTAAGTACGTTTAGTTTTATGTGGTTTTTGATGCCTTCATGCAGGCCAACACTGTGATTACATTTTGGTTAAAGGGCCATTCCTCCAAGTTTTCATCATGCCTAGATTGACCCAACCACAACGTCTTTATTTTACTTTGTGAAATTTTGGTCTGCGTCAAAACAGTCTGGGTTTTGTTGTTTTTGAATTGGCACTGATTTAAGAATAAATTCAGACTTGTCTCTGCAGCTGTAATGGCACCTCCATGCTGGCAGGGGGCCACATTTCCAGAGGCGGTGGTTTCTCCAGCGGTGGAGAGCAGCGGGATCATACATGTGGCCGGTGTAACATCTCTGCCACAGTGTGTGGCGGCGTGCTGCGACCTGCCCGGGTACGACCTGGCCTGGGTCTTTAAAGGTCGCTGCTACATTCTGAGCTGCCAGCAGGAGGCAAACTGCCAACCCCAGGTTAGGCCTGGTTCCGACTCGGTTCTGGCCTTCCTGCAGAGGTCCTCATCGCCTCAGACTTTGCTGCTTCAGTCTTTAGTGAGAGGAGAGGAATATGGTGGCGGCTGGGGGCCTGGCAGGGACCTGGAAGCCCTGAAAGGTCTCGCCCTGTTTGATGGAACCCAACCAGACTTCTCGGACCCCAGGATTCTGGATGTGGAATACTCAGAGGGAGGCTCAGAGGCGGGTCGGGCTCCGGGTGATGCTAGTCAGATAACATCAGAGGCCGGTTCCGAAACGACGCCTAAACAGAACAGTGTGACACAAATCAACCCAACCTTTCTGGAAATGTTGGGTCAGGGAGATGAAAACAGAACTGAACCACCAACAGTTTCTTCTGCTGCTGCTGAGGAAGGGGTGAGTGAAGATTTAAAACCTGTTCTGTCTAAAAAAAACGGAACTGATCCGATCTCAGCAAAGATAATCAACAAGATTTCATCCCATTTTTTTCCAGATGAAATCCTGGAGCAGCTCAGGTTCCACAACTCTGAAACCTCAGGACTCCATCCCCAGAAATGTTGTGACATCACACCATGACATCATCACCATAGCAGAGGCAGGTAGGTGGACCTGAGCTTTCAGGAGAACATTTAGAAAACCAGTTTGCCACATCCACCACTGGACAGGTTCTAGTACCTGTTGTTAGAACCGTGGTGCAGACCACTCCCTCATCATCAAACAGGTGAGATCAAGCAGGTTTACCTGGAACCAGTTTGCCGTCTTTCAGTAGCAGGCCCGCCCCTGGCTCCATCCCTGGGAAACCCTGTGGATCTGACCACAGCGAGGCTCCTACTGGAACCAACAAGTCCATCTGATGTCTCCAGCACGACAGGTCCAGTTCAATGTTCTGGTTCCTTTCCCCACAACTGATTTTAAAGTCAAACAATCCAATGGGACAGAAAGTGTTTGGTTCTGTTACAGACCTGTTACGGTTTCTTCAGTCCCAAACACCCACCACCATTCCTCTGCTACAGGACCTGACCTCTGACCCACCTGGAACCTCCTCAGCTGTCAGCACTCCCATCACAAACTCTGTAGGTATGTTTATGAACCCGGTTCTAGTTCCAGGGTCCGATTTTGCCCATTTGATTAGAACTGGATGAGTTGGAATTAGAACCATCCAATCCTGATCCCAACATTAGATCCTGTGTTTATGAATTTTTTTTAATTTGTTTTGAGGAGGCTGACTGCTGCTCTGGTTCTGTTTAACGAGTTGGACTTTGACCCAGTGGGGCTAATTGGCGGTTCTGATCTAAAGCTCAGTGTGCAGCAGATTTTAGAGCCAGTTTTGGGTTAAAAATTATTTTTATTTGGAACGGATCCTGATTCAGGACCCCCGATTCTGATTTGATGGTTAAAAAAAATTGTCTTTCTGTCTTTTCAGAGGTCAGTGGGTCAAACAGGCCCCCGACTGCCATCGTAGGTCCTGACAGGAAGTTGTTTCTCCCTCTGAGCAGCATTTTGCTCAACGGCAGCAGCAGCACCGATGACCGCAGCATCAGCAGCTACCACTGGGAGGTGGTGCGGTAGGACCAGTTTAAGCTGGACTTTGGTTCTGACTCATTCAGGAACCGTTCATAATCTGACAAAGAGTTCTGTTGTGGACCTCTGCAGTGGTTGTCCTGGGCTGAAGCTGGAGGATGCAGATCAAGCTGTCGCCATGTTGACGGGTATCCAAGCTGGATACTACACCTTCAGACTGACAGTGAGTGACCAGCAGGGGGCGATGGACAGTGCCTTGCTGACAGTTAGGGTCCAAGAAGGTGAGCTTGTTCCAGAACTTCTGATCTCTTTGTTAAAACCCGTCTCTGATGTGCAGCTCCTCCCCCTGCAGCTAGGACTCCCACCCCACCAGTCGCTCATGCCAGCGGCAGCCATGTCCTCACTCTGCCCAATAACTCTCTGGTCCTGAGAGGCTCAGTGACGGGAGGAGACCAGACCCAGGTCCACTTCCTGTGGACCAGAGACAACCAGAGTCCAGCAGCCGGGGTAGGTATCGCCTCAGACATGAAACCTGACCCAGGAAATTGGATCGAGTTAAAAACTGGGCCTGAAATCAGAATTTTATTCAGTCTGAACATATTCAGATAACAATAAATCAATAAATACTCAAATGTCTCAGTAATTTTAACAATGTAATTGTAATCAGATTACAGTTTGTGGTCGATACAAAACAAACCAGATCAAATTCAGGTCATGTGACTGGTTTGGTTTCGACTTGAAACTCGTTTGAAACTTGCAGCTGGTGCTGTTTGGTTCTGGGACCCGTGCCTGGCTGTACCTGTCAGACTTGGTTGAAGGAACCTACCTGTTCCAGCTAAAGGTGACCGACGCTTTGGGCCGCTCCAACACTGCCACAGCCACTGTGGAGGTCCGACCAGGTGGGTTCTTGTTCTGCTGGGTTCTCAGGGTTTCGCTGGGTCCAACTAACTAAATGGCCTGTATTTGATATAGCGTCTTCTAGAGTTCTTGAAACCCCCCAAGGCGCTTTACAACACAATCAGTCATTCACCCATTCACACACACATTCACACACTGGTGGGGATGAGCTACGATGTAGCCACAGCTGCCCTGGGGTGCACTGACAGAGGCGAGGCTGCCGAGCACTGGCGCCACCGGTCCCTCCGACCACCACCAGCAGACAATGTGGGATAAGTGTCTTGCCCAAGGACACAACGACAGCGACAGACTGAGCGGGAATCGAACCTGCAACCTTCCGATTACAGGGCGAGCACTTAACTCCTGTGCCACCGTCGCACTAATAATAATAACTAGAAAATTCCTAAAGAAATTTTAGAAAGGCACCTGCCACCTGGCACAAGAAAGTGGCCACGTGCTATAGAGGCCAAATAATGATATTCGGGTGACTTTGAGTTCACAACCCAAAATAATGATTTTTGGGTAAAATCGGTTAAAAACTCAAAATCATGATATTGGATTATGTTTTTTGCTAATTAGTTATCTACTCAATTAATTGAATAATTAAGCAAATTTAGAATGGAGGAATTAATTTTTTTCAATGTTTTTTGCAAATTACGCCATGTTAAATCGGATTGCTTAGAAAAGTAAGAGCACACCTCCCACAGCCAAGCCGCTCGTTTTGATGTGTAAATTGTCACGGTGCACGCTGCCATTCAAGTCGCATTAACGTCAGTGGAAGAAGAATTTAAAAGGGACCTGTCCGCTGGCACAAGTTAGTGTCCATGTGTGATATACGCCCCAAAATCATGTTATTGGGGTGACATTAGGGTGATTAACCCAAAATCTTGATTTTCAGGTGACGATGGGATGAAAAAACACTTCCTGCTAACAAGCCAGTCGTTTTAATGTAACATTTGTGGGGGTGCACATTGCGGCTCAAACAGCAGTGGGCACCCCCAGAAATGTTGACCCTATAAAATGTTAATAAACACACACATACTGAACACACAGGAAATGAACACATGCCTAACGAACACACCCAAAATGAAAAAAAATATGGATGTGTTATGATAACAGGTTTGCCATGCTAAATCCAAACTCTTAATAATAATAGCACACCTCCCACAGCCGAGCCGGTTGTTCTGATGTAAAACTTGTGGGATGCATTCTGCAGTTTGAGCCGCATTAACGTCCGCAGAAGAATAATAATAAAGAGAACAAATCCTCCGGTGCATATAAGCTAATATAAGGTATAAGGTATATGCAGATGAGGGCTGTCAGAGCAGCAGAACCCTTAATGAACTGTACTGAAGGCACATTTCTAAAAAAGGGATTTAAACAGGTGGGTTTTAAGTTAAGCTTTTATCAGCAGCTAGTGTAGCTGCTGGGTAACGGGGGTGATGTGATTAGAGATGGGTGTTCCAGTGATGATACGAGCTGCAGAGTTTAGAACCAGTTGAAGTTTGTGTAAGGACGTCTGTGGCAAACCAATGAGGAGGGCATTAGTAGTTGTAGTAGAAGTGACCAGACAATTTAAGATGGAGGCTAGCGTGATTAGCGAGCGACAGATGCATGATTAATATTTCGAAGGTGGTGGGCTGAACGGATAACTGCACTGATATGCAAATGGTAGGACAACGTAGTGTCTAGAATGTAACCAAGGCTTTTTATCTGGTCCAGATGGGAAACGGTAGTGTTCTCTTTAGCCAGTGGAAGGTTCCTGCCTACCCTAAAGCAGACTTTGTGAACATTTTAAAGAACCTGAGACCTAATCCCTGAGTGGTGGAGTCTCATCAGCAGAACAATGAAAGTTTATGTTAAATATTTGATGGAGCCTAGAGAGGGCAAGTAGATTATAAATTATTACTAATAGCTGTGTGTGTCTTCGTAGAGCCCGGCGGGTCGGAGCAGGTGGAGCTGGAGCTTCTGGTGCCGGTTTCCCAGGTGAGTGTGGCTCAGAGGGACACAGTGGTCCGACAGCTCGCCGCTCTGATCCACGTCCTGGACCAAGACATCCAGGTCCGGGTTCTGCAGGAGCGGACTCACCTCAGGTACCAGAACCTGTACTGGTTTCTGACAGACTCTGAGTGTTTCTGACAGACTTATTTTGTTCTAACTGCAGCTCGGTTCTGCGTTTTTCCGTCCGAGGCCCATCTGGACCTGTTTCTGCTTCCAAACTGGCGGTTATGCTGAGGAAGCAGCTGCTCAGAGAGAAGAGTGACTACCTGCTGTTCCGGGTCCTTAGAATCGACACCGTTGGTGAGTTATACCACCGGGACCGCTGAAGAACCGGGTCAGAGCTGCAGCCTTTTCATAGGACAGGAAATGATGCTTTAATCTGATTTGTTCCAGATGATGCTGGAGTTTGCTTCTGTTTGTTTATGTTTAGTGTGTCAGCTGAGCTGTTCAGGGCAGGGTCAGTGTGATCCAATCACCAAGCAGTGTGTGTGTGACCCATTCTGGACTGAGAATCTGATTCGTCGTTACCTTGGTGACGGGGAGAGTAATTGTGGTAGGTCTGTTTTAATTCTTCAGAACTGCTCCAGGGGTCTCATTCATCCAACATTGCGTAGAATCCTTACTAAAACCGTACTTAAGCTCAGCAAACAAAACGTACTTACGCCAAGTAGGTTTGTGATCTATCAAACATGGAGTTCGCACAGCTGCACGCAATCTCCGCTTCATAAATCAGAGACTAACCAGAGAGGTTCTCAGCTGTTTCTGAGTCACATCCCGCCCTCAACACGCCCACTTTCTGCCATAAATAGTCAATGCAAAGTGCCTTGTGGATCTCATGCATATACATAAGCCGGCTCGTTGCAGCGCTCCGCCATTAAGATCACGACCGTAGATCAAGGAAGCGCTATTTCACAAGCAGAAATTTAGGTACTTGTGGGTGAGGTGGAGAAATGAAAGGAAGTGCTTTTGCAAAACAAATAGAAAATCCACGGAGTGGTACAGCGTTGCTGAAGCCGTCAATGCTGTGAGTTCAGAGAGCTCTGTGGCGGATCTAAAAAAAATGGTCCATTCAGGATTCAATCCCCAGACTCCCGGGTGTAAGTCATGCGCACTAACCAGTCAGCCAAATGGAGATCTCCCTTGTCCAAGTAGCCAGGGCGCATGATCAATCAGGTCACAGTGACAGGACACTCACTGTCACAGATGCATGACATTCTGTCTCAATCTGCCCCCCTGCTGATATTCAGCATTCCGTATTCTGCCTACAGGCTGTGTGTGCGCGTGTGTGTGTGCAGTCTTGTTCTGTGTGAAAACGAAGCAGTGCAAGTGATAATGCTGCTGGAATTCATAATTTTATCCTTCTCAGCAGCAGCACTGCAGGTGCTCTCCATGTCCAACATGTGCGTAAGCCAGGTCCTTAGTCAACTTAAAGTTGCGCACATTTTTCCGCTAAGTTTTCTTTTATAAATCCCAAAGTTTGTGTGGAAAGTTGCTTACGCAGTTTTCCGACCCCGTTTTGTGCGTAAGCAAGCTTGATAAACGAGGCCCCTGGACTTTTAGCACTAAGAAGTCTTAACAATCTGATCCGGATCCAGACGGTTCTGGTCTTTCTCTTCAGAGTGGAGGGTTCTGTTTGTGGTTCTGAGCAGCTTTCTTTTGATGGTCTCCATCCTGTCTCTCAGCTGGACATTCATCTGCTGTAGCAGGAGGTGAGTTCCCACCTCCAGGTAACAATCTGATCCCAGACCAGCGGCTTGCTGCCCGTCTCCATTTGTCTTCAGGGGGAGACGGGCCAAAGGAAGGAGGAGAACCCGCTACACCATCCTGGATGACATGGACGAGCAGGAGAGGCTTGAGCTGCGACCCAAATTCTGTGAGTTTCTTCATCCTAGTCTGAAGCAGAACCTCACACCCACACGGGCCAGAACCTGTGCTGTCTAGACACTGATCTAGCTTGACTCAGAGTTCTGGACCAACCCAAGTTTGGTGAGAACATTCATAAATGTATCCCAGTAGGCAGGTCAAGGTTCTAAACCCCAGATCAGCATGTTCTGATTTACCTATGGTTTTGGTTCTGTAACCCCATGCGGTCTGTTTGGTGTACCGCTGGAACAACCAGCATAGTTGGTTACCAGCACATGTTGTGTTTTGGGGCAGCATCCCATTCTGGGCTATCATACTGGCCCAGCACACCACCAAAACACAACGTAAGCTGGTCTTTGCTGGTTTCTCCAGCAAATGTAGCATCTGCTCCTCAGAACCAGCAGAAACCTGTTTTGATTCTCCTTCTCAGGTATTAAACACCGCAGCACGGAGCACAACTCCAGCCTCATGATGTCCGAATCAGAGCTGGACAGCGAGCAGGATGCAATCTTCAGCCGGAACCGGACCAGCGCCCAGGCCACCCTCTTGAGGGGGACCTGAGGAGGCTGAAGGACACAAAGGTCCTCAGAACTTGGGTTTGTCTAAGAGGACTGCCTCCGTGAGTCGGTACCGTCTAATTGGATTTTATGGAACATCCTCTTCCCAGAGATACAAGACATTGTACTGTCCTCAGACCTGAGGGACAAGTGAGGGAACCTCTTAGACTGGATCCATCTGAAGGATTTATTCACATTTAACTGGGCCCGGTGCTGGTTCCAGGCCCGGAACTAGCTCCAGCTCCAGCCCTGGTGGGCTTGTTTGACAGGAGTAAATGGACTCTAGAACCAGAATAAAGACAAAGTCGGGTTTAATCCGAACCAGTTTATTCAGATCAAGAACTTTTCATTTCAGAGGATCTGGATTTATTAATCCAGATTTTAGATCAAAGTTTTATAATCAGAACCAATCAGATGAAATGGGTTTATACCCACATCTGGAGTTAGACTCATTATAGCAGCGCTGGTGGAATGGGTCGGCATAGGTTCTGATGCCTCATGTGCTTTAATTTAGACCCAACCCATCAGAAAGTCTCACATCAACTCGGAGACCAGAACCGGTTCTGTTTGCCAATGATCACAAAGACGAACAGTTCTGATGTGAACAGAGACAGGGCAGCTCGAACAGACTGGATCAGAACCGATGTCAGACAGACTAGAGAACTTTAGAAGTCCCATTTCTCCTCAGTGGGTTGGTTCTGCTGTGACCCACTGACCCTTAAACCAGAACCATTTTGTTCGTGTTAATAAAGTTTAGTAAAAACTGCTTTTTCAGGTTCTGCTGGATTTTTTTAATTAGCAGCAGTTTGGACCCAGAACCTTAAAAGTCAACTTACAGCAGAACTGGACACTGAAACCACCTCATAGTCTGGCCCAGAATGAGCCTACGGGTCGGGTCGGGTCAGGTCAGGGCTTCAGGCCTCCAAAGCACATGTACTTAACCTCCAGGTACTCATGGACGCCGTACATGGAGCCCTCACGGCCCAAACCCGACTGCTTGATGCCGCCGAAGGCAGCCTCTGGGGTGGAGAGGAGCCCCTCGTTGACCCCCACCATCCCCACCTCCAGGGCCTCCGCCACACGCCAGATCTGACCCACGTCCTGAGAGTAGAAGTAACCTGTGGGCAGAACCATTCGGACCGTTAGGAACAGCCCCGCTCAGCGAAATAGTTCCCGGTTCCTCACCTGCTAGCCCGACGTCGGTGCCGTTAGCGATAGCTAGAGCCTCCTCTTCAGTCTCAAACCTGCAACACAAACCCAGCTCATGATTAGTCTGTGAGTTCTGATGAAAGTTCTGGAGCAGATTTGTGTTAGTGGACCGACCTGATGATCGGAACCAGCGGTCCGAACGTTTCCTCCTTCGTACAGAGCATGTCGGTGGTGACGCCGGCCAGCAGAGTGGGCTGCATGAAGGAGCCGTCCAAACGTTTCCCGCCTTTCAGAACCGTGGCGCCCTGAGACACAGCGTCTGAAATTTGATGGACCACCTGAGGGACAAGACTTCCTGTCAGACAGGTGTAACGGGCCAGAACATCAGACAGAACTGGGACGTCAAACTGAAACCTGAATGTTCCGTCTCAGTTTTACCCTCATAGCTGTACATCAAACTGGGCTCTATGGTCCAGGTTTACCTTCTCTGCAGCTCTGGAGTTGATCAGAGGTCCCAGGGTGGTGTCGGGCTCCGCGCCGTGACCCAAACGGAGCTCAGAGTCCATCGCTCGACTCAACTGGTCCACGAAGCGGTCATAGATCCCGCTCTGGACCAAGAACCGGTTTGAACACACACACGTCTACAGGAGGCAGAAACAGGTTTGATCCTCATCACAGCAGCTGGGAGGTCCAGTCCCATCCAATCTGGCCCACTTACCTGTCCAGAGTTCCTGAACTTTGAGGCCATGGCTCCGCCTACTGCCTTGCCCACATCAGCACTGTTGAACACGATGAAGGGGGCGTGGCCTCCAAGCTCCATGGAAACCCTCTTCACTGTGTCAGCAGCCATCTTCAGCAACACCTGATATGAGAAGCAACCAGTACCACCTTCAAATCCGACACCTCCCATTTTATGTTCTAATCCTAACCCCTCCCCCACCAGGACCTCCTACCTTCCCAGTGGCTGTGGATCCAGTGAAGGAGATTTTAGCCACTAGTGGGTCGGAGCAGAGGACCTGTCCGACCGACGGGGTTCTGTCTCTGGAGCAGGGAACCACGTTGACCACGCCAGGTGGGATCCCAGCCTGATCTGCCAGCTGAAGAATTAGGAAGTGGAATGAAAAGGAGTTAGTTGATGAATTTCCTAAGGTGAGTTATGTAGAAGCTTGGTTCTGTTCTGATGAAACGGATCTGAAGAGGATTCAGACCTCAGCCAGAGCCAGAGCCGACAGCGGTGTGTCCTCGGCTGGTTTCACCACCACCGTGCAACCTGCAGCCAGAGCTGCTCCGACCTTCCTGGTGATCATGGCGCTGGGAAAGTTCCACTGAGACAGAACCAAACAGAATCACCTCCAATACAGCTGTGTAAGATCATCTCAGGCTCTCCTCCTGTTCTCACTGGGAGGACTGGTCGTGAACGGGTTCTACAGGAAAAAACTGGACTAAATCTAATCTTTTAGGAACTTCATCAAAACGCAGAAGAAAAGGTCAGTAGCACACGTGTCAGTGGACTTCACGCTGAGTTGTGCTTTCAGAGTTGGGTCTGAAGAACTGTTGAACCAGATTGAACAGATTACTGGAAAATCTGGACTGGATCAGGACTTTAGAACATCAGACTTTAGTGGGGTCTGAGAATGAAGGTGTTTGTGCTTCTCACCGGCGTGATGATGGAGGCGACACCAACAGGCTGCTTGAGAAGGAAGACTTTCCTGTTGTTTGCAGAAGACGGGACAATGTCTCCATAGATTCGCCGAGCCTCCTCTGAAAACCACTCCAGGAAGGATGCTGAATACGTTACCTCCCCGAGGGACTCCTGCAGAGGCTTACCCTGCAACACACACACACACACACACACACTTATCAAACGCTGGGAGAAACTGTCCTATATTCTATCCTACAACCGAACAGTAAAAATTCTGATTCATGAAACGTGCGGTGGCCTCTCCTACGCACGTTCCTCCGCAATAGTCTGACAATAAATCCCACCTGTGCGTACCCAGGTGCCTGTGTCCGTTCACCGTCATTTACATACAGAAACACCCTCAATTAACCATATTTGGTCATGCTACATCCTCAGCACATGAGGGAATTCCCTGTTTTACCCTGAAAAAAAAAAAAGAAAACTACTGACAGCGAGATCGAAACACTGGCTGCCGAAGCGCAAAAGAACCAAACAAGTTGCAGAGGTTATGAACGCGGTCGGGATCAAGGAGAGGCTCCTGTCAGAAAAAAAAATGAATCTGATAAATTGTGGAGTAACGGGTTGTTAAGGAGTCGAGTTAGTTTCATTTGGAAATGTCTGAGCGCGCAGCCTCAGCCTCTTCTGAGCTGTCATTCACTCTGGCTGCGTGTCTGATGGGGGAGCAGAGGAGGTTCTGAGGGGTTCTCGTAGTTGTAAAATAAAATATGAACTGGAATCAGATGTGTGTGGTTTTTCTGTTGCTCCACAAAGAGTCCCAAATCACAGCAGAAGGACTTCCTTTGTGATCAGTGCGCTCACTGAGAACACATTCCCTCCAGTGTGCATGTTCTGGTAAATCCTCCAATAACACAGAACAGCCATAATGTCAGATGCCTGTCGGTCACAGGTGTCTTACTGGTTTTAGCACCAATTATGCAAAAAAAGCTGTCTTTCCACTGACAAAATTACATACTGGATAAATAAAATTTGTGGATGAGAAACACATTTGGATGACTGAGACATTTGGCCTTGCGCTTACCCGTTCTGCCATTTGATGCTGTGCATACGCAGGGTCAGAGATGTTCTTACATTTAGGAACATTTAGGAAGTACAAAGTACATAAATACCACACAATGAATAGAATTGTTCCTACGCACCAAATACGCACAGATCTGTGCGTAAGTATGTTTGATAAATGAGGCCCCTGATGTAAAGGTATGGAACCCAGGCCATGGTGGAGGCAGATTTTTTAAATTCCTGGGTGAAAAAAAATTGGCTGAAACTAGGGCTGCACAATACGTATATCGCAAAAAACAGGATAAACCACAAGCCTAAATGTTTGCTACACATGTGTTATGACGTTTTTGACCAATCTAATAGAGCTCTTCACCCATTTGGCCAATCGGGTGTGTTCTTATAGGCACTTCATTTGGATGGTTAGCAAACACTGGAGCTGGCTTCGTTCTGCTTTTCTCAGGATCTACCGATTGCTTTTTCTTGTCTAATTTCGTTTCCCCTTTCCTCACATCTTCTGATTTTCCCATTTTCTTTGATATTTTTTTGGTAAAATTTTCTCTTTCTTTGTTTTTAATTTTTTTTTTATTTTGTTCTTGAGTTAAATATTTATTTATTGCAAGTCATATCACCATCGCAATATTAATCACTTATCGCACATTGCAGGTTTTCCTAATATCGTGCAGCCCTAGCTGAAACTGTAGAAATAAAAGTTAAAAGTGAGGCTTAAATTTTGAACTTAGACTTAAAAAAGAAACAAAACAAAAAACCCACCTGTCCCGGCAGGTGTACCCTGCCTGCTTGCCCAAAGACTGCTGGAGATGGGCACTGGCCTGTTCATTTTTAATTAATGTTTTTAGGTTTTGCTTCACAAACAACAGCGTATTTCCTTGTTTTCCATCTTTTATCAAATATGTCGACGACTGGTGCCGCTCGGCCCAGACGTAATCCTCATTCCACACTAACCCACTCCTGAACATTTTGATATTGCAAAATTTAAACTAAACCTTTTGATTGAATCGTGGACTGCTTTCTTGTTGCTTTATTTTAAAAAATCACAACAATCAACTTCTATTTTTCAGTTTGAACATTTTTCTTTTAAATTTTCCAAACATTCTGGCCCCGCCTGGGCTCCATATGAAGTTTACCCACTCAAAGGTTTCTTCATTCGGGTGTTGCTGATACTCACACATTCAAAGGTGATGAGCCTGGCCAGGTGTTCTCTGTGCAGCGTCAGCAGGTCGAACCACTTCCTTAGCAGGACACTCCTCTCCTGCAGGAAAACCAATCAGACGCCTCTGCTAAGGATCCATGAAGAGACAGAAGGATGTAAGGAAGCCTAACCAGCCCAGTTCCTTCAACTGTGTGCAAGTGTACCTAGAAGAAATCATCCTGTTTGGAAGGCAAACATTGATTTGATTTAGATTTTCTCTTTTGTTTAATCACTGCTTTTTGTTGATTCACGGAAATAAACAATTAACTCTTCCATTTTTGAGCGTTCTCTTTGTTAACAGCATTTTCACACCTGCCTGAAAGTAACTTGACTCTCCTCGTTTAGCATCACTGAGTCTGTCAGAAACTTCTAGTCCTCCTCTGCCTCCGGAGTTTTCATGTTTCTTGTTTTTGGCGTTTCTGTCTGAGGGATCTCTAAATCTCACCACCTTGTCCTGTGATTTGTTGACCTCCACATTGAAGCTGGTTGACCATCACCTGTTTGTCTGTCAGGTCTCCCAGGGCTGCAGGATCTTAGCTCCACCGTTCTCCAACATCATTAGTGAAACATCCCAGAACCTTCAGCCCATACAGCTGCAGTTTCATGTGAAGCACCAACGTTTCACAAATAACTGAGATTTTGAGTTCAGTGCTTTATTAATGTTTCACTAAAATAAAATAAAAACAAGACCAGGTCCATAAAACAGATTAATAATCTGCACCAGACGAGCATATTTCTGACGTCACTGCTGTCGGTGACTTAGCTGAGACAAACTGTATTCACCGGTAAAAGTAAATCAAGCATGGGCACGGTTCCAGTGTAACGCACAGATTTTAAAGGTCCGCTTTATTTAACAGAACTCGGCAAATACTTAATAAGGATGGACAGCTGCTCAGCTACAACAGTTTCTTCTCAAGATACAGCTTTCCTGTCAGTCCCCAGGAATTCTCAATGGTGGTGAATGCTGTACCCTCAGGAACTTTAATGCCGTTTAAAACTTGTGATAACTCACCACCTTCTCAATTTACACTACCAGGTCCAACTGAATCAGCAGTGGGGAAAGTTTGCTTTTTACAAGGACGTGGTAACAGCAATAAACAAATACGCAGTCTGTTTCAAAAAGGTATGTTTCGCACCCATATGTCATCATGCTGGAATCGCTATGTTCCGGATATCAACTGGAAGGCAGTATGGATGATTCCCCACAAATATTTGTTAATAAATAAAGTCAAAGAAGTGTCATTTAAAATCCTTCATAAAATTTACACCGCAAAACACTACATGGTGAAGTTTAAAAGGGATATTAATGTTAACTGCAGTTTTTGTGGAGGTCATCCAGAAACTTACTCATGTTTTGGCACTGCTCTTTCACACACAGGCTTTGGAAGGAGTTCAGCAGGTTTGTTATTCAGCATATTTTTAAGGATTTCTCTTTAAGATGGCAAAATGTGTTATTCTGTTTTTTCGTCCCCCAAGAAAGTATAAGTCTTTTTTTGTAATAAACTTGTTACTTCTCTTGGCTAAATCCATATACATAAATGTAAATTTGCTAATAAGATGCCATATTTTCCGTATTTTCTTAAAGATGTAGAACTATATATAAATCTAATTAATCAATCTGTTAACAAAAAGGCTCTAAAAACAATTGATACTTGTAGATTTTTACATATATTTGTATAATTAATCCCCCTGGCTGAATGTTCTGTTAAATGTATTCTTCTGTATGTATACTTCTTGTGTTCTCTTGATGTATACTTGCACTTGGTTAAATAAAAGCTCAGAAAAAATTAAAATTAAACAGAATTCGGCAGAGAAGAGACGAGCCTCCTACCTTAGCGGTTGTCTGCTTCCAGGTGTGAAACGCCCGGAAAGCAGCGTCCACCGCCTGCTTAGCCTCCTCCGGGCCGCAGTCTGACACCCTGGCCAGCTCCAGTCCGGTAGCTGGGTCCAGAACGGGGAACACAGAGGCTGCGGACACCCAGCGGCCGTCCACGTAGCCCTGAGTCCGGAGCAACGGAGCGGGGACATCCATGCTGTAATTTCGACAGAAGGCGGAGGGGACGCTGGGCAGCATCTCTTGGAAGAAACGGTAGCTCCGGAGCGCACCGACGACAGACATAACGGTTATAACGGGGGACTCTGTCCAGCAGATGAAAGTCCTGCCGCTAATAGTTGGCTGCACGGTTAGCTGTATGCTGGAACATAGGTCACGTGACGAAAACAATAAAGGGAACTGCTTTCGGTGTTACACTGAAATGTGTCCCCTCCTTAAAAAGTCAGAGGGCTTCAAAGCGCTTTACACTTCACTGACTGAAGGAGTGGACTGGCTTGCATTCTGGCGCATTCCCGGTGGGCTGCTTACTCATCTTGGGCTGACCTTGCTTGAAGAAGGTAAATGGTAAATGTCCTGTATTAGAAAGAAGCAGTCACATCAACATGTCAAGAAGTACTGAACCCTAAGTCATACACCCACAACAATGGATACCAGCAGAGACATGGAAGAAAATTGAAGAAAGAAGATAAAAGAAGAATGCCTTAAACAAGAGCAGCAAAAGTATAAGAAGAGTACACAGAAGCCAACAGAAATGTCAAGCGTAGCAGTGTCTCTCAGACAGGACCAATGTGAATTTAGAGATGACTGATTGTGAGCATAATATATTTTATTACCAAATAAAAATAATCTAGTCTGGCCACGACCCATAGACAGAGCTCAGTTGTGGAGTGGAATCTACGGTTGTCTTTAATCTGACGAAGAACAATGTGATGTACTCACCGCTACAGAAGTCAATCAATGGGTCCGTCCGCCATACACAGTTGAGGAAGACGCAAATACATCCTTCTTCTAAATAAATCACTTAAGCACCTTTATCTGCTCTTGATTTACAGAAAAGCCAAAGTCTAAATAGTTCAGCGTTGATGCCAAAGCCATTTCAAACGAGACAGGATCTTTAACTAATCAATCATTACCCATTTCATTTTGCGGTTTGACCTTTAATCCTGAGATAAGCTCAGTATGGTGGACCTTCTGATGTAAGTCAACTCAATAAAAAGTTAATTTGTTGAACATTCTTTTTCCCCATGCCGCTCATCAAAGTGGACCAGGACACATGGACACCACGCATTAGACCAGGGCACCTGGAGACCATGCTGGGGACCATATACACCACATAAAGGAAACTCCTGGTGTCCTGCGGTGTGGGAGCTGCTGGTAATTGCAATCAGGAAAACCAGCTCTAGCAGAAAATTCCACAGAAACGTTCAATCAGGAATTTGATACACCAGGCTGGAATGTGGAGGATTCCGTTCTCATCCAGCTGTGGACACGGCTCATCCAAAGGTTTTACAAAGTACAATGAAAAATGTGTGAATTACAGCAACCAGAAAAGATTCTCATGATAAAAACAACTGTTTATTTTTTATTGTTATTGTTGTTGTTTATAAAATGTAAAAGAATTTTTTCATTTTAACCAAAAATCAACAAACTATCTGAGAAGCAAACAAAAAGCTCAATGATTGGCAGATTATGTGGTTATGGCAGATCCAGATGTGTTCACAGCCAGATATCAGAGGTGCAGTCTCCTCCCGGGTAGCGAAGCTCATGGGCCAGAGCTGGACCATCAGGTTCCTTACCAAAGTCCACCAGGAAGTCCTCGTTCAGAGTGAGACCTCCATGGTCAGAGTCCACATGGATCTGCATCATCACAGAACCCTCTCTGAAAAACACAGAGCGACTTAGACGTGTGGACAGGCTCCAGTCCCGCTCACCCAGGTGCTGGATCCGTACCTAATCATGTCGGGGTAAAACTGTTTGTCCCAGCCGCTGAACAGAGATGTCGTCACGTAAAGTCTCCGTCCATCCAGACTGAGCTGCAACATCTGAGGACCACCAGAGATACGCTTCCCCTGGCGGACAGACAGGTGATACGTGGGACTGACACAGATCTGTGAGTGTGAGCGTGGTGAGTCTCTGATACCTTTATGACACGGGGGCAGGGCTGCTCTTGTTTTTCTGGGTCCTCCAGGACTTTAACTGGTCCATCACTGACAATACTTCCTCCCAGAAACAACTGGAACAGAGAGACAGGTGAGCCATTTCCCTGCAACAGATCACCTGTTCAGCTTCAGACAGGTGGTACATTATCGGACCTGGCCGACCAGTTTGGGGTTCCGGCGGTCAGTGATGTCATACTGTCTGATGTCACCATGCAGCCAGTTGCTGAAGTAGAGAAAACGGTCGTCCAATGAGATCAAGATGTCTGTGATGAGACCTGCAAAGAGACGAACCGGGACCAGAGAGTCAGGTAAACGGTCAGACAGGTAAACAGTCAGACAGGAACGGGATTGGACTAACTTGGCATCTCAGGTAGCATCCATCCCTCAACCTTCTTACTGGGAACTTTGATGACTTTCTCTGCAGCCCAGTCACCTTTCTGACACACACACACACACACACACACACACACACACACACACACACACACACACACACACACACACACACACACACACACACACACACACACACACACACACACACACACACACACACACACACACACACACACACACACACACACACACACACACACACACACACACCTCTCAGTAGTGTTACAGTAAGTGGGCACGGGTCCTGTTATTGATCTGCTGTGTGTGTGTGTGTGTGTGTGTGTGTGTGTGTGTGTGTGTGTGTGTGTGTGTGTGTGTGTGTGTGTGTGTGTGTGTGTGTGTGTGTGTGAGAGCAGGTTTCGTGCTTCATAAGACTTAAAACAGAACCATCCCAGCAGAACTGACTTGTGTCCTGTAGAACCTGAAAACAGATCCTCGAAGAGCACACCCCACGTATCCCTCAGTGGCGTTCGGGTCATGGAGGAATCGGATCTCCAGAGGAATGGCACCGTCCTCTCCCAGGTCCAGAGTCTGCAGCCTTCTGTGAGTGGTCCAGTCCCAGACATGCAGGGAAGACCCATAAAGACCTGGGATGGAAAAGAGAACTGTTATCAGGACACAGGTCTTATCCTAGTCAGTGGACTTGACCTTCTTGTGACTCGGTTCTATTGTTTCTGAGGATCATCAAACTGATCTTGTGTTTCTTCTCTTTGGCTTCTAAAGGAGAAACAGTCAGGATCGGTTCTGTGTGGGTTGCTGTAAAACATCGGCCCAGAATCAGACCAGAGGTTCAAAACCAGCCTGTAATCATATTTTTATGGTTTTGATGTGATTGTAACTGGACCTGATGTGTTCCAAAAAAGGTTCTGAGAAGATTCCAGTGATGGAACAGGATCAGAACCTGGATCATGACGTCCTGTTTACACCTAAGGGTTTTTAAATTTTTATTTTTTTGAAGTCTGTAATTTTACTTGTAAGATTTTAAAAGTCATTGACTTCATCATAAATCCTGAGTCAGCACAAAGTGAGATGCTGAGGAGAGAAGAATGTGTTTGTGGCAAACCGGTTAGACCCAACTCAGATTCTTCTAGAAACACCGGAGTGTCCAAGGCCTATTCCAGCTGAATGGTCACTACGGTTGTCTAGGGAAAGGATCAGGAATACCAACTCATTCCAGCTGCATGACTGAAGGACGATGTAGGAGCTTCTGAGGAGGAAGCTCAAACACTGCTCTGGTCTCCAGACTGAGCTACCTGGTCTCACACCAAGGACTCACCCTCTTTAACGTGATTGGGGTTAAACCCGTTGACCAGGGCTTTGGGTGCACCCCATTCAGTGCTGATCAGAACATTATGTCGGGGCTGGTACCAAAAGTCGTAGCCAAATGGCGCCGCTTCACCCGGGTGCTCCCAGTTACCAACCACCTCAAATGTCTCACCGTCCAGCAGAACAAAACCACCTGCAGCAAAAGACCCAATCCATTACAGCGGGACCAGAACTAGATCCATCACAAGGTCTGCAGCAGGTCTTACCTTTTCCCCCTCCAGAGAGGTCTCCCATGCAACTGATCAGAATCTGACCGCTGCCCAGACAGTGACTGGTGTGAGGGTTGGCCAGACCGCACTTCCAGTACAGGTCCACCGGCTCCACCATCTGCAGACAGAACCACAACCGTAAGCCTCGAGTCTGAGTGGACCACCAGAATCCAGCAGGAACTGGTTCTAGACCTGACCCACATTGAACCCTCAGATCCTGGGAAGCTCCTCCCAGTCTGGAGCAAAGTGGTTAACAAACTGGGAAAAGTAACACACTCACGTACGTGCACACACGTGCACACACACACACACACCAGTGTTGGATGTGCATCAATCACCTTGGCAACAGCAGGTTTCAACAGTATCCTGACCTTGTGAATATTTGGGGATCTGGGATCGGTCCCGACATCGATCACATAGATCCTGGAGGAGATCAGAGAGGGGAGGATCAAACGGTTTCTGGTTTTGGAAGTGTCTCCGAAGCAGCTGCTGCAGGCGTTCCAGCCAGAATGATGCAGCTCATCATTAAGGTTGGGCATCGGCAGCCGGTGGATCACCTGCACGCACACACACACACACACACACACACACCTGAGGAGTCTCCACAACCCATTTACAGAACCAGCAGAAGGAGTCTGCTGCAGCATTGAGGAGTCTTCAGGTGATTCTGGTCTACCTGGCTGTACGTTGGAGAGTTTGGGTCAACATCAACAGTTGCCAGGTAGTCGGGTTTCAGTACCCCGGTGCTGCGGTAGATACAGGGAAGGTAGACAATCTCCTCCCGGGGGCCTTCAGATAGAAGTAAACAACAGCTCTAAAGTACTTCATTTTCCCCAAGAATTAGTTCCTTCAGAGAGTCCTGGTGTCTGGTTCCATTTGGTTGATGCTTAATTTAACCGAGTCTAGCTGTGGGCAGGATGGATCTTCTGTGTTGCAGCAGATCTGAAGAAGCCTCTGACTGAAGACACTCTGTCGTGTAGAGGATCAAGATTGTTTATCATGTTCTTCCTTTCCTGAAGCCTCCGCCTTTGCTCAACCTGCTCTAGAGGCTCCAGACTTGTCCCCAGTCCCCAGAACAGAACCAATCTTTTTTTCACAACCACTGGTTCTGATGCTGCTGCCCCAGCGGAGGACTGCAGATCAGATTCTCAAGGTCATTTTTATTTCTATAGAACATTTCCAACAGTTTGCACTGTCCCACAGTAATATACAAAAAAGGCACAAACTATAAAAACAGCAATAATAATTTCTAAAAATGTCCTTAGGATAAAAACAACTAACTGAATAAAACAGTAAAAACAAATAAGCTAAAAACCCATTCAAACAGAATTAATAAGATGCTCGGGTCAACTCGCTTTGAAAGCCAGATCAAAGAGATGTGTGTTAAAGATGCATGATGTAAGAATGACATCCTGTGGTCAAATGTGGGTACTGCAGTCCATTTTAAAAGCACACAAGTGACTCTCTCACTCCGGCCCATCAGTTTCATGGCTGTTGCCATTTACAGGTGATCATTACCAGAAGATTCTAGATGATGAGTGAAGACCATCGACATATAAATATGGTGAAGACAAGTCATACATAGTAGGTTGATAAGTAGATAAATACATTTCAGTTTGATTAGGAGTTATTGGTAATTGAAGAAGTAGCTTCAAACTCTGATCAGATCTAGTTTGACCTCCATGCCAACTAAGGAACCCTGGAGGTTTGGAACCACAACATGTTCCACGTGAACCAGTTTAATAGAAACTCTGTTTTACGATGAGATCAAAATCAGAACCATCATAAAGACAAAAACAAGTCCACGTTGTTCAGGAAGTTTGCTTGCAGAGTTTTGTTTAGATAAAAATGATAAAGCCTGAAGTCAGGTAGGAGGACAGATGCTGAAATAATGCACCTTCAGATGGACCCACCTCTCATGGCGTCCAACGGGCTGCGGTATCCCGGTCCACATCCTGAACACTTGGCTGCAAAACAAAACCAGGTTGAATGTTAAATCCTGATCTTCTGACTGATGAGTAACACTGCTAAGTGTCTGTTACCATGGTGATCTAGAGGTACATCATGGACTGTATATATAAAATGGATGGAACAGTAGGTTTCTGAAGAGCTGACTTATAGCCCAGTGGGCAGTTCCCACCATTGCTATCTTGGCCATGTCACGTGGATTGTCACTCCTGGAAAATCCAAAAATGTGCAAAGAGGTGGAGCTGAGAATGGTGGCAGATAATTGAAACCCTTCAAACTTTGAGCTGATGTAGCTACGAGCTAGTTGGGCAAATCTGGAGCTAATCTTAGCTAATGGAGGTTGGTGGGTGCTTTTAGCTGGAAAACCATGGTTGAGCAACTCTACTACCGCCCTCTGCCATCGAAGGCTGAACTTGAGGCTGAGACCTTCCCTGGAGCAAGCAGGGAGGGGAAGCTGCTAGTGCTGATGCCTCAACTGAAACCTGTCAATCAAAAAAACATGCTCCTAATAATTCATATTGTCAAGCTTTAATTACATCTAAATGTATGAGTTACACAAAAAATCACCCCCTCAGAGTTGACCTGTTAAACCTGAAATGATGTTTTGAACCAGGTTGTAAAAATGCTCATTTCTGGTGTGAAGTTGACATTTTTAAGAGTCAATGGGAACTCAGTTTTCTGGAGCCAGCCCCTAAAAACTGCAATTTTTGTCGTTTCACCCTGTTTTGTTATGACCTGTGGTTCTACCAGGATATCCGACATGAAATCAACTGGATTATTGATTACCTGATCATCTGTGTTATTGTTTAACTGAGTCTTTGTTGACCGTTTCTCACCTTCAGACTCAGGTCTCATCGAGTAACCCAAGTGCAATATTACCAATTAGTGGGTGGATCGGTGCAATCGGCATCCGCATATTTGTGTTTCAGTCTGGTTTTTAATCTTTGTTCTCATTATTTCATCACTGTGTGCATATGGGTTCTTAGAATGAGATGGTTATCTACTACTGTTTTATCTCCCTGTGTAAAACATTGTGCCTGCAAGCCAAGAGCAACCAACAAAATGTTGTTTTGGGTATATATGATGACAAAGAATTCTTAAGTCTATGTATTTTGGTCCTATGCCACTGAGTGAGTTATAAACCAGTAGAAGCACTTTGAAATAGATTATGTAGTTTACTGGTAGCCAGTGTAGAGATTTAAGAACAGGGGCGATGTGCTTGGTTCTTGTTAAGACTCTAGCAGCTGCATTCTGAATGAGCTACAGTTGCTTTTTTTATTTCTTTTTTTGTTGTTGTTTTGGAGTAGACCAAGACATCATTGTAGTAGTCCAGTCTGCCGAGTTTCTCTAGAGACCAGAAAACTCTTGTGTTTCCACTTAACAAAGACAACTAATGGGATCTTTTGCCTCATATTTCAGCCATCTGGATCAGAGAACTGAAGTAACTCTGACAAGCAGTGTTATACAACACACACACACACGCACACGCACGCGCGCGTTTGACTTCCATTCATTTTTGTGACTTTACTCTGCCTTACCCATTCCCTATAACCATAACCATAACCGATGTTGCTGTTCCTAACCTCAACTAAAAGTTAATTCACACCATGCCTCTAAAATTAATAGGATTTACCTTTTTTACTCCGAGAACCCCTTGCTGCAGGTGAAAAGTAAAAAATGTGTCATCACAGCAAATGTAAGACATGCACACAACTGGTGCTGAACAGCTGGTTTGTGTTATTATACTAACGTGGATCTGTAGCTGCAGATAGATTTCTATTGTTTTTATTTTTCAACTTTAAACCAAAACTTGTCTGTCTGCGAGCAGCTGAGTTTTAAACTGGTCTTCACCTTCAGTCTCATCAAGTAGGAAGGTCTTCTCAACTAAAGCTCATGCAGCTGCAGCTCCGCCCACTACTCAATGTAATAAACACCTTTAAGCTGCTGCTGCAACTCACCCATTGTCCTGACGTTCCTGGTCCGATCCACTTCCGCTGGTCTGGATCAGAGACTCCAGAAAGTTTTCCACTGTGAGAATGTAATGTGTCAGGAAACAGCCAATCAGGAAGAAGAGGTGGGGCAAAAATGTATTAACCCTCGAGCTGCTGCACAGCTGAATTCAATACAACACTGCTGACAGCTAGTGATGGGAAAAATGAAGCCCCATGAAACAACGGGGCGTTCCTACAACACACTGTGTTACTAATTGGCTCACTACCAAACTATTTTGACAGACTATTGTGGTCCTTTTTGGAGCAGTTTGGAGCAGTCTGGGGGGACGGTGACCTCTGAATGACCTATTAAATAAAGTTTAATATCTCAGAATCCATAGCAGCACAAAAGTCAATTTCACCTGCACAAAGCACAAACGCAGCACTAACCGAGCAGCCTATTTGCCTCCACTTCTGAAGCTGACGGGGGTCAGCTTCACAGAGCTTCCTGATGCAAGCCTGGAAGCAGGGCTTCATTTGGCACGCCCACTTTTGCTCGACACACGCTCAGGTGCCTCGCTTCATTTTCCCCATCACTACTGACAGCCAGAAGGGCATGGCTGCACATTCGGAGACAACATATTCATGCTTCTAAAGTTTTTGACGCAGAAGCTGCAGTCAAGAAGTGAGGGGTGACGAACCTCTCCTGTCCAGGACATTTTTTCCTGTTCTCTAATTGTCTTATTATTTGAGGACATCTCAGGCTGAGACAGGACCAGCTCTCAGCTGATAGGAGATACAAGTCTGTTTTTTCACTCATCTGTGGACTCAAGAGCCTTTGAGTCAGAGGTCAGTTACAAATGTTACTCTGAAAATTTCTGGTAAATAAAGAGAAATCAGCTTAAGTCCATACCAACAGTTAAAACCTGGCTTTCAGGAAATTTGAATTACTGATCTAGAAGGTCTGTCTGCTGAAGACTCCTGCTGATAATCTGTCTCCATAAACTTAAACAATCCAGCATGGAAACAGAAGTTTCAGGTCATGACTAGATCAGACAGGAACCCATTCTGATTGGTGTTTTTCCTATAGCTTATTAGCCTCGAGGGTAGCTGCCTCATCTTCATCAGTAAGTTGATTTGGATAAAAGTGTCTGGCACATACATCAACACATAAACACAAACAAGAGTGACAGATAAGATTCCCACTGCTGCTGGTTCTTAAGGTTCTTGCGTCTCAAACTGATCTAGTCTTGTTCCTGGAGCTTCTGATTCCACACAGTAAACTCACCTCAAACCACAGTGAGTCTGGCGGATGGCTGCTCACACTGAGCCAGGATCCTCTGGAGGTTTCTTCCTGTTAAAAGGAGTTTACCTCTCCACTGTCTCTTCATGCTTGCTTAGTATGAGGATTGCTGTAATGTGTCTGACACAAGTCAGTGACTTGATGCAATCGGCTGGGCTCCTTACATAAAAAACTTATAACTTATATAATTATCATAATGAATTGAACTCAATTGGATTGTTTATGGGTTGCGCAGTGGTTAGAGCTGTTGCCTTGCAACAAGAAGGTCCTGGGTTCGCTTCCCTGCGTGGGATCTTTCTGCATGGAGTTTGCATGTTCTCCCTGTGCATACGTGGGTCCTCTCCGGGTACTCCGGCTTCCTCCCACAGTCCAAAAACATGAAGGTTAGGTTAATTGGTCTGTCTAATTGCCCTTAGGTGTGTGTGATTGTTTGTCCTGTGTGTCTCTGTGTCGCCCTGCGATGGACTGGCTGGCTCTCTGTCCAGGTGTACCCCGCCTGATTGCCCATTGACCGCTGGAGATGGGCACCCCCCCCCCCCCAGTGACCCTACGTGGACAAGCAGGTTCAGAAGGTGGATGGATTGTTTACTTTGTGAAGTGCCTCGAGACGACACTTGTGATTTGTTGTTATATAAATAAACTGCATTGAATTGAAATAAAAATCAAGCCTGGATCGGATCACCAGCCTATAAACACATCAACATGCAGAACTCTGGTTATTCTTCAGCATCTATTTCAGCAGATCCAGATGGGGGGACCAGGTCCCAACCTCTTGTGGGTCGGTCTAGTCTAGACTGTAGTCCACAAACCGTCTTTTTCTCTGCCGACCCGGCCCCCTGTCGGCTTGTGTTGAAACAGAGTTCTGACTTTATTTTTCAATAAAAACAAAGTATTTCCTCAAAAATACAGATTTTTAAAATCAATTTAAATTCTTTGAGGACAGAAACATTTTTGTTTGGTCACCAACAACAAAACTTCAGCAGTTTCCACCACACAGTTCTTCCCCGTCTGTAAACGGGTTCTATAAAGCCTGTCTGGGTTCTGGTCTCAACATGAGAACAGGTTCAGGTCAAAGGTCAAACCAGGACGTCTGCAGTTCCTCTGCTGTCCACTGGGTGGGGTAGTTTCACTAGCAGACCAATGAGTTGCTTCTTACAGATCCAGTCATGTTCTGGTCCACTGTCCACCTGAACAGAACCCCTGCCCAAGTCCACACAGCTCATGTGTTTTATGTGTCTTCAGTGAAAGCCACTAACTAAACAAGGTCCTAATGTCCTAAGAGACTGTCCTCCATCATGTCTTCCTCTTCATCAGCACCGACGGCTTCAGTCCGGCTCTTCACCGTCAGCTTCCACTCATCTCCAACTTCCTCTCCAATCACGATTCGGGTCTCTCGTCTCTCTTTGCTCGCCTCCTCGCTCTCCTCCTCTCTCTCCTCCTCCACCTCCTCTCTCTCCTCCTCCACCTCCTCTCTCTCCTCCTCTACCCCCTCTCTCTCCTCCTCCACATTCTCTCTCTCCTCCTCCACCTCCTCTCTCTCCTCCTCCACCTTCTCTCCCTCCTCCTCCACCTTCTGTCTCTCCTCTTCCACCTCCTCTCTCTCCTCCTCCACATTCTCTCTCTCCTCCACCTTCTGTCTCTCCTCTTCCACCTCCTCTCTCTCCTCCTCCACCTTCTCTCTCTCCTCCACCTCCTCTCTCTCCTCCTCCACCTCCTCTCCCTCCTCCCTGTCTGTTTCTTCTGTTTCCATTTTCTCATTCTTGTTCAACTCCTCCTCTTCTGTTCTTTTATTTTCCATCCCGTCTCTGTTCTCTCGACTGTCCCAATTGTCTCCCTTTAATATCTCAGTTTCTTCCTTTTTGTCCTCTGTTGTTTCAGTTTTATATTTTCCATCCTTCTCTCTGTCTTCAAGTCTTTTTCGTTCCGTGTCTCCTTCCTTCCTATTCTCTCCGTCTTTTTCTTCCTTCTGTGTTCTCTCTGGGTTTATGATTTCTGTTCCTTCTACCTCCATGTCCTCATCCTTTCTGTCCATTTTGTCTTCAGACGACTCTTGTTCTTCTGGCTGATTCTCATCAGTTTCATCTAGCTCCTCCAGTTCCTGGAGCTCTGGTGGTTCTGATTCTGTTGCTTCTGGACCCAGGAGGATCTCAGTCAGGGTTTTAAGAAGGTCAGACTGAATCTCCTCTGGTCTCTTTCTGTCCTCCTTCTCAGAGACTTCCTCTGACATTGGCATGATGCCCGTCAGGTCGAAGGACTGTTTCCAGAGCTGAGGGAGAGCGTTCAGGTGGGTCAGAGCTTCAACCAGCCAGCCAACAATCATCTGGGTCACATTAGTCTGGAGCTGATCTGGTTCTGTTTCCTCCAGTTCCGGTGGGTTCTTGGTTATGACGTCAGACCAGCGCGACAGCAGGAAGCGTTGCAGGACAGGCTTCAGACAAACCTCCAGGGGCTGAAGACAGAAGGAGCAGCCTCCAGGGATCACCGCTGGAAGGCTGGACAGTGCACTCAAGGAACTAAGAAACGAATCCGCTAAGTGCTCTCGATGTCGATCCAAGACCAGCATGGATTTGCTGGTCAGAGCTGCACCAGTCCGATGCTTCAGCCAGATCTTACTGGTCCACTGTTCTAAGATTTCCTCGACCGACCGATTCCCTGGACTGGTCTCCAGTATGATGAACTCCGGCAGGCCTTTTTCAGGCAGCTGCCTAGTGGTCCGAACCAGAGAGGACAGCATGGAGCCGTCAGCCAGGACAGTCAGGAAGACGGTGACCAGAGGAGAAGAGCCGCTGAGCTTCAGGGCTTCTGAGCGACAAAACTTGTCCTGAACTAAACTAAAGTCCACAAAGAGACAGAGTTCGTCCATGGCAGCAACAGAGCTGTGGGTCAGCTGGTGGACCTGGAAGACCTTCTGAGTAAACTCTCTGAAGGATTGGACCTTGGCCTCCAGGGAATGAGGCAGGACGCGTGCAACCGATGTCGCCCTGCTGGCTCTTTGGACACCCAGCTGGTGCTGGATCAGAAAGCTCACCGCCCAGTTGTAGGAGATCCGGAAAGAGTCACCAAAAGCCCCCTTCTTCTTCAGGGTGGAGGCTTTGAGGAAGAGGTTGGACTCTGTGATTGGAAGCTGCTGCTCTCGCATGGATAGAATCCAGGCCACCATGTGGTCCAAGCCGGTGGCTTGGACCTTCTGCTCCTGCTGGCCTTGTCTCAAATGCTTCCTGGCCACCTTCAGCCAAGACTGGATGAGACACGTATCTGTTGAGAAGACCCGCACTGCCTGACGGAGTCCTTCACACAGAGCAAATAAGGTGATCCTCAGCTGACGGGCAGACAGGAAGTCTTCTCGCTCTTTAGAGGCAGACGTCTGGGCTGCCAGAGGGACTGAGTCGTTAGGTTGTGATGGTAACGGGGATGTGGGTTGTTGCACATCAGTTAAAACTTCTTCCTTAATTATTTCATTAACATCATCACCCTCAAGATCATCCTGCTTCTCCTCATCAGAAAAGTCCAGGTCCTCCACGGGAGCCATGGCTTCATCTATGTTGTCCAAAACCTCGTCCACCTCTAGCTCTCCGCTGCCACAAACCAGAAACAAGGTCAAAATGAAACCGGAAAGGAGGTCAAAAGTTTCCACACTATCAAGCAAAAGAGAGAAGACGCTCACCTGATGCCGTCCTTCAGAAAGCCAACCTTCGTGGATCCTGTTAAAACATCAAACGGGTGTCTGCTCAGAACTGAGAATAAAGAGACGTTTGTGTAACGCTGTGGCTGGAAGAACTCACCTTTGTTCAGAGGAGACAGACCATGAAACTCCCAGAAGCAGCTGGGCTTGTTGCACAGGTTTGCTTTGCAGACCATGCAGCCGTACACGCTCTCATGACGCAGGTTCTTCAGGTTGCAGTTCTTGCACCTCTTCGAGATGAAGCTGATTTTTGACATTCGGTGTCTTTGTTTGTTGGAGTCATCTATACGTTCGGTCTTTGTCCCGCGGGGGCTGGACGTCTCCGTGCTCTCGGGGTTTCTCTGGGCATACTTTGTGAGCTGGATGCCCAAACGCTTGCGGAAGTTGACCTGACTGAAGAGGCCGTCGTGCACCCAGGCAGGCGGGTTGTCTTTGCGGCTCTCACGCAGCACAATGAAGGCGTTGACGATACCGATGTTGATTAAGAACCAGAAGATGTTCCGCCAGTGGCGGTCCTGAGGAATCCCTCCCAGTGGGTTGCAGGCCAGAAGCTGCTTACAAATATCGACCCCACGCATGTTTTCCTGCAGAAGCCGAAAAGCCATGGGGCGACTGATGGGGACCAGTCCCCCCACCTTGGTTGGAGACCTCCTCCAAACCGTATCGGTTTCAGCTGGAGCTGCATTTGTTGACAGGCAGCCCATTTCTTTGGTGTCCTTCCAACGTGTGGCCAGCAGGGGGCCAAACTGTCTCTGCAGGAAGTCCCCAGGTTTCTCCAGCTGGCCCTCCGCCCACAGCTCACCTGGCAGGATAGGGTTAGGTGGAGGGAAGGAGCTGCAGGAGTAGATCCCCTCATCCAGAAGCTTCTGCATTAGTGGGATGGAAGCGAGTGACTTGGCCAGAAACAGCTGGTGATTTTTATTTTTTAGATCCTTCATCAGTTCTGGCACAACAGCAAAGCCTGTGTCCTGGCCCGCCTTCTGCCCCAGCTGGATGAAGAAGCGGTGGCAGTAGCCTGACTTTGAGTCACAGAGCAGCCAGATCTGCGGCTGGGTCTTTGGGTTCACCTTGGTGTCGCTGCTATCCTCCTCCAGACTGGGCAGCAGTGCCCGGTCGATGGTCAGGCAGCAGTTTGGCTGGTAGGCGTCCCACATAGCACCACCTAAAATGTTTAGCATTGGCCTGAAGACTTGCAGCGGGTCACTGGGGGCGCTGAATCCATGGAGCTCATTGGAGATCAAGCTGCCCATACAGATGTTAGAGGCAATCTGCTTAAACCTGTTGATGCTCATGGCTCTGTAGAAGGCATAGCTGTTGTCATAATGAGTAAAGGACCAGTAGTGGGATAAATCCGGCAAGTTATGGATCCCCATCAGGATGACGAGCCCGATGAAACCTTTGATGTCATGGGTGGTGACAGGGACCCAGTCCGGAAGGCAGGAGCCCAGCATGCGGCAGGTCTTGGCGTGGGTGTTGGTCTCGTGGGCGATCAACTTAATGAGCTCCGAGGGGAAGAAGAGGTTGAAGAAGTCAATGGCATCACAGTTCTTGGGTAAGTTGTGGTGAGGTCCACAAGGCTGTGTGAAGAGGGCTATGGAGGGCTTGGTGCTCTCAGGTGGACATTTCCAATTATCTGCTAACCTCCAGGAAGGTTTGGATGAGACCTGGTTCTGATCGGGCTCTTCTGAAGATGTCTGCTCTTCACTGTGGTAGAACTGGACGTCCAGTTTGATGAAGTCTAAGAATGAAAACGAGAGAAATTTGCTTTAAAGTCTTAATCAGGCTTTTCCTTTCAAGAGTCTTTGAATTCCAGCAAAGCAGCACCTCACTCCTCTAAACATCCTCACTGGAACTCAGAGAGCAGGTGTCTAACTCCATCGGTCACCAGGTGAGAGGCTGGGGACACCTGGACAGGTCTCCAGTCCATCAAAGACACGCTCACTCACACCTAGTTCACCTGACATGCATGTTTGTGTGTGTGTGTGTGAGTGTGGGTGTGTGTGTATGTGTGTGTGTGTGCGTGCTGCAGTCTCACCCCACTTGCTGCAGATGGCGCTTTCGTGCTCCGGGTTCGCCAGAAGGTGGTCAGCCATCTGATCAGCTGACTGAGGCTTGAAGTCACACTGAGCACAGTGCAGCAGGAACGCACTGCAGGGACACAATGAGACACTGTGAGACAAAATGGGACACAATGAGACACTGTGGGACAGACTACTGACCTTGGAGGAAGACTTCGATGATGAGGGAGAACTTTATCCTTGGAGCTTCTGACGTGATGGCTGGAACACAAGAGGACCATTCAGCTGATCAATAATCAGATAGAAATTAATCAATTATTCAAACACTGCTCCAGGCAGATCCATCTGGTTCTTACTGGATCATGTGGGCAGCGTAGGCCCGGGAGCAGCTGCTGCTGTAGGGACACAGCAGACAGTGGACGTAGGTCGGGTAGTGTGCAGACAGGTCCGAAGCTTCAGTTCCACACTCCAAACACACACACCTTGTTCCCTCACCTGCTGTTGACCTGCAGGAGAGGGACAGAGAACAGGAACACCATCAGCCAATCACAGAGCAGGAACCAGACTATACATCCTCTGGCTTCCTCTACTGGCATCTTCAGGATAAATACGGCTACTGTTAGTATCACCTGGACTCTCTGCGGCTAAGTACTTTCTTGTTCAGTGATTTTGGGGATTTCTGGGGTGGTGGGCTCTTCTGGATTGCAATGTTCTGCGGCTCGGTCTTGATTCTGTTGGGTTGAATAATGGTTGGTGATGTCATCGAAGGCATGGCCTTCCCATAGGTCCTGATTGTTACCTGGAGACAGAAAGATCAATGAGCTGACAAGAGAGGAGTCTGAGAGCTCTGAAAACCTCGCAGAAAGGTGAGGAACAGTAAGACGATTTTGATGTGGGCGTGGCTTGTGTTGGGGGCGTGGCTACCTTGGAACCTGGAGGGAGACCTTCCAACTGTGCAGGTTTACGGAAGCTACGATGGCTTTCCAGCTTGTGGTGAAGCTTTTCTTTGAGGGAGACAAACTGAAGACGACACCTGTTGCAGTGGAAGCCCTGACTTATCTGAAACACACACATGCGCACACACACACACGCACGCGCGCGCACACACACACGACAGGTGGATCCAGGTGGATTAGACTTTGAGATGACAGAAGAATTACGAGCTTTGACACCAAAAACAAAAACAGGAGTAGCTGCAGCAGACCGCATCGTCCCTGGTGGACATCATACGCTCATTGGCTGCTGCTCACCTTGTGTTTCAGCAGGTGCTGCTGGTAGCTGACTGAGTTCCTGGTAACCTTCAGACAGAAGACACATAGCAGGAACAGAGAATCCCTGTGGAAGCTGGCAAAGTGCTGCAAGACGTCTGAGTAGAAGGACGAGCGATACGAACACACCTGTAAGGAAGAAGAGTACACCTTAGGTCACACTAACACCTGGGGACAATCTAATGTAGCTTAAGGTAAGACGGTGCCCTCACCTGGCAGACATAGGGCATTTCACCCGGTTTGTGATTGGACTTCATGTGATTCAGGAAGGCTGGCTCGCTCTCAAACGCCCACTCACAAATACGGCACAGACCTGGGAGGAACACACGCACGCACGCACACACACACACACACACACACACACACACACACACACACACACACACACACACACACACACACACACACACACACACACACACACACACACACACACACACACACACACACACACACACACACACACACACACACACACACACACACACACACACACACACACACACACACACACACACACAGATTAAGCCCCGGATGAAAAAAGTCAGAAGTAATTTTGTTGAAGCCAGGTGACAGAAATGAAGCGACGCATGGTTTTGACCTTTCCTGGTTGGCCCGCGGTGAGTACTTGGTTCTAACCTGGGGGTAGATCTGGAGGCGGGTCTTAAATTTGATAACCAGGTGAACAAAATCACCTTTTCCATCTAGGCCACAGAGCTAAAATGAAGCAGGTGTTTAATTTTTGTTCTTTTACACATCTGTTGTTTCCAGCGCTTTGTTCATCTGCATGGTTAATGATGATGATGATGTGTCACAACAGGTGTGGTTCTTACGGGAGGACAGGGTGGGTCCATGCACGCTGTCCAGGTGGTCCTTCAGCTGAGCAGAGGACGAGAATTGTCGATAGCAGAATCCACAGCTCTCCCGGTTTCCTCCAAGGACAGTCAGCTCCGAGTGCTGCAGCATGTGCTGCATCAACCTGCACGCACACACACACACGTTAAAAATGGCTGACAAGATTTGTTCAGCTGAGTCAAGGGCTCCCATTTATCAACCGTACTTAGGAACAGATCTGTCCGTTGGAACGTTTTAACACATTGAGTAGTTTTTACCATTTTGTACTTGTGTGTAGAAATGTTCCTAATGATATGAACAGCTCTCACCACAAACAGCATCTAGAGGGAGAACGGGGGAACTGCAACACTGAAGGTCTCCGTCATCCACGAGCGTTCCTCATCCAGAAAATAATTTTACCCAATAGATAACTATGTGTGGAGAAACGACTTCATCACATAACAGGAATTAGATCCTATAAAAGACACCTGTGACTGACAGGAATCTGACATTGTAGCACGGCTGATCTCGAGTTATTGGAAGATTTGGCAGAGTGTGCACTCTGGAGGGAAGGTACTGGTCTACTTGGTGAGAATCCAGAGTGTCTCCTGTGCAGATACCACCTCCTGAAGGAGATCCCTCTGGAGCTATGCCATCACTTGGAACCCTTTGTGGAGCAACAGTCAAAAAGCATAAATCGTTCCTATTCAATTCAATCCCCCAGAACCTCCTCACACTCTGCTCCCAAACAAACAAGCGTTGCCAAGGTAACCAAACTGACTGACAGTCAAACAACAAACAAACAAAATTAACTCCAAACAGAACATCATAATGCTCCTTACATGTGTAACGTGAGGAAATACGGGTTTTCTGTCACAAAGGTGGTGTTGGACTCAGCTGGGTCAAAGCTGGGTCGCTGAGAACTTTCACCCACAGATTAAGACCTGAACGCCAGCGAGTCTGGGAGGAAACCATAACATCTGCCACCTGCAGCTTCGTGCCAGAAGATGTTGTTCCCACAGAAGATGTTGTTCCCACAGAAGATGTTGTTCCCATAAAAGTAGTCATAACATAACAAGTCTTAAAACTTTGTTTCTTGATTTTAATGTTAAAGTAACCATTATCATTTTGCTCATTATAAATGTGTTTAATCAAATGAATGGTTCTTATGCTTTGGGTAATTATAATGGATTAATGAATCCATACTTAAATAATGTTTGAGGATGTTTGTTACTGACCTTCACACACACTCAAGCACACAAACACTCACACACACCCACACACAGATTCTCACAGTAAACTCCAAAACACATTTGATGACGCACACGTTTGCTTTGAGAGGAGAAAGGCTTTTGGTAAGGTTCAGTCTTATGATTTCAGTTCGTGCTTGACAACGAAAGAGAGAGGACCTGAATAAACGCTGAAAGGGGGGAGCCGGTTGGCTCGTTTCTCTCCCCCCACCCCCTCTCACGCTGTTCCTGCCAAGCCAGGCAGAATAGCTGAATCGCAACTTCTAACGCAGACTCATTACCGAGTCCTTTGATTTCTGAGTGAACTAAACTTAACAAGCGCATCGACAAAACGCTTTACCATCAACGTGTACCGAGGGCAACTCTGGACCGGTTCCGTTCGACACCTACGTCTCCCCTGTCAGCCGCTGGTGTCATCTGGATGAACCATCACCATCCTCCACGGCCCGGATCCGAAAGAGGGTCCACAAGAGTTCGGTGAGACAGAACACGGTGTTTAGCGTTTGATGCAGTTCTCGATAAGACCTAAGTTTATCCAAACCATCACTTCACTCAGACACCTGTTTCTTCCTGAAGCAAAATCAGACTCACACACGCATTCATATCACAACATTCTCAATCTTCATAAATTCACCACAAGGTCTATTTGATCATATCAACTGTTAAAGATTGTCCCACAAGTTGCCAATGTTGATTGTTATTTCCTGTTTGTCAATTTCAAAATCATTAGTTTAATTTGAAGAATTAAAACTTTTAATTGTCAAACTGGTTTCCTCATTGAACTGAAACACAGACACACAGATATTATCGTCAGTTTATCTATGAAATCAACCTTTGAGTCTTCTTAACAATATAAAATTTGGTTATTGATTTATTAAAAATTAATATTCCGAATTAATACGTAGCATGGTTCCTCTTTCATAAAAGAGCATAAAACCACAACGCTACAATATGGCTGAGACAAACCAGTTTCTCCTACACATGTAATCTGTAAATGACAACCGAATGGAACATTCAGTCCGTTAAACTACGTTTTTTCATATTCAGTTTTATGTTGAACCATTTTTTCTTTATTTGTGACAGAGACCTCTCCTCTGTCCCGACCATGTTTACAACCTCTGCAACGTGTTTGGTTCTCTCCTACTTCAGCAGCCAGTGCCTCGATCTCGCTGTTTGTTTATCTGGGCAGAACACAGAGACCCCCCCCCATGAGCTGGGGGCGTGGAGTGAACAAATGTGGTTAATTGAGGGTGTTTCTGGATGTAAATGACTGAACGGACATGAGCACCTGGGTATGCACATGCGGGATTTATCATCAGTCGTTTGAGGAGGAACGTGCGTATGAGTGGCCACTGCATGTTTCATAAATTTAGGATTTTGGCCGTTCGTAGGAACATTCTACATTTCATTCGGAGGAAGGAACTGTTTCTATAAACGTTTGGGGAATGAGAGCACTGGGCTCCTGCTTGGTGGGCGGCCTTACCTCAGGTTGTTGTCGGCCCTGCAGGAGCAGACGTTGCAGGTAAAGACCGTGTTCCCCATCGGATTTTTTCTCAGGCTGACGTCTCCACCAAACCTCCCATAGTAGAACTCCTCCACACTCATCACCACCCGGGTCGAGCCCGACGCTGGCGCCATGGGAACACCCGGTGCGTTGACGACAGAGTGGGTGTGGCAAGTCGCTGTAGATCAGGTGAAACACACACACTGTTAGGTTCTGTAGGTTCTACAGATGAGCACAGAGAAGGGAGGTCTGGACCGAAAAGTCATCCGTGGAGAACAATACTGACCCGGTCCAAGCCAGCGACAGAACTGTGGCTTCAGAACTCGGATGGTGGTCTCCTCTCTGCTGATGCTCACATCTAAGGCAACATTTATTTAGCGTTCTGTTTGGTAACCACGATCTGGGTGGAACGGTACCCATGAGAACCCTGATGGACCCGCGGCGCTGTGATTCTATCTTCTCCAGGATCTCCTAGAAACAACTGAGGCGGGTTCCTCACAGTTCTGCTGGGTCTGAAGGTTTCAGTACCAACAACCTTCTGGTTTTATTTCCTCTCTGTGATGTTCAGCAGCCCTTCAGAACCAGAGAAGGATCACATGGTACTGTGGGTACAGTGTGTACTTTGTCTTTGATCTGGACTGGTCCAGAACCAGAACCAACTCTAACCCTGATCAGACCCAGGGTCTGTCTGTGTTTGTCTGGAGGATCAAAGGTCAAAGAGGTTCTGGAGATTCTGCTTGGGTTTTGTTTGGTTCCTGTATCTGCCAGAGGTCCATCAGGGTCCAAAGGTTCTACAACATTCCGGAGATAGGAAAGCATCAGGAAGATCATCTTCTGTTTAAGGAAATGTTGGTCCAAATGGTTCTGAAGAACATGGATCTGCTGTTCTTGCATCAGTGAGTTTAGTTTGTGGACACCGGTCTGATCAGGGATCAGAACCACACACAATGTTTCAGGTTACTGACTCACCTGTGCTGCTGTTGAGGGGCGTGGCCTTCATTACTCCATTGGCTGAAGATGGGGAGAGACTCTGGGGGGCGACCAGTCTCAGGGAGTTGGTACCGCTCACCTTCGTCACCTCCAGATTAACTGGAGCACCAAGACATAAATTAGTCCAAAAACCCGACCCATTCAACTCAGACATCCTCTCAGAGTCCAAGTCACTACTGACCAGATCCGGGGGTGCCGGTGCGGATAGTCAGGGTGGTGGGCAGCTGCATGGCTGTGAAGGCGGAGCCTGACCCACCTGATGGGGCGGGGCCTTTACCGGGCTGTCCCACACTGGGCCGGACCAGCTGACCCAGGGAGGGAGCTGTGGGAGGAGGGAAGGACACAGATCAGCAGACAGCAGGGATGGTCGACTCGATCCACTGCTCGGTTCTACTTACACTGGATCAGAGTGAGAGGCTGAACTGTCTGACCCGGCTGCAGGTTCAGAACCAGAGGAGCACCGGCGTTCATCATCGTCGGTACCTGGAAACCCTGCAGACACGAGACAGACATATGACATCACTGTGACATCACAATTACATCAGAGAGCAGTCTATGATGGCGATTTCCATCTGAACTTGTTGGAACGTCTGGATGTTTTCTTACAAAACGCACACGCACACACCCTGCTGGATCTTCACCACCTGATTCAGATTCAGGCAGAAGCATGGATGCATCATAAGATCTCCAGCTTCACCATCTTTGGAAAAGTTCTACATCAGGGATAACCAACCCTGGCCCTGGAGGACCTCTATCCATGTTCTAGTCAAGAGGTCGGCAACCCACGCGGCTCTTTCATCCATCTGAAGCGGCTCTCTGTACTTGTAAAATAATGAATTTATATTTAATAAAATTTTATTTTATTTTACAGCACTCTTTTTTTATTTGTATGCCAATTTTAAATGTAAAGACCGTCATCCCCTTCCAACAGTTTTAGTTCAATCCTGCCTTTCCTCCCTGCTCCCCTGTATAACAGCCATTATTCATTCCTCACTATCCTCTGGTACGGTCCCCTCCCTTTTCAAATCCGCTTCAGTCAGCCCTATTCTAAAAAAAACCTGGTTCAGATCCCAATGATTTCAATAATCTCCGTCCCATTTCCCATCTTCCTTTCACTTCCAAAGTTCTAGAGAAAACTGTTGCATCTCAGCTGCACTCCCATCTCACCCACAATAACCTTTATGAACAGTTTCAGTCTGGCTTCCGTCCCCACCACAGCACAAAAACAGCTCTCATCAAGATCACCAACGACCTACTCATTGCTGCTGATTCTGGTTTAATCTCTATTCTCATTCTCCTCGATCTGAGTGCGGCCTTTGACACCATTTCTCATCCCATCCTCCTCAATAGACTCTCTTCCTTAGCCATCACTCACACCCCCCTCCGCTGGTTTCAATCTTACCTTACTGGCCGCACTCAGTTCATCCAGTTAAAATCCTTTTCCTCAGAACCCTCCCTAGTCAAGTCAGGTGTGCCCCAGGGCTCTGTCCTGGGGCCCCTCCTCTTCATAGTCTATCTCCTCCCTATCGGCAAAATCTTCCGCAAATTCAATATCCAGTTTCACTGCTTCGCAGATAACACCCAGCTCTACATTTCCAGTAAACCCAACTCAACTCTCCCACCATCCTCCCTTACACTCTGCCTCTCAGAAATCAAATCATGGCTCACCTCTAATTTCCTCAAACTCAACGGCAATAAAACTGAACTTCTTCTAGTTGGTACTAAATCCACCATCTCAAAATCTGACAGCTTTTCTTTAACTATTGACAGCGCCATAGTCTCCCCCTCCCCTCAGGTCAAGAGTCTGGGTGTCATCCTCGACAGCTCACTTTCTTTTCAGGCTCACATTAATAACATTATTTGGTCAGCATACTTCCATCTTCGTTCCATAAACCGTCTCCGCCTCTCCCTTACCCCTCACACTGCCGCCATTCTCGTCCACAGCCTCGTCACCTCCCGTCTCGACTATTGCAATTCACTTCATTATGGTCTCCCCAACAAACTCCATCATAAACTGCAACTGGTCCAGAATTCAGCAGCCCGCATTATCACCAGAACCCCTTCCTTTCACCACATCACCCCGGTTCTCCAACAGCTTCACTGGCTCCCAGTTAAATTCAGGTCCATCTTCAAAATTCTCCTCCATACCTTCAAAGCAATCCATAACCTCTCTCCTCCATTTATCTCAGACCTTATAAGTGTTAACACCCCCTCCCGTTCTCTCAGATCTTCTTCTTCCATCCATCTTGCTGTTCCTTCTGCCTGTCTCACTACCACGGAGAGCAGAGCTTTCAGCCGCTCTGCTCCCCATCTCTGGAACTCGCTTCCCCCAGACATCAGGAACATCGACAGTTTTACCCTTTTCAAAACCAAACTCAAAACACGTTTAAATCTGCCTATGACCTCTGATTTTATTGAACTGTTTCTCTCTTTGTTTTTTCTTCTTTGCGTTTTATTGCTGTTTTAATGTATTTTCTGAACGTATTTTCTGTCAAGTGACCTTGGGTGTTCTGAAAGGTGCTTTTAAATAAAATGTATTATTATTATTATTATCATTTAAAATCCTAACAAAAATGATGATTGTCCCACCTCTGCATCATAACGCAGTGTATGTATGTGTGTGTGTGTGTTTTGCACTTCAAGCACTGGTCTAAACAACCTGACCAGTGTGTCCAGAACGTTAGAATTATATAATTTCATTTAGTAGGAACATTTCACCCGAGGCCCGAACGCACTCCGTCCTTCTGCTCTGCATAAACCTGAACAGGTCCAACCCGGTCTCCATGAAACCGGGTTGACAGGTCACCTGCTTGTGCGAAATCAAATGTCTCTATAGACGCTTTCTGAGCTGGAGAGGATATGAGATTCTGGACTTTTGCCTCAGACAGGCTCATGGATGCGTCGCCACATTGGAGACAGGAACAAGCGCTATTCAGCCAAAGTTTCATAATCAGGGAACATTTTCTAATTGACAAGTCTCTCTGAGAGACAGGGTTTGGAAAACACTCACTTCAGTGAGAGGAATCTTCCCGCATGCGCTGATAGCGAGCCGGGTTGAGCTTGATTGATCTGGCTCGGCGATGTGCGTAACGATTACAATGTCAGCCTATCTGCAGCGTTGAGGTTTCTCCATCAAAATAAACGGTCAAATACAGGAAATATCCGACCAGTGCGAACCCTGTTATTTAACTGTTTTGCCTTCTTGTGAAGATTGTTGCACAGAGAAAAAATTAAACTTGATTAACGCCAGAGCCATGTGCCGTTATGTCCATCACTAAATGAGGGAAACAAACTAATTGATCAGATCTTTTTCTTACCTTTTCAACACTGTTTAATGTTAAGTTTCGTTCTGTTCAAAGTTTAATTACAACAATCCAATGAGAGAGCCTGGACTTGCATTCTGAACCGTTTAAACGGAGACATGTCGCATAAAAATAATCGGCACCTGCTCAGGCCCGGTAGGCCCACCAGTGTTTTCTTTACTGTGGGAAACAGGTAATAACGGCTCATGGATTGGAAAAGGTTGCTGACCCCTGTTCTAGACACTTCCCTGCTCAGCACCTCATGAAGCTCTGCAGAAGCCTATAATTCACCTACTGAAGGAAACCAAGTGTGTTGGAGCTGGTCAGCAGACCTGAAGGGCCTGGATTTGTCCTTTTTCTACATGGAGGTGGAACAGACACAACTGGATTCCTAAGAGGGAACGCGCTGAGCCGCTGATTCTGATAGATGGTCAAAGTTCAAGTTGAATAAGCGGAACTTTTTCTTAAGATTCAAACTCAATGGATATCAAGAGGGACACTAGAGACATCAAGTTACCTTGGACATGGACATTGTGGTCCACATTGAGAGGAATGGGAGTTTACAGGGTCAAGGTCTCCAGACCAGGATCTACTCTACTGATGAGTTTCACAAGAGGAACATACAGGTCATCAGGTCAAACCTCAGCAGTCCATCTACCCCTTAAACACAAGTCTGGGATGACCTGGTGACCCTGGCCAAGTGTGCTGGTTCTCAGTACCTGTGTGGTCAGGAGGATGGGCCGAGGACTGCCTGAACCAGGGGCTGCTGGGAGGAGAAAAGTCCCACTTGAAGTCTGTGTCAGGATGAGGGGCGGAGCCTGAGCCATCAGAGGGGGTGCTGAGGCAGTGGGTGTGGAGATAGTAGGGAGGGAGAAGGTAGAGGGGGCAGTGGTGATAGAGGGTTGAGGTTGAGGCATCAGGGAGGAGACGATCTGCAGTGGAGACGGAGCTGAGGAACGAAAACACTGATGTTACAGGATATTCAGGTAAAAACACACCTGTGTCTACAGTAACAGGCACATACTAATAGTTACCTGTTGGGGCAGGTGGGACGGAGGGAGGAGTACTGGGGGGCGAAGAATCCTCAACTAAAGACACAGAATAATGAACACCAGTAAGGAACACACCTTCTCAGGTGTGTCTGGTAGGATAATCGGGTAAACTATCGGGAGAACAACCACCCGTCCAGCAGGTCCTGCTTTTACCTGCTGCACTACAGGTGCAGCTCTGTGTTTTTAGCAGATGTGGGGTCAGAGAGTCAGCTACTTAACCCATACCCGTTTGCCTCACTCACCTACTTGTTTATCTAGATCTAGTAGATCTAGTGCTACAGGAGTCAGCGTCCAAGGGAAATCTTGATGAATTCTGCTTTAAATAACAAACTCAGTGTTTATTAGCTTGTTAATAAATCATTTACAAGTCAATATTACCAATGTGGCGGCTATTTAAATCTGTGATGTTAAACGTGTTAAACTGGGTGAATCTAAAGGGCCTGTTTAGTGACAAGAGTGTGACCTGATGTGGTCAGAACCAGGGGAAGGTTGGGTGGTGTTTAAGCAGCATCTCAGAGATCATCTCAGGTTATGACCTAATCACACATTAACACACACACCAACTGTTAAGACTCAGTGTGTCTCACCTGGCTCACAGTAGCTGTCTATAAAGTCCACCTCGTCTTCTTCTACGCAGTCATCCACCTGCTGCCATGGCTCCAGCTCCTCCTCCTCACACTCCATAAACAGCTCTGTCTCCATGTTACTATGGAAACCAGATCAGAAGGTATTGCAACTCACCACAAAAGTATTTAAACATCAACCAGGACCATGTGGGAGTCGAGCAACCAGATTTGTGATGTGATCATTTCTGTGGCACCATAAAGCAGAAATACAAAGTTTTTTACTCAGAAGGCAAAAAAACAAAAGTATCACACTTTTATGTCCCTGCCCCTGCTTCTGTGATACTGTTGGAGCCTCTCCTCCATAAATGCACACCTCCACAATTACAGTTATTATATCATAATTATATTTGAAAGACTAACTCATCCATAAGAAATGTCGCCAACTATGCATCTGTTCGACATCCAAGTTGACCTCTAAGATCCTTCCACCATTGAAAAGCAGCTCAGATGTAAATTCTTTACCGGTCTTTGAGGTGCTTTTCGGCACGTGTAGCTGGTGAGCTTTTCTTTACTTTGGTCTGTCTTTGAGTGGGAGCAAGTTTTTTCTGTCTGTGAAGGCAGCTGTAGCTGCTCCCTGAGACATCGTGTCTTTGCAGCTTTGTAAAGAAATCAAAAATATCTTAGCCTAGGTACTTTCACACGCGACTGACATCGCACATAAGCAGATGTTTAACGTTACTGGCGAATGCTGAGCGGTAGCGGTGCTCAAGTAAAATTACATGGGGCTCCCTGAGACAGGGGCAGGCTTAGCAAAAAATAATTGATTTATTGGCTGGTAATAAAATAAAATACATCAAACAGAATTCCTGAAAAGTGAGAAAACCCCATATTTCTGCTTTGACATCCTTCAAAATAAATATTTTCACCATACATGTACTTTAATATGATTAACTTCTTATAAACACGATTAAGGGACGTTTAAACCTAGTTTATGCTTCTGGGTCTGGGGTGGAGCAGAAACAAGCAACGCCATTGGTCAACACAAGCAGCAGGTCTGCAGAAGAAAAGCCCAATATGTTTAAATCTCTGTCAAATGCTATGGAGGGCTAGCCTGTTAGCCAGGGGTCCCCAATCCTGGTCTTGGAGGGCCGGTATCCAGCAGGTTTTGTGGTTTTTCTGCTCCAACAGACTTGATTCAGTGGTTGAAACACCCGTGCAGCAGCTCATCAGGCTCTGCAAAAGCCTGTTAATTAGCTGATGATTGAAATCAGGTGTGTTGAAACAGAGTTCAAACTAAAACATGCAGGATACAAGCCCTCCAGGACCAGGATTGGGGACCCCTGCTGTTAGCCATCCTATGTGAATATATAGTCTGGCCACAACCATAGACAGTGCTCAGTCATGGGGCGCGATCTTCAGTTGTCTTTCAAACTTTCTCCAGATGCTATTAGACAAACAAACATGATGTACTCATCGCTACAGATGTCAGTCAATGGGGCAGTCATACACCGTCGACAAAGACGCTACATCTTTTTTAAAATAAAGGACCTCTATCTGCTCTTGACTCAAAGAAAAGCCCAAGTCTAAACAGTCCAAAGTTGATGCCAAAGCCATTTAAAACAAGACACTTTCTTTGCTGTTTCAACATCCCGCCCACCAAACCAATATAGCGTTATGATAGGTAAGACACAGAACTGTTCGGGCCTGCTGAGGTTCCAGTGGATCATGGCTAGACCGACCTGCAGAGAAAAATCTTTTTGCTACGGTCTATCTAGATTGGTCAGCATGCAACTTCCTTTAAATTCATCAACAGCACCAACATCCCCAAAAACAAAGAGTGCTGGAGATGCAGGAGCAGATATGGAAGCGTTGATGATCTGAATGTTTGTAGAACCTTCAATAAAGAGCACACAGATGCATAGCAGACTTTAATCCATGGAAGGAAATGGCAGAGAGCAGCTTTGTAGGAGGTGGAAGCATGAAAAGGTGGAGAAGAATAAATCACGATTGTGTTAAAAAGGCTCTGAAATACATAAACACAGTATAAATACAAACACACAATTGTGAATACACTATCGAGAACCACAGACGTCACTACAATGGTGGCTGGACTCCCCTAGAAAAGACAACACATTCTCACACCCAAAGCGTCAAAATATGATGCGTGTGACCAAGCCTCAATATATGACGATTTGGGATGGCCCAGCGCGTCAGGAGACGACGATCAGGGACACACTGATGACACACCGTCCCAGAACGTTGGTATCCGACGCCGGTGGAGAGACGGACATTACAACGACTTGTGAACTACTTAACCTTCCCCTCACCCCAATCCTAACATTAAGGTCACAGTTACTGACCTTACGGTTAGGATTGGGGTGAGGGAAAGGTTAAATTGGGGTGAGGGGAAGGTTAAATAGTCGAATAATTTCCGTGTGACCCCGGGCGTCAAACAGTGACGCCAGTGGAGCCACGTGTCCCTGATCGTCGTCTCCTGACGCGCTGGGCCATCCCGAATCGTCATATATTGAGGCTTGGTCACACGAGCCATATTTTGACGCTTTGGGTGTGAGAATGTGTTGGAAAAGCAGTACCCAACTCCCCAGGCAATGGTGAAGTCTGAAAGGAAGACGTCTCTGTCCATAAGAGCAAATCTCTTCAACCCCACTGACAGAGACATGTAAACTAGGCTTTAAATTGTAAATGTCCTTTATTTATTTTGCACCTTCCAGAGCCCTACCACCCCCAAGGTGCTTCAGAACACATCAGCCATTGATCCACCTATACACTCACACACATGCTGGCAGTGATGAGCCACATTGTAGCCACTGAAGCTAGGGATGGGTGGAGCCTGTCATGCACATCTGGTTGTGATGGTTTGCTGCAACCACACCAGCAGATGGGTGAGCTGGGGATGTTTTGCCCAAGGACACAATGACTGCTGAGTGGGGCTCAGCCCTGCTACCTTATCAAATTTAGAGATAAATTATTGAACAATTGCATTCCATAATGTGGGTTTTTGGTCTTTATCTCATTTTATTTAGACATTGGTTTGTTGCTTGAGTTTTCCGTCTCCAATGGGCTCCAACGGGGGCAAAAAACAAAACCACCGGTGCACTATTCCCAGGAACTAGAAGAGAGCCACATCACAGCTGAGCTTCAAACAGCAGGTTTTGGAGTCTTAATTCCTGGTATTTGGACATCTTGCTTCAGATTGGATAACAGCAATGCGACGCCTATCACTGACTTGCAACACTGATGTTTTATCTCCAAAAATACCTCAAGCCTGGAAGAGTTCTGTCAAGTGGTGAAGTTGCTAATCCAAACGATTAACTTCTACTATTCAAGACATTCTCTGCTATTTGCTGGACGCTAAACCAACAACAGCCATTCCCATCATGATTCAAGATGGGTGAGTCCAAGAATGTTAAGTGACAGTGTGATGTTTCGTTTCGTTTTATTGAGATCCTCATTAGCTTCTGCCTAAGTGCAGATGCTAGTCTTCCTGGGGTCTCAGTAGATCTGTCAAGCTTTTCACCATCTATTTTCTATCAGAACTAATGCAGGAGACAGGAGTAGAAGTCTAGTTTCTTGTCCAGTCTGCATGAAAACCACAGAGTGACCAATTATAATCAGAAATAACATTTAGAAAATGTTTTTTCAGTGTTCCATACCTTTAAAATAACTAATAATCAGAAGTTGCATATATGATATTGCCCCATACTCTCTTCTACCCTAGTGTAACTGCCACTTTCCACATGGCCAGATTTATAGTGGTTTCCCCCATGTTTAATACTCAGAAAATAACATATTGGCCCATAGACTCCCATTCATTTTTTGACAGTAGGGGGACCCATGGAAAGGAGGTAGATGGGCATGACTTAGGCTCCCTTAGGCTGAGTGATGCTGATTGGGCAAACATTCTCCAGTTCTCCCTAACAACCAAGTTTGATTGGCTGTTTAGCTGCAGTTCAGGGGTGCTTTTTCCAAAGCCCCAGCAGTGATATTGAGTCTGTTGGAGGATATTCACTGTTTAATGAAAGACGATTGCATGTGGACACAAACAATTAAACTAAACTGACACATTGATAGTAAATATATGTATTCTATAGTTTTATCGTTTTTAGATTCATTTCCACTTCGCTTGGGGGAGGGCTGCACTCTAGTGCCACCTATGGACGAGCTGACTCTTCCTGATACTAAGCCTAGTGTTTGATCATAAACATTTTTTTTCTGTTACTATTCTGCAAAGCAAGTTATTACGAATCCATTTAAAACATGTAAAGACAGAAAGAAGACTCTTCGCTGAGACTACCACACAGTCTGTAGAACCAATCTAAACTGGTCATAATGGGCCAGCATGCCTGTCCGGCATAGTGCTACCAATAATCCGCAGGTAAACAACGCAGTTCAATAAAGTTTTATTTTGAAACGGGTTTGGTTTGAACAGTACCGGTCGCGGCCATAGGCGGTGCTGGACTTCCAGCAGCTCTGGGGGCTTTGTTCCTTTAAACAGTCTTGTCCGTTGAAGTCTTGGTGGGAGGAAACTTCTAGTCCAGGCGCGCATAGACCAGGATATTTCAAAACCTAGTTAGTGGGTTAATAGGACGCAGACCGCACGAGGAGCCCTACTAAACCCTAAAACCCCAGACTGGAACCCCGTCAGTCCACTGCGGTGTGGTGTTTCTGCCCTCCCCCTAGCTCTGACAACCCGATGGTTTCACTAAGCCTCCACCAGTGCCCTGTCGGCAGGCTACGGGTCTCAACCCTGGCCTGTACCGGTTCGACCCATTCGGTCTTACCTGCTTGTGATTTGATCAGACTCGGAGGTGTTTTCTTCAAGCGCGCTATGGTTAGACATGCAGCAGGGGCGGGTCTTCTTCCCACGGTCTGTGTTGGAGCCGCGGATTGGCCCGCATCAACACAACGTCACTTCCGTTTGTACAGCGCTTCTTTTCATTGGCCTATAAAATTCTTTGGAAGAAACAGAAGTCTGCTGCGGGTTTTTAGGGTAACGGTTTTTAAATGGTCAGCAAATAGCCGGACCTCCTCCGGTAAACCTGAATAGTGGCGCTGACGGCCGCAGACATGCACACACGCACCTGTTTTTTACGGTGGCCAGGAGACACAAGCAGCCATTTTGTTTTTGTTTTCACAGAGGGGGCGGGGCCACATGCACTTACGTTATGAATTATAAGCAAATTTCTAGTTTTCTAAGGAGGCTGGTAGGGATCAGGTAGATACAACATGGCTGCTGGTCGAATAGCTACTTTTGTTGTTAAACCCAAACCTACCTCTTATTTGGTCTCACAAATAAGACATTTGTCATTATGGGTTTACACCATCAACATATACATAGGCTTACTCTAGTGGCTTTTGTTATGTGCTCATGTGCTGGTGGTAAATCTAGAAAACCTTTTACAAAGGAGGGGCAAAGGTTTTAGTCAGGGTAGCCATTGACACAATAGTGGCTATGGTGGCCATGCTGGGCCTTCATTTAAATGGAGTATCAAAAAACATCAACAAAAAAGTTTAACTTGTCTTTCTAAATTAAAACAATATTTTTGGTATAAATGCTCCCCACCCCCCAATAAAATTAAACATAAAAAAATGAATAAATAAACTGCGAAAATGACAGAAGATGATTAGGGCCACTTACAAGAAAAAAGCAAAAGAAAAGTAAAACAATTCTGACATTAATCTCATCATTCAGGCTTTTTGACTTAAAAATATGCCCATGGTTGTAGACCTGTAACTGCAGATCTTCTAGGTTCCAACAGTCAGAGATTCTGATCTCAGATCTGTTCTGAGTTCTATAATCTGCTCTAATCTGTTAATCTTCCCACTCCAACTCGCCCCAGCTCTCAGTCTGTTCTACACTGTGGGAATGAAAGGTGCAGCTCTGGGAGACTTCTTGATGCTGCCATGGACCGCCAGCGATTCAGAACCTGGTACCGGGGTGTGCGATCAGGGGGTTCTGATGCTGAGATGTGGAGCTGCAGTGGGAGTCGCTCTGATTTGTAAGAGTCATCCAGTTTCTCTGTTTTAAGTGATTTCTCTGATGAATCAGATGTTTTTCTGCTAAAGTCAAATAAGATCTTTTTTTACAATTTATAAAAATTTATCACCAGTAGCTATGTCTGATAAAGGATTCGTTAACTTCAGAGGTTCTCCTGAAAGCAAGTCTTACCTGCGCAGCCAAGAAAACTCTTTCTAAAGGATTTAATTGTAAAACAAGAGCAGTTTAGTGCATGTTTATATGTGATCAACAGAAACCCTAACTCTTTTAATAAAAGACTATTCTTAAAAATACTTTCATTAATGTCCTTATAACCTAATTTTAGTGTTGAACAAAAATATAATATAAACTCAAATACAAAAGAAACAAATGTATAAACAAATAAAACTGTTGAAAAATAACACAGAATTGATTTATAGAGCAATCTTCACATCACATTTCTGTATCTTACTTTCTCAAGATCCTGGTTCTGGATTTTAGGGTCCCCATGGACAAGCACCACCGTACATCAGTGATCTTCTCGGTCTCTACACCTTCAGCAGGTCCTTGAGGTCCAGTGATCGAAGCCCAACACTAATTACATCAAATATCCAGTTTATAACATTATTGTAACTTAAAATTAGAACAAATAAAGACATTTTACTGATACAGGTATTTCACCTCAATCTATATGAATCATCTGTGTGTGTGTGTGTGTGTGTGTGTGTGTGTGTGTGTGTGTGTGTGCGTGTGTGTGCGTGTGCGTGTGTGCGTGTGTGTGTGTGTGTGTGTCCAGCATGCTAATTCATGTAGCTGCTGAGGCACTATTGGAGCCTAAGACTCCTCCCCTTTTTGTCGGCTCATGGGTCCCCAGAAAAAAGAAAAGATTAATGCAAGTGAACGGGGCTATAAGAGCTATTTTCTGGTTTGCTCTGCCTCAGGCCCAAATCACACATATGTTGTACTTTAATTTAAATGTATGATGTGTGTTTCGACTATGTTTGTGTAAGAGTTGGTAAATGTAGTGCTTTAAGAGCTTAATATACCAATAAGCTGTGATATTCTATATAAATATAGAATATCAATGTAGGTCAATATGTGGGTGAAAATTGACAATTTCTAGAAATTACATATGTCATGTACTTTGAGATTTATTAGCTTGTAAAATTTTGTCCATGTGTGCCCTTGGCACCAGGATACCTTAGGCCGCAGTGCAACAATCGACTTTGTTGTTGTCTCATCTGATCTGCGGCCGCATGTCTCCGACACTCTGTTGAAGAGAGGGGCGGAGCTGTCAACTGACCACTACCTGGTGGTAAGTTGGCTTCGATGGTGGGATAGGGTGCCGGTGGTCAGATCTGGCAGGCCTAAACGTATTGTGAGGGTCTGCTGGGAACGTCTGGCAGAGTCTCATGTCACAAGGAGCTTCCTGCCTCTGAAAGAATTTTGAACACGTTCCGAGGGAAGCGAGGGACATTGAGTCTGAGTGGGCCTGGGCCATGTTCCGTGCTTTCATTGTCAAGGCGGCAGATCAGAGCTGCAGCTGCTGGATAGTCGGTGCCTGTCGTTGTGGCAACCCTCGAACTCGCTGGTGGACACTGGCAGTTAGGGATGCTGTCAAACTTAAGAAAGAGTCCTATCAGATCTTTTTGACCTGTGGGACTCCAGAGGCAGCTGATAGACACTGGCAGTCCAAGTGGAATGGTGCTTGGGTGGTCGCAGAGGCAAAAACCTGGGTGTGGGAGGAATTCGGTGAGACCATGGAGCAAGACTTCCGTACGGCTTCAAGGAGATTCTGGTCCACCATCTGGCATCTCAGGAGGGGAAAGCAGTGCTACTAACGCTGTTTACAGCTGTGCTTCTGACCTCGACTCGGGATGTTGTGGATCATTCGTTGGACAGAGTACTTCGAAGACCTCCTCAATCCCACCAGCATGTCTTCCAGTGAGGAACCGGAGTGGGGACGTTGGGTTGAACTCTTCTATTTCTGGGGCCGAGGTCACTGAGGTGGTCAAAAAGCTTATTGGTAGCAAGGCACCGGGAGTGGATGAGATCATTCCGGAATTCCTTAAGTCTCTGGATGTTGTGCGACTGTGTTGGTTGACGCAGCTCTGCAATATCGCATGGATATCGGGGGCAGTTCCATTTGGCAAACCTGGGTTGTGGTCAACCCAATTTAAGAAGGGGGGCGGCCGGATGTGTTCCAACCACAGAGGGATCACACTCTTGAGTCTCCCCGGTAAGGTCTATTCAGGGGTTCTGGAGAGGAGGTCCGTCGGATTGTCCAACCTTGGATTCAGGAGGAGCAACATGGTGCCAGAGCTTGGTCCACCACTGCTGGCAGTAAGTTGGGCTCGTTTCCAGTGACAGTGGGACTCCACCAAGGCTGCCCTTTATCACAGATTCTGTTCATAACTTTTATGGACAGGATTTCTTGGTGCAGCCAAGGTGTTGATCTGTTTTGGTGACCTAAGGATCAGGTCTCTGCTTTTTGCAGATGATGTGGTCCTGCTGGCTTCTTCAGACAGTGATCTCCGGCTTACAATGGAGTGGTTTGCAGATGAGTGTGAATGGTTCTAATGGGAAACAGGCTTCAACACAAGCGATTGTTTTCCGCTTGGTCCCAGTGCTCAACCAGTGTCACTTTAATATAGCGTAATGTTGTTTTTGGACAGTAAAAGGGGCAGGGGACAACAATTTACTTTGGAAAAAGTGGTGGTGGTGTGTGTGGGAAGGGGGGGGATGCCCCCACCCCTTCCCAAAACTATGTCCATGGCTGCAGTTTCCAACACTTGCCTATTGTTCCTATGGTAACAGCTGACTTTGTTTACAGGTGTGGTGGTAATAAGGAAGTGGATTGCAGGTGGGGTGTGTCGTTGTTCAGTGCGTTTGGATGGGAAGACAGTTCTGGTCACTGGAGCCAACACTGGCATCGGTAAAGAGACCTGCAGAGACCTGGCAGCAAGAGGTGAGACTCATCGGCTTGACCTCATCTGACAGGTATCAGCAAGTGGGTTCAGTCTGAAAAGGTTAGGGTTTGACCTCAACAATCCCCATGGTAACACGTCATTAACATCATCATGGCTGGGAGAAAACTGAGGGTGGAACTCGGTGTGTGATGGGTCAGCCTCTCATTCAGGGTCAATAGCAGCTACACACTGAGAGCAGAAGCATGTTAGACTTTAAACCTCAGAATACAAGTTTATGTTGGGACTGATGTCTTCCTTCTTTGAGTTTATAATACAAAATATCAGATCAGCTGAAGAACAAAGTTTTTGTTTTTCAGCAAGAATCAGAAAACTGCTTCGCTCTAAAAACGGCGTTGAAAGAAACAGCTGAAAGATTACAGTTTGTGCTCTAAGAAGTTTTAAGCAGCTCATGTTGCGCCAGGCTCTCTGAGAGCTGCTGTGACCTCTGACCCCTGTCAGACAGGAAGCATGCTGAGACAGTGATTCGTAACATCTCAGCTTGGTTTCTGCAACAAAGTTGTATTCTGCTTCAAGAAGCTGGAGCTCCATGTTTAACTGGTAAACCCTCTGGACATATAAAAGATCAATAATATTTTGATAATAGAGCAATAACAATAGAGTATTATACATAATAGCGTTATAATAGTGAATTTCTTTGCCTGGAGTGCATATTCAGATGGATTAGCCTTGATCTCACTGGGGATTAGAAAAAAGAAAGATTGGAAGGGGGTGTACTGGGAGTGGATACGCATTGTTTCATGATCTTATGGTTCCACTAAAGCTCAGAGGAACCCAGTCAGCAGTCGAAGTGTCTTCCTGACCAGGTGCTCGGGTGGTGATGGCGTGCAGGGACCTGGTCCGGGCAGAGCAGGCAGCAGAGGAGATCCGACGCTCTACAGGAAATGGAAATGTGGTGATCAGGCACCTGGACTTAGCCTCCATTTACTCAGTGACACAGTTTGCCAAGGACTTCCAAGACAGTGAAGACAGACTTGATGTGCTTATCAATAATGCAGGTGAGCTGCTGTTTGCTTGGTGTTCACCTGTAAACCACAGGTTTCCCTTCCCCCCTGGATGATCTGGGTCATAACAGACCCTCTGCCTGCCTTTAGGAGTGATGATGTGTCCCAGAAAGATCACAGAGGATGGGTTTGAGACTCAGATGGCTGTCAATCATCTGGGTCACTTCCTGCTGACCAATCTGTTGCTGCCAATGCTGAGGAGCTCCGCCCCCAGCCGTGTGATTAATGTGTCATCCATCGCCCACCAGGGAGGTATGACCCCTGACCTCAAACCCCCACATCCTTTGATGTTACTGGGATGTTATAGCATGTGTGGGTTTAGTTTGTTGTTGTATTTTCAGGTCGTATTGACTTTGATGACTTGTTCTTCACCAAGCGTCCGTACAGCGCACTGGGGAGCTATCGGCAGAGCAAACTGGCCAACGTCCTGTTTACCAGGGAACTCGCTCGACGACTCACAGGTCTCTGAAAAACACAGACACTAGAGACAGGTGGATGTCTTCCTGAACCCTAAAGAGAAGAAACAGAAGTGGAACTAAGATTGAATCATTTGATCGTGATTTAGCTGACTTTTGATTGGCTGATTTGTCCTTGCCTGTCTTCCAGGCTCTGGTGTTTCTGCGTTCTGTCTCCACCCAGGTGTGATCAGGACTGAGCTCAGCCGTCATGTAGAGAGCCAGTTCCCTCTGATTGGTGCACTGATGAGGCTTCCTGGCCTGCTGCTGATGAAGACCCCCTGGCAGGGTTGTCAGACCACCCTGTTCTGTGCTGTGACCCCAGGTCTTGAGGACCGTTCTGGCTGTTATTTCAGGTAGGAGGAGGGACTAAAAATTACCAGCAGGGTAGGTGGATGTGGCACAGTTCAGTTTACTGATGATGCCACACACCTCATGTCGGCAGGTCAAGCTTACTGTTAAAAGCTGGGTTGACCTCATCAGATCAAAGTAGTAGTTCATTCAAGTGTGTTTGTTTCCATAGTGACTGCACAGAGAAGGAGGTGGCGCCAGAAGGACAGGATGACAAGGTGGCAAGGAGGTTGTGGGAGGAGAGCATCCGACTGGTCAGGCTGACCTCTGACAGCAGCGTCCCCATCAGGACAGACTGAGAAACGTTTGTTTGTTTTTCTAAAGTATGCTCAGGTGGAGGTGGTGAAGGTATTCCATCTGGATGTCTTCTGTTTGTTTCCTTCGTGTTGCCTTTAAGGTTCCTCCGGTTCAGAGCTTCGTTTGTCTTTGCTGCAGATCTCTTTGTGATCTTCTTGTACTTTCTTATCTTTCTAATTAGGTTTTTTTTTTTAAAAACTATATTTGTGTTTAGTTTGTGTTGGGCATCATTGTGAGGAGATGATTCATGATCTTGTGTGTGAATAATTTAAACTCAGAGTCTAATGATCGGAAGCTCCCTTTTAATCAGTAAATGAAACTTCTGACATTGTTTCAACATATTGTTTAATGTTTGACAAACTTTGTAAAGTTTAAGTGGAAATAAAATTATGAGCTAAAATGTCTCAACTCTTAAAAAAATTGAAATGCTTCGTGGAACTGGTACGGAAATGTCATCTTAACGCTTGTTACATACTTGTCCAGTAGGTGGCAGGAGAGATCAGTCCCTGTCTGGACCAGTACAGACCATCGACCAGTGGCGGTTCTACATCGAATTACTCCCCGGGCGAGGCCCCCTTTGAGCGCCCCCCCCAACCGCCCCCCCCCCACCACCACCACCACCACACCACCCCACCTGCATGAACACACGCATGTTTTCTACAAACAGGCATGTTTTATTAGAACGACTATTGAACATTCATTTTTCTAAGTTGCACATATTTACATTATTTACTATGAAGTTGTCAGAATGTAAAGCAATATACATTATTTACAGTATCAAAATATATAGAATCAAATATACAAAAACAAACAATAACTAAATATTAAGAATATATGAACATAATAGATAATAAATATTGTAAATAGCAAAAATATTTCACACATAACAAACTAAAGATAATCACTACAGCATTGCACTTAGAAAACACAAACTAAAATTAAAACCTAACCTTGATGCAACGTCATCAATAATGTCATCACATGAAATCTGCTCCCCTACTGAGTGATTGATACTAATCAGAGCCAGGTTAGTGAGCCGCCCCTGAAACACAGGTGACCTCAGGTATGACTTGATCAACTTTTGAAAAGCTCCTCTCAGCTTGAGCCACAGTGACTGGCAGAGCAGTCCAAAAGTTGGGGTAGATCTCCAATAGATCTTTATCATGATCCATAATATTTTAGAATTGCCTCTGAAATTGTAATTTAAACTGACATAAAAAATTGTAGACTACCAAAAATGCCAACTTTTACAGAACAAACCATGTAAAAAATAATCAGTGCAGCCATCTGCAATAAATAAACAGTTAGTGGTGACTAGGGAGTTTCCTTCTGCTTGTAGAGTTGTTTTATTTATTATTATGTGAACATGATCAACATGTGTTTGTTGTTGTTCAGGCAGGCCACAGGCTGCAGTGAGCATTTAACAAATCCTAGTTTGAATCAGTAAAAAACGATTCAAGGACTTTTTTCGAACCATTTGAATATTCGTTTCAATATTTCAGCCCTATTAGCTCTGTTAGCAATTAGTTGACCGCATTTAACCGTTAAAATCCCAGTTAACTGGTTCAAAAAATTGAAAACATGCATCATGAGAGCTACATACCTTTATCTTTTTTTTCCCCCTGAATCGAACACCTGGTGGTTTTAGCCTTTTTATGTTCATCTCTTCTGTTTGGCTCTTAACTCAGTAAGTTTCCTTTAGTCAGGACTAAACAATTTGACCTTGATGGGGGGGTGACCACAAAATCGTTTTGTTTTTCCTTTTTTTATTCGGCCATTTCACACAATTCAGAGAAACCTGAAAGAATGATAGGCCTGTGTTTATGATATTATGAATGAAATATGGAAGAAAGTTAAGATGTGATTGACTTTAGCCATGTTAATACAGTTGATTCAGCCCCTGCACGCTCATTCATTTGGGAAAGACGCAGAGGTGAATTCCCCCGCCGCACCCCTCCCCTTCCTGTTCTTCATAGACACACGGTGCACGTGAACGTTCTCAGTCAGCAGGAGCGCCTGCAGCTGCAGGGGGCGCCAACTTGCTGTTTCCAATCCAGACACTGTCATATGACAGATAATAGAAAACCTCGGTGCGGCGCAGATTTCCTTTTTTTTTTTTTTTTTACTCAGCGCTTGTGCGCCCCTTTTGTGTCATGAAAAAATGCCGCCCCGGGCAACTGCCCTGTCTGCCCGTGCCTAAAACCGCTACTGCCATCGACATATAAATATAAATAGTCCCCTGTCTTGATCAGACCAGTTCCTGTCCAGATGAGTATACATAGTTCCTGACTAGATCAGTATAGACACCAGTTCATATCTGGTATAAAGCCAGTTGATGGTTTAGATCAGACTCTTTCTGTTAACTCAGAGGATCACCAGAACAAACTGATGAGGGTGTCGTCCCCCCCCCCCCCCCCCCCCCCCCCCCGCCATCACCACCACACACACACACACACACACACACACACACACACACACACACACACACACACACACACACACACACACACAACAGCTGGCCCCGATGCCAGCTGTTGGTCTGAGTGAAGCTCAGATCAGGTTTCTGACTGAAGCACTCATGATGTTGTTTTGGGTGTTTTCTGCCACCAGATAATCCTCAGATCAGCTTCTGTCTGTCTGACCCAGTTCATGATCCGTCCCAAGTCCCAGTTAAGCTGACTCCAGGTCGGCTGATAGCCTCTAAACATCTGCCAACATCCAGCACAGGGCGAGCCGGATTAACGTGATGGTCCGAATTTGAGCTAAGAAAATGGAAACATGAATGGAGCCTCGGGTTCAGGTTCTGAGGGGAACCATCAACCCGTCCAAACAGAACACGATCGGTTTGGACGGATCAGGCTCAAGACAAGAGTTTATAGAAAAGAGACAAATTACCCAATCAGAACTCAGGTTCAGCATCATTTAAAGACAAGTTTGTTCTGCAGATGCATCAACCGGAACCACTTCTGGGTCACAAACATTTAATCTAAACATGGGTTTTTTGTGCACATTTGCTTCGATAGACAAAACATGTTAATAAAACTTCATTGAAACAGTTTTAGATGTTTATAAAACAACATTATTTTCAAAACTTGTTACAAATTAATTCAGTTTATTTATAAATCACCAGAGGCTACCGGAACAGAACAAAACAGCTGGTTCGGGTATAAACAGCTGGAACCAGAACATCTGGAAAATAGATTTATTTTCTTTCAAAGTGAATGAAAACCTTGTGATTCTGCAGCTGATCTACTGAAATCTGCCTTCGCTGCGGTCCACCAGTGGGGGGAGCTGCGAAGCTGCCCTGGAGCCGCTGAGCCAGCAGGGGTCCGGTAAGAAGAGGAGGGAGGAGAAACCGGACACCGACTCTCAGAGCCGCTCCTGGCAGGTCAGAGTGAAGCAGAACCCGTGGGAGGCAAGCAGCAGCGGAGCGGCTCTCAAGAGTTACACCGAGGAGCAGGAGCCGAGGAGCGGCGGATGTTCCGCTCCCTCTCCCAGGACTTTAACTGGGTCTCAGCCTTTCATCGGACCCTCCCGCAGTGTAACGGAGTTCCCGGGAAAGTGAAAGAAGTCCCGGTATCGGCAGCTTGACAGCTGCTGAAATGAAGAACAACTCCGATAAACGGGTGAGTACTAACGGAACCGACACCAGAGGCTTCTGCTGGTCTGGTTTCTCTGGTTAAACCGAACCGGGTAGAACAAAGCATCCAGAATTATAAGCCTTTTATTGTGAAGATGAGAAAATCTCCTATTTACTGTGAAATCCATTTCCGGTTTTCAGAATAAGTGTGCTATTTGTTACGTGAAAGAATCAAGTTCACAATCGAAATCTAAGGTTCGACGAAACCGGTCAATGAAGCTGAGGTGCGGAGTTCGGGTGTTCCTGTTAAATTAGCGAACAGAGTTAAACTCCAAGCTGAGACACAGTTAATCCACTGACAGCTTCAGGTTCACGTTACACGCGTCTGATAGGTTTAAATAAATTACACCTGACACCTGAAGGCAACACATGCTGACTATCATTAACAAACTGGACCCTGAAGGCATCACGGACGGACAGATGTTAGATGTTACACTGGTTCCTGAAGGCATCACAGATGGACAGATGTTAGATGTTAAACTGGACCCTGAAGGCATCACGAGCGGACAGATGTTAGATGTTACACTGGACCCTGAAGGCATCACGGATGAACAGTTGTTAAACTGGATCCTGAAGGCATCACAGATGGACAGATGTTAGATGTTAAACTGGATCCTGAAGGCATCGCGAACGGACAGATGTTAGATGTTAAAGTGGACCCTGAAGGCATCATGGACTGACAGATGTTAGTTGTTAACATGGACCCTGAAGACATCACGGATGGACAGATGTTAGAATTTTAAACTGGACCCTGAAGGCATCACTGACTGACAAATGTTAGATATTAAACTGGATCCTAAATGCATCACAGATGGACAGATGTTAAACTGGACGCTGAAGGCATCATGGCCTGACAGATGTTAGATGTTAAACAGGACCCTGAAGGCATCACCGACTGACAGCTGTGTAAGAAATCAACTCAGAAAGACGCTGATGTGACTCTGGATCTGATCTGGTTGGTTGTTTGTGTTGACAGATGTTGAATCAGGTGTTTGTTCTGGAACTGTGGGCTAAGTTCACCTGACGCTGTCCTGTTTCTGTTTCAGGCTCCATCGGAATCAGTACAGCAGAACTCGCCACCAGAAAAAGTGGGATGGATCAGGAAGTTCTGTGGGAAAGGGATCTTCAGAGAGATCTGGAAGAACCGCTTTGTGGTTCTGAGAGGAGATCAGCTGTTTATATGTGCCAAAGAGGTGAGTTAGGGGTGGGGCTTACAGGTGAAGGCCAGGTCTCAACATCAGAGCCATGATGCTGTGTGATTTTTAGAGGGATAGTGCAGCTTTTTACTTCATTTTCAGAAAGTGATTTTAAAGCCTCTGATCTTCATTACAGTACATGAAGATTCATGTTTAAAGGTGAATCAGTGATCCATGTCCCTCTGAGTACTCAGTGGTGTTTCCCATGTTCCACTGGTTTCTGCAGTTTAAACAGAAAAGTTCTCTTCCACTTTCTACAGCTGTGCAGGGTCAAGTTTCAGTCTGAGGTCTGGTTTCAGTGCAACGGCACAGGCCAAAGGTCCGACAGCACCTTTATCACTCACAGAAGTTATTTCCTGAGTCTCAGCTGATAGGAGACATTGCAGTAAAATCTGAAGGGCTTTCCCCTGGGATCCATCGCAAATTGCAGATCCCACCATTGCCCGTCAGATGGAGAGAAAGCCTGAAGTTGGCCAAAAAATCAAGAAGGCAGAGAATCAAACTAAAGAAATAGGTGATAAATGGAAACGCTTGTTCTAATGAAATAAACATGGTGATGATGGTTAAGTCTTTTGTTGTCCAGAGGAGTGGGTGTGTGGGAGCAGGCAGATCCTGGGGTAAGGGCCAGACATTTAGCAGGATCAACATTCCAGCACAGGGTTCTGTTCTACAGTTCTGCAGGTTTTTTATGAGGAATAAGTGTTTAAAAGGTTCAGGCTCCTCCTGTTGTGTGGCACAGGACGATGTTGGCTTGGGTTAGGAGTTCGCACTGTAATTGGTGGGTTGCCATTTCAAAGCCGGTCTCCGTTCGGAGGTCAGTTGTTGTGTCATTGAGCAACACAATTCGCCTGCTGGTTGAGGTCAGAGAGATCGGTGGCTTCTGTCAGTGGTCTCCAGGCAGCTGTGGCTACCATGTAGCTCATCACCACCAGTGTGTGAATGAGTGTTTGTAAAGCCCTTTGGAGTCCCAGACTAAAAACAAAATATTGTCCTGAGATGAAGGAGGTGTCGGGCCTTCGTGGTGCATTCACGTTTATCAGATAGTTCTGTTTTATTTGAGGAAGCTCTATGACGGTTTCTACAGTTCCTGTGTCTGACCACCACTCTGTCACATGACACGCTGAAGCTTCCTAAAAATGATCCAAACACCATATTAGGAAGTCAATCCGTTTGGGTCTCAGGTGGTTTCTGTGAGGAGTTTGGCTCAGTGACATCTCTATTCAGCAGCTCAACTTCCTGTGTGACCAGGAATAAACTCAGTGTTACACCAGAGAAACCACACACACACACACACACACACACACACACACACACACACACACACACACACACACACACACACACACACACACACACACACACACACACACACACACACACACACACACACACACACATACACACACACACACACACACACACACACACACACACACACACACACACACACACACACACACACACACACACACACACACACACACTCTTCCTCTTGACAGTTTCAGATGTTTCTGTCTCATCTGAGTGTTCATTTGGTAAACTCAGACCTGTGTGATGTTGCTGGTCGCCATGGTAACCAGAGAAACCCTGACCATCCATCCAGCTGGTCTGAGTCTCAGACTTTATTCAATCAAATCTGATTTGTTTCTCAAATTAGTTCCCTTGATTCTCCTCTGAGATTTGCAAGCGATCAGATGGATTTGTATCTGAATGTCTCCAGTTGCCATCACAAGAACATTAATGCCTGTGTTTGCATAACTCAGCTAATAAAATTAAACCAAGATGATTTGCAAACTTCTATCATTCTTTTCTGTACTTCCTTGTGGTCCTGCTGACTGGGCCTGGCTCAAGTTGTCAACTTAGTCTCTAATACGGCTGACCCATGTGCATGCGAACCTAAGTGCTTCGTGATTTTTATCTCGAGAGGAGCTTTATCGAAGATTGTTTTCTTTCTTTTGTTCACTAGGACCTGTGCAGAAACACAAAGACATATTTTAATCTGAAACTCAAACATATTCAGGTCATATGACTGGCTGCTCCAGCTGTCCAGCATGCTGCATAAATGTTCTGATTTGATTTACGACGAAACAAAAGAGTCCAGAGAACTGTTGACCCAGACTGGATCAGTGGTTCTGGACTGGGCTTCAGCTTGTGAACAGCAGGAGAACAGAAGCTGCATCAGAAGCCAGAGTAACTGCCAGGTCTTCTGCAATTGTCCCGGTCTATTTATTAGCTGCGTTTGACCTTTTGCCCATCCTCTCCAGCACAGACACAGACAGCATGCTCCTAGTTTGAATCCTACCTCACAGGGCGAGCATTTAGCTGGCTTGGTCACACACCACCATGGTTCCTCAAGGTTCAGCATTGGGACCTCTTCCTTGTGCCACATACACCACCTTACTGGTACAACAGTTTCTCCTACCCAGCTGATAATACCCAGACGTGGAGATAGATGAAAGTCCACTGCCTACAACGGCTCGTCTTCCTGACAAACTAACTATACAGCACAATATTGACCATCTCCACCTCGACTACGCCACGAGCCTCCTAACTTTCCCAAACCTCTGCAGAAGGTCCAGAACACAGCAGCATGTCTGGACTTCCATCAGCACCCTTCACCTCTCTGGTCATGGAGCTCCAGTAGCGACCCTGGGTCAGATTCAAACTGCTGATATTTGTTCTCAAAGTCTGAAATGGAATGCCTCCCATCTACTCGAATCCTTAAGACTCTGATCTAAGGACTGTTGGCCAACAGTGCCAACACCACGCTCCCAACCATCCAGATTGTGATAGAGGTGTGACTAAGTCACAAGTCTTTCCAGTCAAGTCTCGAGTCAAGTCCAAGTCAAAAACAACCAAGTCCAAGTCGAGTCCAAAATCAATGATCTGAAAGTCCAAGTCCTTAACTTTGAATTTTCAAGTATATTCAAGTCATCTCTCCAACTTCAATGTAATGACGATGATAATATATAAATTCCAGAAATAAAGCTTCTTAAAGCTTCATTTATTTGCTCCAACAAGCAGAAAGTGCAACTGAAGTTGATTAAAAACAAAGTGCTGTTGCATTTAGCAGAACAAGATCAAATGCTAAAATATCAACTTGCTCAAGTCATCATCAAGTCAACAGTTGCAAGTTGATTCAAGTCGCAAGCCTTTGGCGTTCAAGTCCGAGTCAAGTTGTAAGTTTTTATAGATTTTATCAAGTCAAGTCAGAAGTCATTAAAATAATGACTCGAGTCTGACTCCAGTCCAAGTCATGTGACTCAAGTCCACACCTAAGGAGCTACCAGACCCAGGTCTTCAGAGAAGAGTGCATCTCCTACCCTGAACTTCCCTTCTCTTCTCAACTACTATCTCTTTCTACCCTGTCCCCTCTGACTGAGCCTGACTTCCCTCTAAGCTTAGCCTCATGGGTAACTGCCGCGTTACATCCACATTTGTAAGTGGCTTTGGACAAAAGAGTCTAAACTCATTCCGACAGAAACTCCATTAAACTAGTGCAGCTAAACCCCGTCCAACAAAACAAGGTCATCTACTCATCCAAAGTGTAACAGGAAACTTCTCAGAGTACCAAAACTTTGCAATGGTCTTCAGAACACTTCAGTCTCCACAAAGGACCAAATGAAAGGCAAAAAACAGACAACGTGATCTGCTGAAGCTGAGATTCTCACCTGGGGACTGATGAGTAACACCCGCTCCCTGAGACCCTACTGAGAATGTTAAAAAAGGCAAATGGATGAATTTACCCAAATTTACACAAACCCAGTTTCACATCATATAACTGTCACTGTTGAAAATTATGAGACTTTTGGTCAAAGTAGAGGTAGTCACTACTGGTCTGTGTGTGTGTGTGTGTGTGTGTGTGTGTGTGTGTGAGAGACCCCCCCAGGAAGTCTCATTTTAAAGCTGGTAAATAATGGATGTGGTTTCTATGGAGACAGGTGTGTGTGTGTGTGTGTGTGTGTGTGTGTGTGTGTGTGTGTGTGTGTGTGTGTGTGTGTGTGTGTGTGCGTGTGTGAGTCAGACAAACACACAGAAAGGTTCCTCAGAGATATCAGACATGTTGGATACAACAGGCCTCCCTTTGAGGTTTACAGACATTCAACTCTGATTTCAGTCCGGTTCTGGTTCTGGTCCTGGTCCTGCAAGGCCCTCTTCTCAGATCTGCTCTTGCTGCTCTCAGTGGAGATTTGCTGCAGTATTTGGATCTTGGTTGTTTCTTGACAAGGTTTAGTCCCAGTAGCTGCAGGTGCAGCCCTCCACCGCTGTGCTGTCAGCTGTGGTGTATTTGTGGTTGAGTTTGTTTCTTTTGGTGAATAAATGCAACATACCCGGTTTTTAAACAACAACCTGCAAACATGGAGCCAATTACGAATGCTTATTTTTGCTGTCTTTAAAAACAAGCAGGGAAACTGTTACATTAATATGTACAGGAACAGATAAAAAGGACACCTGTAACCTGTGTTTACTGGTGTGTTTGCAGGTGAAGGAGCTCAGTCGGGCTGATGAGGTGTTGGACCTGTCGGACTACGAGCGTTGCGAGGAGATCAGGAAGCTCAAGAGCCGCAGCAAAAAGAACCACAGCAAGTTCAGACTACAGCGCTGCAGCACACCAGGCAATACGGTATGCCTGTGCATACTTACACACACCTGTATGCACACATAAACCAGTACACACACAAACCTGTATACACTTACACACAAAAACACCTATAGACACATACACTTGTGAAGAAACACCTACGGGTATGTCTACACACACACACGCTCACATACACACCTGACATCTGGTCAGCATTCCAACATCCCGCCCATGGGACTAAACACATCCACAGCATGTGACCCAGATTGTTAAGGGGTTTAACTCTAATGGACAATTTGAATGGTTTCTTCATCAGTAGCTTCAGATGCTGATTAATGGTGTTTTATGGATTGGCTTTGACCCGATCTTCCTCCTGATGAGCCAACTTAATCTTAAAACCTTCCACTGCTGTCCCCGCTCCAACCGAAAACCCAGGTGTCACCTGTTTGATGTGTTTCAGGTACCAAACCTGGTCTTCCTGGCTGTCAGTCCTGAGGAGAAAGAGTCATGGATTAACATTCTGAACGCCTCCATCACCAAAGCCAAGAATCGGATCCTGGATGAGGTACTGAGCCGGACTCTTGTGGTTCTGACCGACCCATCTATGTTCTGATTTGTTAGTTAATATAAACAGGTAGTGTAACTAAGACAGGGTACACACAGCATCAGATAAAAACATCTCAGGAAAAACTGCCAGACAAAAAGACATTTTATGAATTTTTTTCTGAGATTTTTTTGTCTGATGCTATTTAACCAGACATCAGATGGGGTTTTTGAATGAAACCTGATATTTTTTCCTTGATGGTCTGATGTCTGACACCCGAGGATGTCCTAACTTGGCTGGCTTTGGATCCTTCCAGAACAATGAGTAACAAAAGTTCTGAAGTCTGATTGGTGGACGGAGCAGTGAGATCTGATCACTGATAGCTCATTTAGAGAAAGATGAGTGTTCTGAAAATAGTTTTAAAATAATGAATAATTAATCACCAAACTATCTTTAGCAGCAGGAAACAAATGCACAGAGTGATCCATTACAATATTGCATAGCCGCAGCCCAGGTCCTGCCGGCAGGACTAGAACCTGAGTGGTTCTCCCCATTTTAGAACATAAGTTCTGTCTGATGGTTCTTTCAGGTAATGGTGGAAGATTCTCAGCTGTCTCACCTGACACGCGACCGAGTGAG